CAGAGGACCCCCGTGACCAAATATGAAGGACCCGTGGGAACTCGGGCCCGGCCCGTCACCCGTAGTACGAAATATCACCCGTAGACCTGTATCACCCGTAGACCTGAAATATCTGTCAGAGGGCTTCTATTAGGGCCCTCTTATTATGCACGTGTTCTATATCCCTATTCCAGGCATTTTTGCACATATGGACGTTTTGAGCAAAGCTGAGAATACCATTGCTAAACGATTAAAAGAGATAAGGGCCTGTTAACTGATGAAGTTGGGTCACCTGATTTCAAAATGGGTACCACGCTCGCAATTTTCCGCTCATCGGGAGATACCTGAGTTGTGAGGGAGCCGTCGATGATCCGCAGGAGATGCGGACCGATCGCAGGAAAGCATCCGCGGACTGCTGTTATTGGCACGCGGCTCACACACACCGCTCTCGAGCTGCTCATCCGCCGGATCGACGGAGATAGTTCAGGGGGAGTAGCGGGCTTAGAAGTGAAGGCGGTCGTGCAGACAGCTGGCGGTCTGGGTAACTGTCCGGTGCTTCCCCCAAGTGTGGTGTCAATGCGAGACCCACCCGTCTCGAAATGACGGTTCATCTCGTGAGCCAGGTCAAGGTTTCCGATCTTCTCGGTTGGTTGCTGACGTCATGACAAATCGTTCGAAAGCATTCCAGCAATCGTGCCGGACACGAGAAGTCATCACACCACAGGGGAAATCCGTCCAACAGCCATGATCGCACACTTGGCGCTGTTTCGAAGCCGTCTGAAGTCCGTGTGAGCCTCTGGAGTGCGCGGAGCCAGCCAGGCGTTCCTTGCTGTGTGAGCCCGCTCGACCATCGTAGCCCGAAGCTGCGGGTTATCACACAACCACGGGGCAACTGAGGCGGTTCACGCGGACAGTTCTCCCCGGACAGTGACAACGCATGACGTCACGCCATGTTTTCGTAAATGATTTTTACCATCAGGTCCGTATCATTAGTGGCATGGAGTTCGGCTCGATCAGCGGCGGGCAGGTCCAGGCAGCTAGCGTCCCAGTCACCCCGGTGCCGGCCCCGAGTCAGACGCTTCTGGAATGGCTGCCTCACCCTGCCCAGCCCCGCGGTGGTGGTGATGGCCTGGTGGTCGCTGGGGGTGAGGGGTACTGTGACCTTAACCTTTATTTTCCAGGGGCATCCAACTTCAGGGTGCATCACAAAGGGCCCCAAAACCTTCATTTTCAAGAGGCAGCAAATTCAAGGGAACACCACAATGCCCGTGCCTCTCCGTTGGCGAAAACCTGTATCGGCCTTTTGGGATGGTGGGCGTCAAAACCTGCTTTTCAGGGCACTATAGCAGTTATTTTCTAGAGGCACCAAATCCAAGGGTGCGATTGGAAGGCCCCGAAACTCTCAGTTTCAGGGGTACCAAAATCCAGGGGTACCACAATTGTTTTTGTCTCTCACTGATGATGTCCTGGATCGGCCCCTTGGGCGATGGGGCGCAAAACCTTCACTCAGGACACTTGTATTTTTAAGAGGCACCCAGTTACAGAGAAAAACCATGAAGGGCCCCAAAACCTTCAAAATCTTTAAAAAGGGAGGACGTAACCCTGGTGCCCATCCCCCTTTCACTTGAGTAACGTGGCGTGGTGCATCTCCGGCGACTGCCGGCGTGGTTTGTTGTCCACCTGACAGCCCTGACAGCTGCGAGTCTGGAACAATTACAGAACCATCTCCGTAATGCGTTCTATTCCTGCAAAACGACGTTTCTCCCGGGAGACTTGAACAATAACGTCTTGGCACCGAACATCCATGCCCAGCACTGCCCCAAATTGATTAGCGATCTGAACATAATGCAACTGGCGGATCAGCCCACTCGCCTACCTACGCCCACGGCACTTGACCACAGGAACACGTATCAACTCGACCCACCACGAATGGTCACGGTACTCCCTGATACCCTCAGGTGGCCTACATGTGATGTTAAAAACGTGTTTGAAGCTCACATAGCCGGATTGTATGACATGTTGAGTGACTTGAAAGGCATGCTCGAAAGCCGGGGATAGAGTGCGACAATCCCTCTTGTCCTGGCCGTGGTCAAGGTCAGAGTTTCAGGGGAGTCTTGCACCATCCAAGGTGCGTACATTGGGGAACGGATGCCAACTGTATTGACGTCGGACTTTCCCCCCTGATCCTTGACCTCAATCGGCTGTGGGCTGGAACACCCCGAGTACGTTCTGGCGAGTTCATTCCCACCGCATCATTACGCGGCCCGCCGCTCCGCTACGTCACGGAGGCCGGGAAAGGCCGACCGCGGCGCTCGAGCGTCATCACTGCCCTTAACCCTGTCCATGAGTCGGGCTGGGGGGGGGGGGGGGCGCCGCGCAGCCGGCTCTCAGTCACCAGTGACGCCTTGCTGGCTGCCGTACCGCGGCCGCAGCGGCCGCCACCACACCCGCCACACCCGCCAGCCGGCCGTATTGGCTCCTGTGTTGCCGCTGTCGCCATAGCCGATTCTGGGCCGCCGATCTGGCCTTCATGGCTCCCCCTCCCCTCCGTGCAGGCCACGGCCGCCGCAGCCACAGCCGCCGGCCGACCTAGACTGGGCGGGCTCGTTGCAGCCGGACGGGAGAGTGGCACGAGCGCGGGCCAGTCCCGCCCCTACCCGGCTGTTGTGACCGGGCCGGCCCCGCCCTCGGCCGGCTGTTGTGAGTTCGTGATCGGGCCGGCCCCGCCTCCGGTCGCCGGCCGGGGCACCGTCAGCTATTGTCGCTGACCGGTCGCCGGCATGTCCGTCAGCGTCGGCTCTAGGCCCGCCCACGGACCTCACCGCCAGTCAGACACGATCGATGCTCGATCGGGCTCCATTACGGCTCACCGGGGGCCTGACGGGCGGTCTCTGCGCGCGCGCCGCAGAAGGCAGCGCACGCGGACCAGGCCACCGGGCCCAGGTCGCCAACTGTATGGGATAGCTGCAGACGAGCTCTTATCTGAAATAGGCCCGATCATTTGTAATGTTTCTAACGCGTCACGTTATGTGACGCCACGTCACGTGGGATGCACTGCGATCGAATTGAATCGACATCCATGTGTTATTCGAAGGAGGCCCGTCCCCAGCAGCGTTTGTCATGCCAGCAGGAATCAGGCGTGACGGGCTATTGACACTAGGTTTTTTTCATGAGCCAATCGGTAAGTTTGGTGGCAAACCAAGCCTTTGAGTCTCATTTGGGGCGATTGCCGCTGGTCGTCGTCAGCTGACGGGCTTGCTGGTCAGCTGGCGAGAAACGCCGCGTCCGTATGTTGAGTGATGAAGCCGGTGAGCCGTACTGGATGCCTGGGCCGGTGGCCGCAGCCTGGCCGGACTTCGCGGCTCCTACGGCCCGGCCTGACCCGGCCCGGCCTGCCTCCACCCTTCCGTGCGTCTGGGCGCCACCGCTAGGCGGCCGTCGTGTCACGTGACAGACCAGCGGCGCTGCGACGCTCGATAGCCATTGTTGTGACGCGCCGTGACCATCGATCTGCCGCGCGTGACGCCGCCGTCACGCGGCGTTGCCAACGCAGCGCCGCCGGCCGACCTGTTGCCGCGCCGCCGGCCGGCCGCTGCCCCCGTTACGGCGTGCGCACGCGCGCCGCCGGCTCAGCTGGGAGCGACACGCGGCCGCTGCCGCCGGTGAGGCGGGAGTGACCGCTGACTGCCGGCCGGGAGGAGTGCGCGCCGAGCTGGTTCCTGCGAGTGCTGGTGCGGAGCCGACACGGGACGGGTGAGCCTTGGCAGACTGCGGTGGAGTGGCGCCGCCGTATGGTCACCTCAAGCTCCTCTGATCGTGCTGCGCATTAAGCGGCGCCTGCTCAGCTTCTGTGCGTTTTAGCGTGGTGCGCGAGCCGCCAACCTCGAGCCTGCACCCCGCCGCTCCCGCTCACTAAAGTCCGCTTCACCGTCGGTTGCGGTACAGCTCACCACCGGGTGCGACAGAGCATCGATCTCGGCCAGTGTCCCTAGCCACCCTGGCATGTGCGTATCAGCCAAGGCCCGGGGCCCCACGAGCGCTCGGACGCGGCCGTCGGGATCGGGCCGCCGGCTCTGACCGCCGCGCTTCGGGGAACGGGTCAGACGTGTTGGAGTACGCAGCTGTGCCGGGGCGCCACCACACTGCGCAGCCACAGCTGGCGGGTCCGTAAGGCCTACCGACGCCGCGAGTTGTTGTGATGCCGGTTTGACAGGGCTGCCGCTTAGCCTCAGGGCATGTAGAACTGACCCGAGCTCCTCTTACGCTTCGACCACAATTACATCCAGGGCCGCCGTTTAGCCTCAGGGCATGTAGAACTGACCCGAGCTCCTCTTACGCTTCGACCACCATTACATACAGGGCTGCCGTTTAGCCTCAGGGGATGCAAAACTGACCCGAGCTCCTGTTACGCTCCGACCATCATTACATCCAGGGCTGCCGTTTAGCCTCAGGGCATGTAGAACTGACCCGAGCTCCTGTTACGCTCCGACCATCATTACATCCAGGGCTGCCGTTTAGCCTCAGGGCATGTAGAACTGACCCGGGCTCCTGTTACCCTCCGACTATCATTACTTCACCACAGCCGCGTCGGGTAGGCATGCGTTCCATGTATGCATAACTACAACGATAACCACCTCAGCGGTTTGCTCAGCGCCGGGAGAACTCGGCGGCTAGAGAATGCTTCAGACACGAGACAAATCAAGCTTGCCCCCACCAACCTTGTCAGGTGATAGTCAACAGATGGCAGCGCGTCAGTGTTACCGTTTAGGGGTGGAGGTTCTGACTGTTCTGGAATGCGGGTGTGATTGTCACGTCAGCTCCAATTTTTGTTGTAATTTCTTTTGTCAATTTTGGTAAATAATGCCCAACTGCGGCATGTCAGTTGGTTGCCGACCGTGTGTTTATAGACGTGCAGGGATTTATTTGCACCGAAGGTGAAATATCAGCTCTTTCGTTCGTGAACGACTGGCGACAACAGCGTTTTCAAATAATTTTCAAGACATGCTGCTTCTGCGCTCCGCCATTGGTGTACTCTATCCCGTGAGCCCGGCTCTGATGTCCTTTTGCTTGAGGCCACCTTCACAGCGCCTCGTCCTGTCCTGGCGGCGCGTTTTGATCTGTGTTGGCTGTGACGTCACGCTACCATGGCGCGAAGGCCGGTGCAAGCCGACACCGGCCGGCGTCGATACCAGCCGGCGCCGGGCCGGCCTGGCGAGCCACATCCGGCTGCGGCCGGCCGAGACCACACGTGCTACGCCATCCTGTGACGTCACGCCTCTCCACGCCGTGGCGTCCCGGCCCCGTTGGCGAGGCGGGGCTGCTGTTTTGTGAGCGGCGGCCGGCGGCTCCAATATCATTGCACGCTAGCGCGCTGTTTTTGCACCACGGCTGACGCAGCAGACGAGACAGATATGACTGGTGTTTTGTGTCGTACCAGGACGCTGCGAACCGAGCGGCGGCGAACGGCGCCGATGTGCGGCGTCACAGCAGCTTTGTGACCGAGGCTGTGACTCGGTGGCGGAGTGGCGTCGACCCGATGGTCAGCTGTGCCGCTCCGCGTAGCGGGGACGGTCTGACGTCTGCTGAGGCACGACTGACGCCGGAGCGCCACTGACGTCGGCTGCCCCGTGTCTCCGCAGAGCAAGCCAGCTCCTCCCTGGAGGACCACACGCTGCGCCACCAGGCTGAGATCCGGCAGCTGCGCGCCCAGCTGCGCCAGCTGCAGCAGCAGCAGCAGCAGCTGCTGCAGCAGCCGGCGGAGGAGGCGGCCGGCTTCGGTCCGCACGTGCTGACAGCCGTCACCAAACAGCTGGCTAAAAAGATCACGCTGGGTGGCGCGGTGACGTCGGCGGCCGGCACGCAGGCCTCGCCGCTCGGCAGCCAGGAGAACCTCGACCAGAGCATGAGGCGGGTACGGACACGGACGGTCAGCGGAACCTGGACCAGAGCACGAGGCGGGCACGGACACGGACGGTCAGGGGAACCGGGACCAGAGCACGAGGCGGGCACGGACACGGACGGCCAGGGGAACCGGGACCAGAGCACGAGGCGGGCACGGACACGGACGGTCAGGGGAACCGGGACCAGAGCATGAGGCGGGCACGGACACGGACGGCCAGGGAGCCTCGACCAGAGCATGAGGCGGGCACGGACACGGACGGTCAGGGGAACCTGGACTAGAGCATGAGATGGGCACGGACACGGATGGTCAGGGGAACCTGGACTAGAGCATGAGGCGGGCACGGACACGGATGGTCAGGGGAACCTGGACTAGAGCATGAGATGGGCACGGACACGGACGGTCGGGGGAACCTGGACTAGAGCATGAGATGGGCACGGACACGGACGGTCAGGGGAACCTGGACCAAAGCATGAGGCGGGCACAGACACGGGTGGTCAGGGGAACCTGGACCAGAGCATGAGGCGGGCACAGACACGGGTGGTCAGGGGAACCTGGACCAGAGCATGAGGCGGGTACGGACACGGACGGCCGGGGCAACCTGGACCAGACGTTGAGGCGGGTACAAACACGGACGGTCAGGGGAACCTGGGTCAGAGCATGAGGCGGGCACGCACACGGACGGCCGGGGCAACCTGGACCAAGGTGGTTACGGACACGGCCGGCCGGAGCAACATGGATCAGAGGATCAGGCGGGTACGGATACGGACGGTCAGGGGAACCGGAGCGAGAGAATGAGGCGAATACGGACTCAAGGGAACTCAAGCACTGCAGGTTGGCCGGGCACTTTGTCACTCACTCAAGCATGCGTGTTTGTTTGCGTGTGGACCGGCCGTGTTTCTTTCTTGCCGGTTTGAGTAGATGTGTTGCTGCGCTGTCTGCCAGCACACTCAGATTCCACTGGCGTTGTAAGGGGGCGCCGTCTGCCATGTGAGTGGTATGGTCTTTGTTGTGGGGCGTGCCTCCTGGCCGCGGGCTCGGCACCCCGGGGGCGCACCCGGCAGTCGTGGCGCTCCCCAGCCTTGATCCGGTGCCCGCCCGCCGGCAGGCCCAGGAAGACACGGAGATGATGCGCTCGCTGGTGATCCCGCTGGAGGAGGAGATCCAGGCGTTGAAGCAGAAGCTGCGCGACACGGACGCCCAGCTGCAGGTGCAGCTGACCGCTCGCGAGCAGCTCATCCGCGCCGACCAGCTGCTGGCCCAGCTGTGTGCCGGCGGCCGGCTAGAAGAGCTGGCCGGGCAGCTGCGCCAACAGCTGCCAGCCGAAGAGCAGCTGCCGGCGGGGCTGGCGCCGCACATGTACCTCTACATATCCGTACTGGAGGCGCAGAAGCTGGCCATCTCGGACGACGTCAAGTATGGCAAGTGAGTGCTGATCCACAGGGTGGGGTACACCCCAGGGAGTCGAGGGTATGAATCAATGCTTACACCGGTACGAGTGCTGCATGTATCCATTGGGAGCTCACGTTGTCTGTTGTGCACACAAACTCGTGGCTAGCTACTGAACACCGCGCTTCGTTGTATGAAAAGGCCCCGGAGACTTGCAGTAGCCACTTCGTTTTCTGATGATGCGCTGTTACCATCGCCGATTTCAGGCATCTACTGAAAATATAATGTCTTTTACATCACAAACACCGGGCGAAACCCTCCCTGCAAATGATTCGCTCTGGATAAGCGGAACACTGATGAGTGACACTAAAGCCAGATGTTGGCATGGGCCTGATGCTAAACCCATGTGTTGGCTGTGACTATGCACCCTCGACCGACTGGGTCCGGCAGACAGACACAAGTGGAGCTGCGCGCCCAGCTGGAGCGCGAGCGTGCCGGGACGGCCGAGGCGCGCCGCACCGGTCAGCGCGCCGCCGATCAGCTGCAGGAGGCGCAGCGGCAGCAGGCGGCGCTAGTGCGCAGACTGCGCGCCGCGCTGCCGTCCGAGCTGCTGCCGTTGCTGGAGGCGCCGTCGGCGTCGCCCGCCGCCAGCCAGCTCAGTCTCGACACGGACCGAACGCAGGTGAGCACCGCCGATCGGTGCCGCTGGCGGGAGTGGTGCTGCGGCGTGGGCTGCTCGCCACGACCAACGGGTGTGAAGCCCTCCACTCGCGTCGATGTAGTCACGCTCAGCGTCTGTTGTGTGGTGTGTCGTCTGAGATTGTGTGCTCTGTATCGTCATTGTGGTCCGCTCTGGTCCAGATAGCAGCCAGTGGGCTGGACCCGCCAGTACTGACTCGAACTTACCCACCGCAAATCGTTGTCGGACCCATCATTGGACCCCGAGGCCCCGTCGTCTCACCCCGGACACCTTTGTCTCATCCCGAGCTCTGCTGTCTCACCCCAGACCTCTCCGTCTCACCACGGGCTCTGCCGTCTCACCCGGACCCCGCCGTCGCACCCAGACCCCGCCGTCGCACCCCGGACCCTGCCGTCTTGTCTGGACCCCGCCGTCGCACCCAGACCCTGCCGTGCGACCCGGACCCTGCCGTCTTATCTGGGCCCCGCCGTCTCACTACGGGCCCCGCCGTCTCACTCTGGGATCCGTCCCTCTTATCCTCTATCTTGCTTCATCCTGCATCCTTGCAACACCCCACTTGTCCGGGGCAGGCTGCATGCGTCAATCACGAGTGGGCCGAGAGCCCCGTGGGAAGGTGGACCCCGACCGGGTACCCAGCACACATGTGCAGGTAAAAGCTCGGCGGTTGGCCCCCCAGGCGCATGCAAGTTTGCCTCACCGTTAGCCATTTTCCTTCATCCCATAACCCTGAACTGATCACTTCTGGTCGAAAGGGCTCTAATTCAAACAACAAAATCAAAGTCTCCTTCCGGATGCCGCCGTCTCACCCCGGATGACGCCGTTCTCAGAGTGAGGCCGAGCCGGAGCCGGCCGGCTGCCACGGCAGCATGCTCTCGCTAGACATGGCCGAGTCGAGCTCCACCGGCAGCCAGCGCACCGACGCCGGCGCAGGTCAGTGCGGGGTCCGGCTGACCCTGGCCACCGAGCCGGGCTTCTGCGCAGCACGGAACAGTGTCGGGCGGGTTATGCGTGCCCAGCTCGTCATGTGATTCATCTGAGCTACTATTTTTGTTAATTTTGTTTTCGGGCATCGACACTGATGCCGGGTAGTGTTCCTGGGCGGCGGGCCGAACTGCATCTATGTGACCAGCCAGTTCCGATTCTGCCTGACCGAGTCGGCACGCCGTGCGTGACGCGTGTACGCCCGGGTCACATGATGCGTGTCGACAGGCGGCCGCTGCGAGCGCTGCGCCAGCCTGGAGTCGCAGCTGCAGCAGCTGCAGGCGGAGCTGAAGGCGGCGGAGAAGCGGCGCGCCGAGCTCGGCCGCGTGCTGGAGCGTCACCAGGACGACCTGGGCCGGGAGGCGCGCTACCGCAAGCAGACCGAGCAGGAGTGGCAGCGACACGCCGAGGACTACCAGCAGCAGGTGGGCGGCTGGTGCGCGCAGCCGTCAGCGCGGGCTATGGTGCGCTCCGCTCCGCGCCGCCGCCGTAGCCGCAGTCGCAGCCGCAGCCGCAGCCGCAGCCGCAGCCGCAGCCGCAGCCGCAGCCGCAGCCGCAGCCGCAGTCGCAGCCGCGGCCCGGCCTAACGGCTCACGGGGGCGTGTCAGGAGACAGCAGGGTAGCTGGCGGGCAGCGGACGAGTTTAGTAGCTCGGTGGGAGCTTTGGACGTTAGGCTTGTGAGAGGGAGGCAAGGGAGCTTACCGCTCGACGCTATGACCATCGTAGTCGTCGCTGGAGCTTCATGAAAGCGCCTGCGCACGTAACGGCGCGCACTGCGAGACGTTAGTATATATATGAAGTTGGGAACATACCTGGATCTAGCCCATGCCGTGGCGTGGACGACGGTTGGGGTATGGCTGGGAAGACGCCGTCAGATGCGCTCCCGCGGTCGTTGACACGTGAATTGAGGGTCGAGAACGCGTTAGTGCATTAGGATTGCTCGTTATGTGTGCTGTGCGCTAACGTGATAACAATTTTTCTATGAGATTGAACTTATGTTAGCAGTCGGCGCGCCCTTAACCTCCAGTGGGCGGCGAGAGGCGTGCCGAGGTAGACCCGGCGTCAGGCTGTGTGGTGGTCCCGGCTGACCGCGGCCGACTGCCCCTCGCCAGATCAGCGAGCTGTACAAGGCGGTGGAGACGGGGGAGAAGCGCTACCACAACCTGGAGCGGCGGCACAAACAGTTCGTCTCGGAAGTGCAGGACAAGCTACGTCGACTCACCGCCGACCGGCATGTGGTGCAGCAGGAGCTCAACAGGTGCGGAGAGGACCGCGGTCGGACGGGGGTGCAGGTACGGGGTGCGGCAGGAGCTTAACAGGTGCGGGCAGGACCGAGGCCTGACGGGGGTACAGATATGGGGTGCAGCAGGAGCTCAACAGGTGCGGGCAGGACCGAGGCCTGACGGGGGCACAGATACGGGGTGCAGCAGGAGCTCAACAGGTGCGGGCAGGACCGAGGCCTGGCGGGGGTACAGATACGGGGTGCAGCAGGAGCTCAACAGGTGCGGAGAGGATGGGGGGTACAGGAACGAGCGAGGAACAGGCACATGGTGTAGCTGGAGCTGAAGAAGATAAGACAGTAATATTAGCTTTATTCCTCGGAAAAACAGGAGAATGGAGATATAGTTAGGTTGATATTTCAGCAACATGCCTTTGTCGAAGCAATAGCAGAATAAGTATATCTTCATTCCTCGTTTTTTTAGGAATAAGGCTAATACTACCGTCTTATATATGTGAATAATGTTCCTCGCTAATGCACTGGACAACTTACGGAGCTGAAGAGGTGTGGAGTCCCGGACAACTAGGACAGGCTATGCAGCTGAAGCTGCAGAGGTTTGGAGTCCTGGACGACTAGGGGGACAGGCTGTGCAGCTGTAGCTGAAGCAGTGTGTGGTTCCGGAGGACTAGGGGGGGGGGCAGACTTTGCGGCTAGAGCTGAAGAAGTGTGAAGTCCCGGAGGACTAGGGGGACAGGCTGTGCAGCTGTAGCTGAGGAGGTGTGTAGTCCCGGACAATCTCGGCGGGCATGCACGTGGTGTAAATGGTGAAGGAGAGAGCCGAGAGGCGAGCGCACGGCTCAATGAGGTGCGAAGTCTGGGACGATCTCAGCCGCGGGTGGGTGGCACAACAGGAGCACGCGGGAGGTGGCTGAGAACATGAGGAATAGAATTGTAGTGGGGAGTAGTATAGCACATTTATTCGTACCACACGTTCAGTCAGCTCTGTACCACATGACCAACAGTGCTGTTGTGCGTTGGCGAGGGGCACCACGGCATTCAGGCAGACATACGTCACGCGACTGGGCACGTTCAGCCGCGTCCACGCGCAGCAGGCGTGCCATTCTGACCTGCCAGTGTGCACCAGCAGACAGTGCGTGAGTACGTGACCCGGCTACCGTGCGGGCCTGTGACCGGACCACCGCCGGCAGGCTGCAGGCGGAGAATGACACGCTGCTGGGCAAGTACAGCGCTTGTTCCGGCGAACTGCAGAACGAGTTCATCAATTTGCCTGACCAGGTGGAGGTGAGTCTGCGCCGCCCGCCGCCGACGGTGACCCCGACTTGGCAGACGCGTGCAAGGGAAACGGGGCCGCTCTACATGCGGTGCAGGTCATGCGAGCTATCTCTGCACGACAGTGTTTTCCATCGGACGTCCGACTAAGCGCATACATTAGAAACTGCTGCTAGTGTGAAGTGGGAGAGCTGGTGTGGCACTGTGAGGGCTGAGGGCTGATGCGGGACGGGTCTCTTCGGAGAGGCTACAATGAACTATGAGGGCTGACGTGAGACTGTGAGGACTGTAAGGGGAGGTGTGGGAGTGTAAGGACTGCGAGGGCTGATGTGAGACCGTGAGGACTGTGAGGGCTGGTGTGGGACTGTGAGGATCGTGAGGGCTGGTGTGACACTGAGGACTGTTAGGGCTGGTGTGGTACGCCTCACTTCGGAGAGGTGGCGCTGCTGTGGATCACTCGAGAAGTGCATGTGTAGATGTGTGACCATGCTTTAGTATTTCGCACCAGGGCTATGTCTGCCGGATTGTGTCCAGATTGTGTCCGGATTGTGTCGAGAGGCGGCGGTCGAGACAGCTCTCCCCATCTCCATCTGCCTGGGCGTGTGCGGCCCGGTCGGTGGGCCATCCCGTGGTCACCGACTGCTAGCCGTTACCGAGCAGCCGCTGCCGGGACTTGCCGTGCTGACCGGGCAGCCCGGCCGGCAGGAGCTGCACCTGATGCTGTTGCGCTACAAGGAGGAGCTGATTTCAGCTAAGATTGCGCGCGAGCACGTGGAGGAGACGCTGCGCAACCAGCTGGCCTTCATGAAGAACGAGCAGGAGGCGCTACAGCACGAGAAGGACTCGCTCAACGACGAGCTGGTGGCGGAGCTCAGCAAGCTTAGGTGAGAACACGCAACTGAGCTTAGCAAGCTCTGTGGAGAACGTGCGACTGAGCTTAGTCAGCTCTGTTGATAATACGCGATAGAGCTCAGGTGAGAGCCGGCTAAGCTCGTTAATGTGCATCCAGCGCAACGGGGCTGGGTTCAGCTTGGCTTTGGACTGTTTCTTGTACGTACTGTTGATTCCGTAATATCAGGTGGCAATTTGCAAGGGAAAAATTGTTAAGGGCACTGTTTCACATTTTGATACGGTTTGGGCCGAGATAGCCGTTTTTAAATATCATTTAGTGCACTTCACAGCCTTTTTTGTCTTTCTTTTTCTTTTAGTTTTGCACAGTGTACAGCCAAGGACACTTGCAATGGTACTAAAAACGATACCACATCACTTCTGTGCGCTTATATCAACGGCTCAAACAGCTGCACAACCGCCACCCGTCGCACCGCCGCCGCACGAGGCCGCGACACGGGGCTCCGTAGGGGCGAGAGCCGCTGCGGGAGGTCGCTCCGTCCCGAGTTGGCGCGGTAGCTACGCGTCGCCTTCCGCATTTATGTATGGCATGTAGAGGACACTCAGAAAAATGCCGCTATTTTCCATCAATCCCTGCTTTTGACGCTCGCTTTTAAATGGCATTCATCATTTGGCATTAAATAATTGCTTGATTTGTGGTCGGAGACCATCTAGAGAAAACTTGCTTCCATTCGAACGCTATGCATGTGATTTACCGCGCATGGAGCATTCCTCGCACTAAGTACAGCAGCACGTGCGTCAGGTGCCACGGAGAGGCCTCGCACACCCATTGATGTCCCGGAATGCATCGCACCTAAATGCATGAACCAACGGACAGCTAAAGAGCTAAAGAGGAGGTAAAACTGGCAGCCAAAGAGAATTGTCATTTCTCCCACAATACGTACATTGCTGTGAGCCTGCAATGCGTGTTATATTCGAAAACCGTTTGGCGGAAATAGATCGGACTGACACGAGCTGAGTAGACGCCCTGCAGTTGTAAGGGTGTTTAAATTATTCGGGCCAGTATTCGGGGGCTTCGTCGCCGGCTTCCCATTTTTGCAGCGCTTTCGGTTCGCGAGTCGTGAATTCCAAGCGTTATGAACCTCTCGTTTCAAAGCTACTAACGGTTTCTCCTGCGTCCCAAATTCACCGTTAACTTTGTCCTCTCTCGGCTGCATAGACATACATTCATGCTTTCTTCCGTCGCGCACAATGGCCCTCCGTCTTGAAGGAGTCGTTCTGACAAGGCCTTTGTATCGAAGTATGTCAATCCTACATGCAGGGCATTTGGCGCGTAACTGGAAGTGCAGCAAAGATTGTCCCGTCCATTGACTGTACTCATTAAACCACTTAATCTCATCTAACCACCGTCGCCGTACCAGGTTCTTCCCTGCAGAACATAACTAAACTTTTGGAATTGCCCGGCGTAAAAGGCATTAAGCCCGCATTCAGAAGCCATTGTATCGCACAATCCAGCTCTGAACATTATATTGGTGGGAAGAGGAGCAACGCGGTGCTTAAGTATTGACTGACACTTAAGCGTGAAGTTAAATAGTGGAAGGACTAAACTAAGCCTCAATGCACTGCGTAGTTGTGTATTGAAGTTGTTGCTAACCACCTGGGCCAACAGACTGGTACGACGTGTCAAGTCACGTTTGGTGGACGACCGCGCCAGGTAAATCTCATTTCAAAGCTCATAAATCAGACTTGGGATTTGGTGGGGGTTGCAGTTGGTGATCACTAAGTATGTTATTACGTTATTCAGATTGGATATCAAACTCGCAATGACGACGACGGTTACAGTTATTCTAACCTTAACGCCGAGGTGCCTCTTTGACCATGAATTCAACATTCCGTTGATGTCATGCATAATTGAAGAACGGCGGTCCAGCCACATGAACTTTATTTTGTCTAGATTTAACTCCAGCTTGGAAGCCCCAGAAAATTATTTCAAGAGACACAACAACTCATGCACAGACCCCTTGTTTTTAAAGGGGGTGTCTTACATTTGTGTGGGGTTTAGAATTGAACTAGGTACCTTGAAGATCATTCAGTGCAGTTCACGGTCTTGCCCTTTTTATTGCCTAAAATGTGGTCCCTGAGTTCGAACGCTGCGAAGATATGCAGACTATATTGTGCAGCTTTCTTTTAAGATTGCCCATGCACGCATGACGCCACGGAGACCTCTTGCAAATGCCGTCATCTCACAGGCTGTTTTCTGCTCATGGTCAGCGAACAGCATGGCCGCTCAGGCATTCGTGTTGATGCGGCACCAATGGTCCGAACCCCGTAAGGTTATTGGCTAAAAGTCAGACTCTGCTGCTGAATGCGTGTTTGGAGCTTGACCACTCTTGTTTAGTTGCGCCGCTGTGGCATTTCCTAAGCCGTCCTAACTGACTTTCACGGGTGTAGGGCGCGCACCGCGAGTGTTGCGTTTACGGAGGTGATCGACGAGGCGGAATCAAGTCCCTGTGTTCGGGCGGGCACCTCCCTCCCAGACTGCAAAATATGCCACCAAGAACCTTTCAGGCGAAAGTACTCCCAAGACGATTGTTAATAATACGTATTTTAGACTGGCCTGCGTTCGGTGTACCATCGCGACAGGCGCGCTGAATGTAGCGCTCTGATGGGTGGATACAGGTGTGGATGTCCGGTGCTGTGGGTGGATTGTGGAATATGTGTTACCAACCAGCCGAATGTTGCTCACCCAGATGCCATCTGGAATAGGTACCGGATTGTTGGTTGAGTAGCGACCGTGACCTCGGCCTTGGCCTAGCTGTCGCCTGGCCATGCGGATGATGCGAGACATAAGCAGATGCAAGTCCCTATTAGGCGGTTTGTTTCAGCGGCACTAACGCGAGGAAACCGAATCGGCAAGCTTCAAGAACGCGTTCTGTTCCCTGTTACAGTTGAACCAAATCCAGCATTTAGGCTCCTTTCTCCGCTGCTTGCTTTCGAAAAACCTCAGGAATATCGAGTCGACTTCTCATGATTTTCCAAACAATTTACCTTTGAGAAGAGCATGGCCTTTTCCCCATTCTTTTCTCGAATTATATCTGTCTTGCCCACCTTAACCGTAACAACAATGATCTGGCGGGCAATAAACCTGACTCACTTGTACTGTTTTCCCCCTCCATGTGCAACACTATGATATTATGATCACTGACACAATCTGGCTCCACTACATCTAGTGACTTTCTGCGTATGATGAATTGCCTCGATTATTATAAAAGTAATCAATCGTAGATGTTGCAACGGAGTGAGCCGTCTCCGAGCAAATTGCTTTCATGCGGGTAAGGTTCTCTCCAAATATGAAACAACCCTAGTGCTGATGATTTCATTAACGATCTTTGCACATCACTGTTTCCTTGTTTGAGTTTTTTTCTATCCCAAGGCTATTCAACTTTACATTTAAATTCCCAGCTATAATCAGGTTGGACACATTGTCCGCATTTAAGATCTCCCTCAGCTTTGTAAAGAAATTATTTGTTCTCTCGCCTACTGACATGGTACATGCAAACCTAATAACTTACCACGATGTCGGCTAAGCCAATACTAATAACGTGGTTCCTCGTAGAATAACCTGGAAAATGGAGATATATTCATTTATTTGTTGGCTACGTGCCTTTACCGAAACGAATATCAGGAGTAAATTCAAAGTTGCCTGCCGATCCCACTCGACTTTTCAGTTGTTTCTTTTTTCAAACAGCGAGCTGCAGTTTTTACAAGTCATCAGTCGTTCACATACGACTGCATGACTGTCGATCGTCTCGATCTAGCCTACGAATTCCCTGACTGGTGACTTGTAAGAGTTAAGGCTGTTAAGAAAAAAAAAACTAAGCACTGAGTAGGATCGGCGGAAATTTTGAATTTACTACTGATATTCACCTCAATAAAGACACGTAGCCGAAACAACAATGCATCTGTCTTTCCGTTCTCCTGGCAATCCAACCAGGAATGAGGCCATTAGTACCGTAATATGTATATATATATATATATATATATATATATATATATATATATATATATATGTATATATATACGCATAATGTTCTTCGCAAATGCACTTAACAACTTGCGACGTTGGCTAGCTTAACCTTCATGAGAAATATCCCCTTGTTCACAATAAAATGCATGACAGTCGATCGTCTCAATCGAGCCTACCAACCCGTGGAAATGAAAATGCACACACTTTAGAGATGTTGCGGGCGTTTGCGTACTTGCTTCTTTGCGCTCTTTCTAAAACGTAGGCATTGATTTACTTATGTTTTGCAGTTGGATTCGTGTCTCTAGGTGCACTGGGTGCCGGCATATGACACAAATCGTGAAAACGGTCGCAAATGGAAAAATAAAGCTCGCTGGCTCATACGCACGTGACGCGTGACACGTGCGAACGCAGACTTTGCACAACGTGATTGCCCGTTTGATTCCCTTTCAGAGCATACCAGTACCGAGTGGCTCCGCGTCCTTGGTGCCGGGGTGTGATTCAAAACCTGTAAATCCGTTGAAAATAACCGAATCCATCTTCCGAGATCGAGTCGGCGGGACACGTGGCCCGTGCGACCATGCACATGACCATTGTGATTGGCTGCGGGATTCGCTATCGAAGCATCACAATCTGAGTCGCTCTGTGCCCCGGGTGCCGTGTGCAAAACTGGAAAACTGTTCAAATTTTGAAGAATTTTTTTTAAGAAGAATTTTCAAGACTTCAAAACAGCAAAATTATCTTGCTGGCCCGTTTCAGCGTGACATGTGACAAGTGCGATCCAGCACTTCACACCATGCAATTGCCAGTTCAATTCTCTATCGAATCGCTCCGCTTCCGAGTCGTTCCGACCCGTTTTTGCCCACTAATCGCGTTCGGGATGACGCCTTTTGCTAGCTCACCGCCGATGGGCCACGAATTTCCTTCACCCGCGTTAGGGTATTTTCGACCGCGCTTTCCGAATAGCCGATCTTCCCTAATTTTCCGACGAATTGCAGCACAACCGTGCGTCTTACAAAATGTTTTTTTCCGAAATTGTGGATGTTTTATTACCGGACGGTTTTAACACGGATTCATGCCCCTATTTGCACTGCGTGCCGAGATTTGGCATAACGGGTAAAAAATTCAACGAACACAGCTGAATCGATCTTGCTACCTTGTGGGCGCGTGGCACGTGGCACGTGCGACGAGGGACTTAGCATGCGATTCCCCGTACAATTTCCTATCGAAGCGTGCGACTCCTGAGTCGCTCCGACCTGTAGTTGTCGAGATATTGAGCTGGGATGGCGAGCAAAGAAGCCGCGCAGTGTAATCGGTCGCGGGCCCGCTGGCTGTGAAACAGCTTTGCCCCTTTGGCCTACCACAGACGCACGTGTGCTGTCAGCTACACGCGTAAAATGGTTGCTGCCAGCCCGGAGGTCTTGGAGTGACATGACTACAACTTGTAAAAAACCATCATGCAGTCCTTTACCTAGTCTTGATTCATGTGTGACCACGGTGAAAAACGGTGATCAGGGCAAAAAAGCGGCGAATAAAAGGGTGCTGTCAGGAGCGAGCAAATCGACAAACACGTTCGTGTAATTTCTGTGAAATGCTCACAGTTTTGACGGCAGCGTGGTATATCCGGCAGCGTTTTTGGCAGTCCTGACGTTCGCAAATTGTCCGGCCATTGCGGCGCAATCGTGCGTCGCACAGACTTGTGATAAACCGTGATGTCATGGCGTGATGTGATCGTGATGTCGCGATGTAAGTGGTGCGTTTGTGAACCTTGTGAAATTATATTAGCTGCCGCTTTCAATGGCCGCTGGTTTGCCCCCACCTAATTCCTCCTTGGGGCGTGTTTCCCACCTACAACGGCGCGCCGCTAACACTGCGCTCGTGTCTTTGCCGCCAGGGAGGAGGTCACGCTGAAGGATAGCGTCAGTTCCGAGCTGGAGGCCGAGCAGGCGCGCCGCCAGCAGGCCGACGGCCAGCTGGCGGCGGCGCGTGATCAGCTGGCGCAGCAGACAGCCATGAACCGGCAGATGGTGGCCGCGTTGCAGGCGCAGCTGGAGGAGCAGAGCTCCGCCAAGGTGCGGGAGTCGTGGGCGTCCTCGGGAGCCTGGAGTCGTCTGAGGGACGGCGGGGCATGACTCGAGGCCTAGTACCGTTTGAGGGGCACTGAGGGACCTCCAGTGCTGGCGCCGTCTGAGGAGCAGCGAAGGAGCTCCAGGGCTGCTTCCGTCTGAGGAGCGGCAAGGGGCTCCAGTGCTGGCGCCGTCTGAGGGGCAGTGAGGGGTCTCCATGGCTGGCTCCGCGCGAGGGGCAGCGAAGGAACTCCAGGGCTGGTGCCGGCTGAGGGGTAGTAAGGGTCTGGTGAGACGGCAGAGGGGACCCTGGTGATAACCAGTGTAGAGCATGCCCGTGTGACGTCGGGTTCGTGTATTGCAGTTCTCATCTTTGGGGGGTTGATTTTATTGGGGAAGCACTATAGGAGGCTGTTTTGTCACGCATTTTAACGCCCCGGTGGCCACCGCCGCCCTTCTCAGACTTGTGCGTCTGTCTTCCAGTCCTCGCTCCAAGAAGAGGTATCCAGATTGAAGACCAAAGTGGCCACGCTACAGCTCGACTTGGACAACTCTGAAGCTGTCCAGAGAGACTTCGTCAAGCTATCCCAGTCACTGCAGGTCTGTTCGGCACCTTGCTGTTTTTTTTTTGTCTGCGCGGCCAAGTCTTACTTTCGGCCGCAGTTTAAAGTATCCAGTCTTTGTTCATTTCACATTCGCCAGTTCAGCTTGTAAACCTATGCTCAACACCCGTCACGAAGTACCCGCACGCTTGATCGGAGCTCGGCAGTTCGGTCGTGTCGGTGAGCCCGCGGGCCCAGCCGTGATGCGGTGCTGACCGCGAGCCGGACCGTGATGCGGTGCTGACCGCGGCCGGGCCGTGATGCGGTGCTGACCGCGAGCCGGGCCGTGATGCGGTGCTGACCGCGGCCGGGCCGTGATACAGTGGTGACCGCGGCCGGGCCGTGATGCGGTGCTGACCACGGCCGGGCCGTGATGCGGTGCTGACCACGGCCGGGCCGTGATGCGGTGCTGACCACGGCCGGGCCGTGATGCGGTGCTGACCACGGCCGGGCCGTGATGCGGTGCTGACCACGGCCGGGCCGTGATGCGGTGCTGACCGCGCCCCCGCCGCCGCCGCCGCCAGATGGAGCTGGAGCGGATCCGCCAATCGGACACGGAGGTGCGCTGGCAACACGAGGACGACGTGGACGACTGTAGCCGCTGTCACGTCCGCTTCACGGTCAGCAGGCGCAAGGTTGGTGCCGCCGCCGCCGCCGCCGCCGCTCGGTGGTTTCCTCCAGATGGACGTCTGGGTTGTGTGGTCAAGTATGCAAACAGGTCCGGGTCCCCTTTTTCGATATTTGGCACATAAGACTACCAAGGAGCCAGCTCTGAAAGCATTCCCCAATACAATTATCCCCCCCCCTCCCCTGCTGCAATTTTGGAAATGCAATCTTGACAGTGCACGGGACAGTGTACTCGCTGCACAGGCTGGGCGTCAAGTACGTAGAGCACCAGACGGAGACCGGCACTCATCCAGTGGAGTGGCAATATCGAACGATGTTTCTGTCCAAGAGACTTGACCGAGATAGATCTATTTGTGCAGTCCAGTGCCACGTTGTTTCGCCTGTGCCGATGCTGTTCCCGTATCGTTTTTGCACGCATACTCAGTTCTGAATGCATCAAAACTAGCACTTCGTCGCGCCGGTAGGATTTCCCCAGTGCATATTACGTTTGCACTGGGGAAATCCTACCGGTTTCTATCACACAAGATAGTGATACGTACCCGTACCCGTTTCTATCACACAAGAAGTGTGACCTTGCCGCGGGGGTGCGTTCCAGCACCACTGCCGGCACTGCGGCAAGATCTACTGCGCCGACTGTCTGAATAAGGCGGTGCCAAGCGGGCCCAGCGGTACCATGAGCCGAGTCTGCGAGGTCTGCCACACGCTTCTCAACCGCGAGTCGGCGCCCTACTTCAGCACGGAGGCGCCAGGCGTCGCCGACTGAGCGTCGCCCGCCGCGGCAGGGTGCGGCACACGGGCTGAGCCGCCGGGCCGGGCCGGACCGAGCACGGCGCGTCCGCGTCTGACATCGGCGGCGGCGGCGGTGTTTGGGCGCAGCGAGACCCGGCCAGACGTGAGGCCGCCCACCGCCACCGCTGTGGCACCGGGTCCGGCTAGATTGGGGCCTGTGAGATGATGCATCCTATATTTCCCCAGTGAACATAATTGTGGCGGGCGCGGCTGGCGACTGTCGCGGGGCGTGCGGCGTCGATCGCCGGCCGTGTCGACAGAGCAGACCGCTGCTGACGCCGCCGGTCGTGCCGACGCAGCGGGCCGCTGCTGACACCGCCGGCACTGCGGACCGCTGCTGACGCCGCCGGTCGTGCCGGCACAGCGCGCCGCTGCTGACACCGCCGGCACTGCGGACCGCTGCTGACGCCGCCGGTCGTGCCGACACAGCGGGCCGCTGCTGACACCGCCGACACAGCGGACCGCTGCTGACGCCGCCGGCCGTGCCGACACAGCGGGCCGCTGCTGACACTGCCGGCACTGCGGACCGCAGCTGACGCCGCCGGCCGTGCCGACACAGCGGACCGCTGCTGACACCGCCGGCCGTGCCGACACGGCGGACCGCTGCTGACACCGCCGGTCGTGCCGACGCAGCAGACCGCTGCTGACACCGCCGGTCGTGCCGACACAGCGGGCCGCTGCTGACACCGCCGACACAGCGGGCCGCTGCTGACACTGCCGGCACTGCGGACCGCAGCTGACGCCGCCGGCCGTGCCGACACAGCGGACCGCTGCTGACACCGCCGGCTGTGCCGACACGGCGGACCGCTGCTGACACCGCCGGTCGTGCCGACGCAGCAGACCGCTGCTGACACCGCCGGTCGTGCCGACACAGCGGGCCGCTGCTGACACCGCCGACACAGCGGACCGCTGCTGACGCCGCCGGCCGTGCCGGCACGGCGGACCGCTGCTGACACCGCCGACACTGCGGACCGCAGCTGACGCCGCAAGGGCGTGCCGGCACAGCGGACCGCTGCTGACACCGCCGGCCGTGCCGACACCGCGGACTGCTGCTGACGCCGCCGGCCGTGCCGACACAGCAGACCGCTGCTGACACCGCTGGCCGTGCCGACGCAGCAGACCGCCGCTGGCCGTGCGCGTGTCGTGTCCCATCGAGCTTTACGGCATATGCTGCGGGGTGAGCGGTCCGGCCCTCGCCCCGGTGCCCACTCCTAGTCCGGCAGCTTCCATGGCATGGACGGCAGAGCGAGCCGCGGCTTCGGTCGCAATATTTATTCGGGGCGGTTTCGACATGTGGCAGAATAAATATACAAACTTGAGAAATGTCCTGTACACACAGACGGCGGATAGCAGTCAGTAACGCGACGGGCAGCGGTGCTGGCCGTGCGGTCACGGTCGTCGGTGTTTGGGCTGTCGCAGCTTCCTGCCCTCGCCTGAGAACGAGCTGAACACCGCCTCCTCAGAGGTTGCCTGAAACAGCGCCGGCACGCTACGGTCATTCACTCAGAACGGCCGTGTCAAAACGGACCCATCGCTCACGACAGTGGCCAAACAACCAGTCGGAACCCGGTTAGAGGGCACAGTTTGCCCCACAGAACAAAGGGAAGTGCTCCATTGGTGCACGCCACATCCCTGACGAGCCGCAGGCGCACCGCCAGGCCATTACGGGCGCCCTTCGATGGCAATACTGAGCTGATTGTGGGTGCGCGGCTCCGCGCCCGGCTGCCGCCCGCATGCATAGTCCACCTGTGATCGTGATCGTCGCGCGGGCCATTGATTGCGGTCGACTACGGTCCTTGCAATAGCAATGCCGCAGCAGGCAAATGCCTAAGGAACGCGAGCTGCACACGACCAGGTTGACTGACCCTTGTGAGCCCACATATTACGCCCGTAAAACTTCCAACAGGCCCATCGGTCATCTAGCAGGACTTCAGTCAACGTCAGTCAACGTCACTTGCCGCTGGCGCTGAAACATTGCTCCACCTGCTGTCACCCAGAACATGTTACCGGCCAGATGTAGAGAACATCCGACAGTCCCTCCATTGTGCCTGTTTGGCACGCCAGATGGGTCTTTGGGGATACCATCCTCTGACATAATCGGGGACATCAAAACTGCACGAGAAGCGCCACGCCGCCATCCGCGGACCGCTCTGGTCGAGGCGCCAAATCGTCGTGCCCTCCTCCCCTCCAATTCTGCTACGATAAGGACCTCGGCGCAGCACGGACACACACCTGGTGTGGCTGGGGTATAGCGTTCCGTAAGAAGCGAAGGTAGCCGATCTGGTAGTCGTAGTCCGGGATTCCCCGCACCCGCGGTCCGTTGGACGCCGTGGCCTTGGGCGCGTCTAGGTTCTTCTGTTTGCCGTCAAGCCTGGGGCGGGTGGGTGAGTCACGCGCCGAAGCCACGGGGCGGGATGTAAGATCCCCACCGAGCACCTGAGCACGCGATCGGCCCCATACGGTGCGACACGTCCGCGCCAGAGCCGGTGCGTGGGATGGTCATAATGACTAAAGCCGGCCGAATCCGACCAATAAACGGCAACGGTCGTGTCTTGGCAGTGGCTGGCCGCAGGAGAGGCCATGCGTGACCCGACGACAGTACGTCCCACGCCCGCCACTCGGGACGTCCACAAACAAGTTCCGTAAGCACTAATGTCCAAGGGTTGAGGTCGAAGGGCCACGAACAGGTTCTGCAAACATTTGTCTGAACGGACTACGGGGCTGGGAGCGAGGAAACTTATAAATCGTTCGGATCGGATCGGCACGTGCCTTCCCACCCAACGACATTTACAAACTGATCATTTCTCTGACGTGTTCGGGATGCAAAAGCATCCAATGTAGTCACATAAATGAATGTATGTAGACCGCTAATTGACTGTCAACAGAACGCTGAAACCGAGCCGCGCCCATCGGTGGACTGCGCCACGCGCCGCTGCCGGTGCAGTTTGCGGCGGCTCACCGCAGCCCAGAGCCCTGGAACGGCACGAAGCCAGTCGGCTCGGGCATCTCGTGCTCCTCGGCCGGGGGCTGCTGGGCGGCTGGCTCCCTCTCCGGCTCCTGGTAGCCGACCGGCGCGGCGAACTCCACCTGTCGGCAACACGGGCAGCCTCAGCTGGGTCAGATCGCTGGCAACAAAGTACAGCACACATATATAAACTTCTTCAACGCGCCATTTCGGTGGCCAAAAACACGACAGACCATGCACAGGGAAACAGGCATCGATGTAATGGCTCCTCACTAACGTCCATGGCCACTGGGAGCGCATCATTGCACACGCTGCAAAACTGGGAATACCCATTCGTTGGTTAAGTCGTTAAAGCAACGGAATGCATACGAAATACACTCCGTCCCGACCTTCCCCAAAATAAACCTTTGAAGGATTACAGAGGAAGTTCCGGTATTCGATACACATGTATGTAGAAACCGATGTTGAAAATGTCCGCGTCTATCACATCTTCTCCAATCTCTCGCGGGTTTTAAGCAGCACGCGATGGCGCAGTACTGCAGTCCGTCACACTGCCGGCCGCACGGTGCTTACGTTCATGTCGCACTCGATGATGCTGACGGCGCGGCCGGGCTTAGTCTCCTGCACGCAAAACTCGTACACCTTGGCGTTGTAGGGGATGGCGATGACGTCGCCGGTGGTGAGGCAGGCGAAGTTGCGTAGCGCGTTCTCCAGCACCGCCTTTGGGTTAGTGATGTCGAGGAAGTCGGGCGACTGAGGCTGGAACTTGGAAAAGGTGGCCACAGGAAGCGAGACGCTCTCCACCGTCAGCAGGGCACCCTCCTCCAGCAGCAGGTTCCGCATCATCTGCCACACACCGCACGACCGGCACATGTCAGGCCCTGTGTAAGGCCCCACCAAGCAGAAAGGACGAATGGATATCAAGTGCATTCGCCCCATGTGTGAGATTATCGCAGCGCCATCATCAACATAAACGTATGTGATCCTCCACGCACCAGACATGACGCAAGCGGCCGCCCAGTTACAAAGCACACCACCGAGACGCCGCCGACTCCGCACCACCGGCACACCGGCGGCTCACGCATGCTCGTGGCGTCTGGCTCACCCAGTAGGGCAGGTAGACCTTGCCCTCGTCGGCGACAAACTCGAGCACGCCGCAGTGTGTGACGCGGTCCGCCCTCCGATTGGTGAGCTTGAACAGCATCGGGTAGACGACGTTGAGCCGGGTCAGCGTGTCCAACGCCGACGGCGGCATGATGACTGCCGGACACAATGGCGCCCGGGTCAGACGAGCCTGGTAATGCACGGGTCGGCCCGCCAGGCGTCGGCCTGTCCCGGCAAAAGGGGACATTCTCAAGTGGTCGTCGCTGGATTAACTTTCGAAACCACCCCACCATATGCCCGCGATGGGTCAACGCTCATCTTCCGCTCAACCCGTCACGCATCTTGCAAACACGGCCTGCTCGCAATATTCAGGCGCGCCTACCGGCCTACCCAGTCTGCAGGATGATTGTACACGCTGTAATTCGTAAACATGGGCAGCTGGTTGGCCCGCAGACCCGTCAGACAGTGTATTGAGTACTCACTCTTGCCACCTTTCTCGACGTCCGTGCGCTCCTGGCCTGGCAGCATCGATACAGAATAGCATCTGTACTGTGTGTTGAACGGCCGCAGCGCATCAGGGAACATTGGGTATCCAAACTGAAAAGAAGTTTGTGTTACAGAAGTGCACACATAGGGTTTACCAATCAACCACCACAGAGTAGCGCACAGCGGGTAGAATAGCAGAAGCAGTAGTGAATTTTAGCATATAATCTCAATGATCTCCAGAGCAAAACAGTGAAGAGAGCATTACAAATATTCACTTAGGACCAGCCACCAAAGAAAGCAGATGACATGCTGAGGATTCGCTTGCCCACTTCATTTACTGTTACGCCCAGACATGTGCCTGGCTCCCAACGATGGATCCAGTATCCCACATCGTTCCATGTTAGTGGGATCCTCGGAACTTTAGAGACCCAGGCACCTGTACATCATTAGCACATTGTGTGAATGTTTTATGCTCCAGGCACTTGAACGTCGTTAACAGATGGTGTGAACGTTAGTTCTGAAGAAATATAAAAGCTTGAGCGTTTCACTCACATCATATCAGAGAACAATTGTCCGGCAAGTCATCAAGAGAATTGCTAATCTGATAATTACATCACATTAAAACTGTATTTTATGAAAGAGAATTTTAAAAAGTTAACTTAAGAGGACCCCATGTTACGTATCAGAGCAAAGCTTGAGTAAAACCTTGTAACTGCGTCCATGTAGTCCTTGGTGTAACACTGCACAATCATGTTCTGGTGGCATTGTGGCTGAGTGGGAAGATACTTCGTGCAAGAACAGGATATGGTATTAATGGATTCGCTGTTCATTTAGTCGTCTTTAGTCGATCGAGGTGCGAAGCGTTGGCTGTCAGTTAGTCGTTTTTAGTAGCTTTTAGTAGCTTTTAGTTGGTACAAAGTCCCCATCCCCGCGTCCCCGCGGAAGAGTGGAACCTGACGGGTCACCCGACCCAAAGCACAGATTAGGGCGGGCGGTCCGGCCCGTTGGTGGCGGCGAATGAATGGACACATGTCCCCAGAATGTGGGGAAGGAAGGCGAATGGGATCATGCGCACAACCGGTGTTTCGCTCTTTACTTCGCGTTTGTAGGTTCAACATGTGTTATCAATAATATCATCATTTGACTCCCTGCTCACCACCATGAAAGTAGTACCTCTGATTTCTCTTGCCTTTCCAACGTTTGTGTTCCGCAAAGTTTGCAGCGCACTAATGCGTCAAAATGTTCACCCAATAAATGCTGCAAAAGCTTGAAGCATTTTGTTTAGACAAAAAGATATGAGAACGTGGATCTATCATCCCGCGAATTCCATGAAAAGTTAACTATGCTTTGATTTCTCGAGGCGCAATTTGGCTTTAGGAATGGGAGCATCACACGATCCATGTGACGATCCTAGTTCAAACTTCAACCAATGTGCTTCTCAGTAACAGGCCTTTGCCCGCCGGACAAATCCCGCACGTTCTTTTGGTCGCACAGTGGAGGTGCGCACGGTGGTTATCATGACGATGGTGGTCACGTCTGCAGGGAAGAAATGTAGGCGCTGTTACAAAGCGCTGAAAGCGTCATTTGAACAACAAAAAAAACAAATTTGATGTCCTTATGTTTAAGCGGCGCTCCAGTGGCGCTACCCAGTGCTGTAATAGACGTGACTAGTCCTGAGGTTTCATTAGAGTAAGGGTGAGACACTCTTTAAAAGGGGCGTTCCACAATTCTTGGGCTTTCGAACTGGAATGGCTTTCTTGAAAGCCATTTGGTCCACTCCACAGCCCTGCCATTCTTAAGATATAGACACCTCTAGTTTCTGAACTAACCGTCCGCGAAGATGTGCAGACTTTTTCGGAGACTATTTCAAAGTCACCAAGGCATCCACGGTGCCATAATAAAGTCATTAAAATCCTGACATTTCATTGGCCAGGCGGCGATTAAAGCCAGGACAAACACCATCGTCGAGTCGTTTATATCTAGCGCTCGTGAGCACAATTTTCGGATATAACTGCCATTAATTTACTCCCGATCAACGTTGTGCAAGGCACGATGACTTAACCAAACAATGGTGCATTGAGGAGCACATTTACCAAACAGGGAAACTGTGTTGTCTAGAGCAGCACTTTCAACCTACTTAAAGTACACCAATAATCACAAGTGAGCTAATTTCACCATATAGGATGCTTGCTTCAATATCTCCAAATGTGGAACCTTCCCGTTCAGGCGGTACCACAGTAAGCTTAACACAAATAAAATCGCAAAAGTGGGGGAATTAAAGCCGTTACCCCTACCTTCAAAAGTACAGAAAGCATGGCCCCCTACCGGCTCACCGGCTACCGGCTTGTCGCTGTGTTGACATTGCTCTGTATCACTATTAAGCGAAGCATGAATTAAGCCGCTCTCGCGAACGGAACATGCGTGCAGCTGAGCTGGCGGTCAGGGTCGCGCGAACACGCAGAAGGTTGACGACTTCAGGAATGTCTGTCCGTGTATTGTGCCCTATACTGCCGAGACCGGGCAGGGGGGGGGGATGAGTATATTTGACCCCTTGACAAATGACAACGGGCAGTTGACCTCTTGCTCCTCTAATGGTGCTGTCCCTAGACGCCTCCGTATGGTTAACATGCGCAGCTTCTGCGCATGCCAACCCTGCAGAATGGGGAATAAGTGCACCAGGAATAAGCATAATACGACCTTAAAGAGGAAAGACATGGATAAACGACGGTCTGTTTAGATTATATGAGTAGCATGTTACAGCGCCATTGGCTTATAGCACATAATTTCTATTTTCGTGTCTAGTACGGGTCTCAGACCAGTGCGCGGCTGGTGCACGTTGGGGAAGACAGAGACTTTTGATTTGGGGATTCAGGGTTGCAACTCTTTTCACAATCAGGTCAGAGATTAAGTTTTTGATCTGCTTGCATATACAAGATCGAATAAACAGTGGCATCTCTTCAGTTGGTAGTAGCATCTCTTGGCAAAATTTACTTGCATAACTCTCTTTATGTCTTGGTCATTGCCAACTGCCTCAGCTCATTTTGCTTTTTGGACTAAATTTTGTGGTATTCTTGCTTCCAGGTAAACGCCTAAACTAAAGTAATTTAAAGGAAATGTTTCACAGCTGCTGATCTTGAAGTAAGCATAACATATGACAAAATATGCTCACTTATTCCTATTTGTTCACTCTTTAGTGGAAAGGACTGCCCTAAACAATAAAACTGTCTTATTTAGTAAATAAGTTCCTCCATATGTCATTGTCTGATTGCATCATGGAATGTTTGCATAATGTTGAGAAGTTAACACACTAGCCATGCCAGATTGTCACCATAGCACTCATTTGTAGCACTTTAAATTTGCCGCGATATGGCAGTGATGGTGCTTGAAGTGTTCAGTGAGCCACATTTTGTTATCATTTTGTGTTCTGGGCCCTTTCTCGTGGCATTCTTGCATATGGTTTATGTGAGTTTTAGAGCTTTAGAAGTCATTTGATTACTAGTCTCACTTTCATAATAACTAGAAATCATGTCCAACTGTTCATATTACCTGGCACAAAATGTCATTCGTGATTGCAACTGACACAGCTTGCTCAACCTTGATTGAGAGCAACTTAACATCCACTACATGTAGAAATGGTGCTCAAGGATGTCAGATTTTAACAGCTGGATGATAATATGACATTCTTCTTGGCCTTGAACATTACATGGTCCATGGGGTGACAGGATTTATATGGCATTGCTATAGTGCCATGCATGCCTGAATGACATAAAAAGCCTGCACATCTTTGTGGGCATGTGGTTCACAAACTAGATGGTTTTAGGTCATAAGAAGGGCTGAGCTGTAAACTATGTCCAATGATCTTCAAAATGGCTATTCCACTTCAAAAGCATGTACACATGTGGACCACTCCCTTAAAAGCAGACCTTGAATATAATGCACATTTCACAGATACTCTTCCCATCCATCTCAAGTGCACTCTGTGATCTGTATGCTGTTAATCTGCTGGTTACAGATTGGAGCATTAAAAACATTGCCATTTGGGCCTGTCCTACACCTTTCATTACCTCTATCCCAAAATCTTCAACAAAATAATGGGTACAGTCACAGCAGTGGGGGGGGGGGGCTTGGAGAACATGTTCATCTAAAATTTGGTCAGAACCTTTGCCTTTCCAGTCCCTAACTGCATTACAACTTGAACCATATTTCAACAACTCAGAAGACAATGTTCAATAATTGCTGACTTACAAAGTATTACAACCTGATGCAAAGAAAACACAACCTCAACTGTTTAGAACATTTTCATTCAGGTATGTATAGACACCATCCACTTCCCAAACTATCAACCCATCTCCTGAGGTTTATGGCACTTGAACAACCATAGAGCACACCTGCTAGCTATGGGTTTGGATTCGTGGGACTGAAATGGTTAAAAATTACATGATAGTACTTTAATGTTATTAACAAAAATCCAAGTGCTGAAAGACATGTTTTAAATTATATGACTGATTTGGAATGTTTATGTGTGTCTATGTGTATAGCATTACAGTGATAATTCAACAAGCATATTATATATTTTCCAGACAGATACATCCCTCCCAATAAATACAAAAGACATGGGAAGTTATCACGGGTTTTCCAACAGATTAGGTTACGGGTCCTTTGCTATATTGGTGTATCAGTGTTCATTCAAGACTTAAATGCAAGAATTTGATGTTATCTAACTTTCTATAAAATATAGCAATTTTGAGGTAAATATACAAGGTCATGTCCTATGATTAAGTTATAGAACACTGATAAACCTCACCTCTAACACACTTCTCTGGTCTGTACTGATGCCTGCCAATTTGGGCACAAAATGCAACAATTCTGGATTTAAAAACATATGTCCAGAACATTTTCACATAACCCAATCCTCAGTAAAAAAACACACTGGCTTTTTTCCTAAGCAACATAATACCTGGGGTATTGCTGGTGGGCCTCATTAGTAAATACCCTGAGATGGTTTGTTGGATGAGAAATTAATGTGCCATGTGTGTGTCTGGTACTCCTTACTGAGTGTGGATTCTAGCATCAAATTCAGAGCACAAATTTTATCCGGTCGAATTCTGCATCGGTGCCAAATTTTGAGCACTGCAAGTGGGACATTTGTATTTGTGATCCATTTAACGCTCTCTAGTATACTGTTAAACTAAAATGATCCAGCACCTGCTAAATTTCCACCATTGTTTCCCCTGGCATGTAGGCAACATTTTCCTCACTGGGCCAAATATCATACTTACCATGATATCATGAGAATATGAGCTTTTTTTCCTGCCCAGCTACCCAATACCTAATGATGCCCTATTGGCTCAGGGAAGGGGGCATGTTCTACTTGGCCCATACCTGGCTACCTCCTAGCATTTTCTTTAATACTTGTTTGTGTATTACCCAAAGTTCTCCCACAGTTCTCAACACCACTGCTGACCTGGCCATTGAGACATGCAAGGTGAAGTAACCTTCTTTTTTCATTGCTTATTGCTTTCTATGATTTTACTACTACCCTATTTCATATTCCAATTCAACTACTTAAAAGCCTTATTTGTATTCTCCACAAAGTGCCAATATTCTCATGCTGGTTCAAGATGTTACTTCTGTTTAATGATCATCTTTTTTGCCAAATTACTACTCAAGAACATGGAGGAAGTGACATCTTATAGCTGTAAATATATGTCATAAGTGCATTTCTTCACTGTCCATTTTACTGCTTTACTGCTATTTATATTTAGTTCTTTATTGAGCATTGTTATCACTTACATTCAAAATTAGTACATTCACCAAGGCATTGCCTTTGAATCAAAGCAATCTTTGTAAGGTGACTACATAAGACTTTTTTAGACCAAATTATATCAAGAAGTATCTAAAAACCAAAGAAATGCATCATCTTTCCCTTGTAAATACCATAATAGATATCATGACTGTGCCAGTCTGTGACATGTCTGCAAGGGTTTGCATAAGCTACAGCACCAATATTGGTACAGGTCTTTTTGCTGGTGGATGATTGCTTTATCAGGTGAGATGTTAACAGTCAGCTGAGCATAGGGTGAAGCCCTGATAGCAGTGGCAGGAAAAAGATAAGGTATGCTAGATAAGATAAGGTAGATTAGGCTAGGTTAAATCCTGGGAAATTTCAGTCTTATTATGTTATGGCTAATGACACCATTTGTTATTGAGGTGCTAAGTAAAGAAAACCCCATGCTATCATTGCACATTGTGTATGGCATGGCTGTAACCATGCTCATTTAAAGGATATGTGACAAATGGCATGCTGATGATATTGTTCTGTCAGCATTATGAAGAATTTCTGGAGATAGACATGATATGCTGAAACAGGGTTGCATAGATCACAAAGACACATGACTAGTAATGATCTTTATATAATTTTCACAGTGTGTTATCTGATTCAATCATGACCATAACTGGACTTGTCAGTCTGTACTCAGACCTGGACCAGCCACCTGCCCACCCTAGTTGAAACTCACTTCTCATCTGTCAGCATCAATGTGTCACACTCAAACATACTCATACTCAGAGCTGCTTGGGTTAGATGAACTGCCAGGGAACAATCACTCACAGGGATGTATATAATAAAATTCATTTTACAGAACATAATAAATTATGTGGTTTAAGGAAACAATCCTTCAGAGATGTGCATAATAAGATTTACTTCACAGAATATGACCACTTATCTGGTTTCCAATCAAAACAACAATAAAAGCAGCTCACCAATTACATTCATAAGTGATTGAACCAACAGTTGTTTCTTACACAACAAGTACATGGGCACTAAGTCGTGATGTATTTTCTTACCATTTTGAGCTGGCCTGGGTATTACTAAAATATAACACAACGAACTTGGTGGAAGGAATAGCACACTGTGCACTCTTCAGGCCTCCCACAGATTGTCATCGATGTGAAACCCGAGACCGATTACGAGTTTAACTGAATATGCGGCCCTATAGCGCAAGGAACTCATCAACCACTAAAACAGGCTATCAGACTAAGTGACCTCACTCCCAGGGCGCTGTTTGGAGCAGGATTCCGATGATCATGCTTCGACCCGCGTATATTTGTTTCCAAGTCGCTAGAGACTTTTCGTGACAAAATATCTCAAGATAAGGCTGGTAGTTCGGCTCCACTGAGATTTTCGCGCACATACATGCGTGTAGGTTGCATATTTGTTTCCAAGTCAATAGAGACTTTCCCCCTAAAATATCTCAAGATAAGCCTGGGAGTTCTAGCTGACAAGGACTCACCAGCAATGCTGCCATAATATACAACACTAAGGCCATACATACTCGGATAGGACAACAGCTGTCCGCCAGCACGTGAAAGCCGCCGCCATCTTGATACAGACATGGAGCTGCATGTGTGGGTTGCGTAGTATGTCGGAAGGGCTGCGTATCTAGCGTTGTTGACAAATGTTTCGTTGTTTTATGGCTTTCGCTGGATATATTGTCTGCTGGCACGGTCTCTGCAAGACGCAGAGGTACCGGATCGGGCATGGATTTGCGTTCTCCATGTTATTGTTACTGGTGGTGGCTGCCCCAGTGGGACGCTCCAAGCAGTCCGCGTGGTTCCCTCTCAATGGAACGTTTATGGTCTTGTTGATGTCAGTGCTCACCAGGTTTTTATATTTGGTGGCCTCTTTCAACTTCTTGACTGAGGTGTCTGACTTTTTGTATTTAGCTTTGCCAGCTGAGTGCCTTTTTCATTGTTCTACATCAGGATATTGTGGTGACTAATTTCTGTTGAAATGACTTCCTGACTGGTTCCTGGACAATTTATTTATGCAAGCAGTAAGTCGCCTACAATTACCTAGTATCCATTGCCTTGACTCACAAGCTGCATTCAATACAGTGTCAGAATCCAGGTAATGTTTTGTTATCTGCTTTTAATGTAGGCACAGTGCATGTTGCCATGCAAAAATCACAGGAGCAGTACTGGCAGTCAAACATTTTGCTACTTAATTTTGGCCAATGCACTCCCAAAAGCTTATGGTACTTGCCTATTTTTGCAAAAGTTCTGGCATGGTGTACCCTTGATTCTTGTTAACAAAGAAAACTACATGAGAGGAACTTATTTACAAAGTGGATAGTTCTTGTTTTGTGCATTCTGGCATGACTGACAGAAGAGAACTGTCATTGCAGAGTGAAATCATGTCAGAGGACATGGTGGTTCCTGTGTGTTGGATGGGGGAAGGAAGGTTGTGTTTGGCATCAGATATGAGGACTTGTATGTTGTCTGGTTACTGGGTCACATGAGCATCTGGCATGTGCGGTCTGAGGTCATTGGCAAAGATTGTGAATAAGAGAGGACCAAGGGCTGATCCCTGGAAGACTCCCATGGTACTGAGGAGGGGCTTAGAGACCATGTGACCAGAAGAAGAGATGTGGACTGACTGGGAGTAACCAGAATGACAGGAGGAGGACCAAGCCAGGTCAATGTTATGGAGCTGGAGCTTGGAAAGTAGTTGAGCATGAGGAATTGCACAGAAATGTTCACTGAGATCCAAGAGGCACAGGAGTGAAGATGACCACTATGCATGTTGGAAAAGATGTGGTTGGTCATGGAGAGCAGAGCAGTCTCAGTGGAGTGGCGGGGACGGAAACCATGTTGGGATGAAGACAAGACGATTGTTGGACATGTGGCTGAGCACCTGGCGCTGCACCACATGCCCAACACTTGGCCATGATAGGAACGATAGAAATAGGGCGGTAATTGAAGACCAGGGTGGGATCGCCGGATTTGAAAATAGGATGAACCAGGGTGTGCTTCCAGGAAACGGGAAAATCGCAGGAGGTGAGGCAGGTGTTGATAATATGGAGAAGGATGGGGCTGATGACGTCAAAACGGAGGAGTAGGATACGAACAGCGACGAGCCACCCGGCTTGTCTATGAAGTGAGGCGCCAGCCATACCCTGAGAGGCTCAGACTCCTTCAGTTGTCTTCGCTGTACTATCGTAGTCGTAGGGGAGACTTGGTAACAGCGTACCAGCTGTTTCACGGAGGTATGTCGCTGTCGGAAGAGAAGTTCCTGACAAGGCACAACTCGGAGGTGACGAGAGGACACCAATGGGAGCTCCGAAAACCTCGAGCTAGGACTTCCCGTCCGTCGTAACTCATTCAGCACGCGGGTTGTCAACGACTGGAACGCTCTTCCACACCCGGTCGTGTCGTTGACCTCAGTTGAACAGTTGAAGTCTAGGCTTGATACGCACTGGGCTGACATCATGTACGACGTCCCACACTGAATCTTCCCATAATTTGAGACTGTTTGGTTACCGGACCGGGAGCCTGACGAGACCGGGATCTACAGGCCTAGTGGCCTTTTACAATTCCCGATCACCATAAGGTAAGGTAAGGTAAGGGATACAAACGCCATTAGATCCGCACGCCTCGGAACGCTTCATGGAGAACATGACCTCGCGCAGCCCGCCAAGGACCGGGTCAGTCACCCGGAAACTGCAGGCGCCCACCCTGGGCAGGCCATATGGGACGTCAGGTGGCTGTCCGAGACCAGACAGGTTGGTTGCGACACGGGGGCTGACATTGACAAAATAAGCATTCATCTCAGCCGGGGTCGCGGCTGGGAGGTTGCAAGCACTGCTCTTTTTCCCGCCAACAGCTGGTGGATAATGTGGTACAGAGGATTCCTCCCCTGCTCACGCAGCCTCTCAATATCTGCCCGGCAGTCACGCCTGATCGCTTACCTCATATTCCGGTCCATTTCACGGAAAGCCGGCGATCTCCCCTCGCGATGCAACACGCCCCTCCACTGTGCCATGAGCTCATGGGTCACCGGAGTGACAGCTGGTGCGCTTGGGCTTCTCAATGATGCATGTTTGATCGGAGCATATTTGTCGACGACATGTATAATGCAGCCAAGTAAATGGGACCGCATGGCGGCGAATGGGCACCTAAAAGCACCCGACCAGTCGATATGGTACAAATCACGAAGCAAACAAACATGGTCAATCCCTTTCAACAGTCCAGTATGGATGCGGAGAGGCTTGACACGACACTTGACAAAACTAAGAGCGTGCGAACAAAATGGTGACGGCTAAAAGCGCAGTGAAAAGCTCCAACACGCTGAACGACGTTATCTGAATTAGAAAGGAGCATGTCTAAAAGCGACCCGGAAGAAAAAGGTGGGCTCCCTGACGAAGTGGTGCGGATGAAACGATCGAAGCATCTCATTTGACCGATCGTTCGCAACGTTACTAGCGGGGTCCAGTAAATTGCAAGTTAGATCGCTCATGGTGACAATCGGTCCGGTGTGTTCAAGAAGAACTCGCTGGTGCTGCAGCTCCAGTTCGTTGAAGTGCCAGGAGAGCAGCCACTGGCGCGGCGCGGGGGCCGGCAGACCGCAGCCACAGTGAAATGCGGACCGGACTCCGATCCTCACACGCATCCAGAGGGACTGAAGCCTACAGTCCGGACTCTCAGGTGCCGGCTGTGTGGCGACAGTGGCTTCGTAGCAGTCACGGCTCAAGGATCGCCAAACCTCCATAGCCGACCTCTCCCGGCCGGTCCGCACGATACAGCGCACGGTAGGGGACTGACTAGCTAGGACGCAGTGTCGGATCGAAGCCACGTCTCGTTATCACGCAAGAGTCATAATGGAGTTGGTTTAGGTGGTCATGCTGCAATGAGACGATTTTCAGCAGCAGGGACTGGACGTTGGCCAGCCCCGCCAGTAGGTTCCGACGACGGCCGTCCGGAGGAGAGCGCAGCCACGACTGACCGGTTCTTCAGCCCGGCATCGCGCCTACCGCACCGGGCAGCGCGAGCAGCAACAGGCAGGTCACGGTCAAGCTCACCGTGGCCGGGGTGCGGAGCGAGGTTGCCTCGAGATAGGTCGACGTGGCAACAGGGCCGATTGGCTGGGAGGTTGCTACCGCACAGCGCCGGTGACTATGTCGCTGGTCCTAGTCGGGAGGTGGCTGTGATGCTGGTCTCGCAGCTGTTACAAACAGGTAGGTTAACACCAGCAGCACCAGATGGGTGTCAAGATCGCGATTGCATCTTTGCAGCGGCTGACGTAGACTGTTTCGACGAGCAGACTTTTGAGTAGACGCTACATTGTGCAGCTGGACGAGGCTTAGCATGCAGCGCCCTGGCAGATGCAGGAGAGAGGTGGTGTGCAGCATCGGTGCCGATGACATGTGAGATCCCGGCTACGATCTCAGGCAACTAAGTACGGTTTGGGAAACCACCGTACCGGGCTGATGACTATTCTGGTGGCCACCTGCCGACGGGTGCGTCTTTATCGCCAGGCGAAGCTGCGTAACGCAGGCCTGCGAGGAAACACGATTCGCAAAAAATCACTGAAGCACTGCTGTTAAGAGGACAATAGGCAAGCTGAAGGAGCCACTATCCAGTCTTCATTTGTCTGGTGGTGTAACCAGCAGAAGATATGCTTTCCTACAGTTTTCTCACCTCTCCGACCGTCGGTTCGTCTGGCCTGTCCCCTGCTCTCTGTTAAGGTTTATGCGATATGTGATCCGGGCGACGTGTGATTAGTGCTTTGTGCCAGTTAACTTAGTAATTGTTCGTAATTCAATGCAGTTTAGCTGTCATCCGCAGAAAACGTGCGCGCGAATTGCAGACATTAACCTTGAACACGTTTGTGGCGCCTCGTGACGGTCCGGTCGGCCGGTCCGGTCCGGGCAGTCAGATGTATTATTTTTGTTATTGTTGTGATATCTGGTTTTGAGAACTCAAAAGTATTCATTCCATTCACTAGAAATCGGCCAACCAGTCTCACATGGCCGGGTGCCTGCTCGGGCGCCTAATATATCTGAGCGTGGCAAGTACTCGTGCCATTCATCTATATGTGAAGGCCGTGGAAATGGCGAAGGCAGCGGAAGGCGGCATCATACCCCGCACAATGCAGATTCGGCAGCAACTCGTACGTCGGCGCCACACACGCAGCTGCCGGTCCGTGGACATCCGCGGTGTGTGTGACACAGGATTACCGCGTCGCCAGGTGTGCCGACGTCCACCTCACAGCAGCATCAATCATTGCGCGCCTGTGCGCCCGCCACAGAACCCGGCACAACGGTGGGTGCAATCTACGCTACCACCGATGCTTGGGGTGAGCGCGGCGGACGACCCGGACCAGCGGAGGGGCCGCGGCAGTCATCAGGGGTGGGCCTACGCTCCTCAGGCTTTCCGAACGGATGTCACCCGTACACATCAGACGCGACCGCAGCCGACTCCAGCGGAGTTCTAGAACAGCAGGAAGGCAGGAAAATACCACCATCGCTCGGTGTCAGCACGGCGGGCTGTCCGCCCAGGCAGCGGTCGTGCAGGTCGGTGGCGGGGTAACTCATTGAGTAGTGAAATGCAAGACATAGATGCTTCAATATCGTTGGCATATGGATTTATCTCACAAAGGTCTTCAAAATGGACTTAAGTTTTAATTTTTGATTCCACGGTATTACATAGCGACCTCCTCGCCCCGTGCCTTGCGATGGCGTTATCAGCGCGAGTCTATATTTCTTGTACTTATATGTACATATATATATATATATATATATATATATATATATATATATATATATATATATATATATATATATATACACATTATCGGTGTGGCGGCCGGCTTTATGTACCAGCAGGCGGACCACTCCTTTCCCCTGTCCTATCCAGTCTGTATATTTATGGCCAAGACAACCACTGGGTACATTTGTTAGCACTTTTTACAGCTTTGAGATGCCAGCGCAACAGCCTTTTTCGGTGATGTCATTGATGTTTCCCAGTCGATACCTCAAGGGCGGATGCGTTCAATGCAGGCGAGCCGGCAATTTCTAGAGTTACGGAAGGCAGCATAAAATGCTTGTATGCGTGCACGACGCGTTCGATCATACTCGATCAGTACCGTCGCGGGAGCACTATTACACCGCAATGTAAATCGCCGATCGGACGACATGACTGCGTTATGAAAGTGTAATGCCGGCAAATCTCATTACAGGCGCACGCCAAAAATAAGGATAGACATTCGTATATTTGTTAGCAATGTTCTTCAGCTATCAGTTCTCATCGCTTTCTTTGATGTTCGATTGCTTTCTTTCATGATGTTGTTTATATGTTCTAATCCATGCCAAAACGGCGTATGCGCTCGGCGCTGGCAGGCCGGACATTTCAAGAGTTACGGAAGGCAATGTAAAATACTTAAATGCGCGCACGACGGGTCCGGCCATGCTCATTGTCGTGTGTAAGCTGTTTCAGACGCCAAGATAAATCGTCGAACGGACGTCATGACTGACGATGACATGACATATCTGCGTCATGACAGTGCATTGTCGAAAGTGGCCGAGTCTTTTCAAGCAGCTTGATGTCGTGATGGCCAGGGGAAAGTGTGAAAGCAAGGTGCCATCCTCGTCCCAGAAGATGCACGAGAACCGATCAAGCTGATCACGGATTCGAGGGAAATGTTCGTTAAGAACAACAGGCTCCTCTTCCCCAATCCAAGAAGTTGGAGGGTTGGACACTTCGCAGCGGGCGAGGGTCCTCCGGGAGGAAATGGTCCCCGAGAGGCTTAAAAGTCTCTTCCTAGCCACAAACCTCCACAATAAGTACTACGACATCGCAGATTTGGGCGCTGGACGATGGGGACATGGAGGTACTCAACCGCCATATGAGGCACGACAAATAAGTACGCCGTCGGTTCTACCGTCTGCCCGAGTCCACTCGTCGACCACGAGGTCCTCCTCACCAAGCTGTCTTGGTTTGGCGTTGCCGATGTGGGATGGTTTGGGAGCTATTTGGGTGGTCGAGCGCAGGCGGTGTGTGGAAGGCGGATCACTCTCCCCATGTCATGCGGTGTATCCAGGTCTCGATCATCGGTCCAATCGATCTATAAAGATACTCGACTCATGGCCGCCGTATCTCCTGCGCCGACGACACCATGCACGTGGCCTGGACGCCCCCTGACGGACCGGGTCTCGCCGACCTCAAAACCAGACTGGAACTTACCATGCGTGTACCTCAGATCTGGTTCAGTGTCAACTCTCTCCAATTGAACAAAACATAAACTGCTTTTATGCTCGTTGGGTCAAAACAAAATTTTAAAAAATCTGCTGACTTCCACTTTAGTAAGCAGTTCGACTGCACATGCCTTAAGTGGCACCACAGTTATCGGCGTCATAGTTGACTTCGGTTTGTCATGGAGTACCCATGTCCCGAGCGTCGTGAAAAAAAATGCATGGGCACCCCTGTTTCTCTGTACAAAGTCCATCATTGCTTTACTTCAGACACACAAAATCATCATCCAGGTGTACATGTTCCCTCATATCACGTACTGCCTGTGCATGTTAAGTGGGAAGAACAGGAGCAAACTTCACAAGATAAAAAAAATCAACAAACTTTGCTGCGATATTAATTACCGGCTCCAAAAAACACAATCACTTCACTCCGGTCTTAAATTCCCTCGGGTAGCGAAGCATCGAGGTCATGACGGCGCACCGCAACGTGACAAAAGTATTTAAAATGCTGAAGATGGTAAGCGCTCGTCAGGAGGTCCGCGCGCTTTTCGCCGCACGCGCCACTGTTTCGAGCCGTGAAACGTGCGCCTCGGATAGAGGTAGTCTACACTTGCGTAGACACCGATTGACCAGCACACATAGGACGTTCTCGTATCGAGCCGCAGCAGACTGAAACCGCCTGCCATCATGCGTCCGCCATGTGACAACACTGAGCGCGTTTAAGACCGCCATGCGATCATTGTGATTTGAACCACCGGCAACTGATCTGATCCGGCCCATAGTGCGTTGATGTGTCTGTTTTAGCTCTTTGACTACTGTTCGCATCATTTTTGCATACCTTTTGTGCGTGTCTTTTCATACGGCACCTGTGTGACCTGAAACCGTAACAGCCACCATGTGGATGGTTTCCAATATACGGATACCAATACTGATACTAATGTCCCTATTGCTTTGCCGCTGATGACATACTGACAGCCGCAACTAGGCAGATGGCTATTGCTTTGGGATGGGCTCCCCATAATCTGAATGCTGATTTCCGCGCCCTCGATATCCGCCTTGACGTGTTAACACAAGTTTTCACTGCATCTATCGGAACAACCGTTTTTGACCCTTTCTGACCTCTGGTGACCTCGCATTTGACATCATGTCGAAGATTTGATGTATATTCTTCATGGTGTTGCGAGACCTATAAAACGGTATCTTTATTTTTCCCCATGCGGCGTCTGGGGCTTGGAGATCCCAGGGCAGGAAATCAACTTTGCCGCCCGGCCGGGCCCGGTCGTCTCAGACCGCCGGCCGGGTGCGGGTCAGTCTTTATGAATAGGAAAGTGTTGCGCATCAATAACTAGTGAATCGAGCTTACATTCCAGTCCGGGGATTTCATCAGATTGTATACTGCGCTTTGGGGCTGATTGTATTGCCTGGGCTGAGATGACGTGCCATGCGTGAGCACGAGGTGGTCGGGCAGCTCAAGGGGGGTACGTACCGGGGTGTTCGGAAGCTGGGCGCGAGCCGGGCCGGAACACGTGTGCTCGAGTGGTGGCGCGTAGCCGACTCGGAATCTGGCGCTGACGGCATCGATTGACTATTGACACGTATTTGGGCAGCCCGAATAATCTTCGGGCTATTACCACCCGTCGCGAGCAGATAAATGGATGGCATGAAGGTCATGAGGACAAAGACAGCCATTCAAAGCAAAGGCACTCAGACATACCCACAGGCACACCGGTCACGACTCCGCCGCACAAACAAGTCAATGTAGTGGCCGTCTCTGTCGGCCAGCGCCTGGTCGGCTTCGGCGGGGCTAGTGCCGAGGCCCGGCACCTCGCTCAGTGCTGAGGCCCGGCACCTCGCTCAGTGCTGAGGCCTGGCACCTCGCTCAGTGCTGAGGCCCGGCACCTCGCTCAGTGCTGAGGCCTGGCACCTCGCTCAGTGCTGAGGCCCGGCACCTGGGTCAGTGCTGAGGCCCGGCACCTCGCTCAGTGCTGAGGTCCGGCACCTCGCTCAGTGCCGAGGTCCGGCACCTCGCTCAGTGCCGAGGCCCGGCACCTCGCTCAGTGCTCGAGGCCCGGCACCTCGGTCAGTGCCAAGGCCCGGCACCTCGCTCAGTGCTGAGGTCCGCATCTCGGTCAGTGATGCACCCTCGATCAGTGCTGCAGCTCGCTCAGTGCGGCCCGGCACCTCGGTCAGCTGAGGCCCGCACTCGTTCGTGTGAGGTCCTGGCACCTCGCTCAGTGTGAGGCCCGACACCTCGCTCAGTGCGAGGCGGCACTCGCTTAGTCGCGACCGCACCTCTCTCAGTGAGAGGCCGGCACCTCGGCACCCTCATGTGAGGCCCGCCCTCGTCGCCAGTGTAGGCCGGCCGTGCGCCGACAGGGCTCGGGCGGACGGACCTGCTCGGTGCGTGACGTGCACCTGCCGTTTTGGTGCTGGACACGGATGGCGACGGAGCGAGCGCGGTGGTGGATCGGCTTGCTATCATTTGTGCAGACATTCAATGCAGTATAAAGTCGTTCCGCCTGGTTTTTCTGGCGGCGGCCGGACCACGTCTAGTCATGTGGTTCCCGGTCCCTCTGGCCTGCCAGCGGCCGGAGCGCCTCCAGCCGTCTGCCGCCCGGTCCCCCTGACCTGCCGGCGGCCGCCGGCGGCCGCCAGCCTTGACGCGCGGCCGGAGCCTGAGCTGATCGGGCAGCGCGATCAGCGCCGATCAGAGGGCGTTCGGCGGGGGCGGCCGGCGCGGCCGATTCATAATGCAGACGGGCTGGCGGGCGGCGGCGGCCGTGCTGGACCTGGCTGCGGGGCAACTCGTGTGTGCTGGCCGTTACCACAGAGACGGCGGCGGTCGATGCGGCGGCGGGCCGCGCGCCGATGGCCGGCAGTCGGCGGGGGACGGGCCGGCCGGCCGCCGCCACGCGCCGCATGAGCCGCATCTGGGAGCGGCTCCGCCACCGGGTCGGCCAGATTGGCGAGCCGCCGCCGCTGCCGCCCACCGCCGTCTATGTGAGTACCGCCGCCGCGCTGCGGGCGCCCAGCACGGCAGCGCGCAGGTCCTCCGCGCACGGCCGGCGCGGCTGGCGTGTTCTGAAGAAGCGGCCCACCGCCTCTGAACCGCGGGGAGTCAGGGACTGGCCGCGTCCGTAGCTTGACGAACAAGGAAGGCCTTTGCACTCAAAGTGCAAATGCGCATATTATCCTATTGTTGTCCCATCATCTCATGGCTGAACACCGAGCACGCCTCCATTATCAACCAGTTGAACGTTTGTTTTCCTTCTTCTTCACCACTAGATTGGGTATGCTTCGAAGTGTCCGAGCGGCATACAGGTGAGTGCTGTCCCTGCAGACGCTGGTTGCCATGGCAGCCCGTGCGATGACGGATGTGTTGTTTCCGCTTGTTACACCGCATGATGTCTGCTGGGTAATGCACCGTTGCAGAATGCTGCAGTTACGACATATTCCACCGTGGGGATAGGATGTTCCGGTCATCCGTGACCATTGGACTTTTGGATTCACTTTTACCATTGTCTTCTTACAGATGTCTTCGGAAGAGTGTTTTTGAGATTACGCTTGGGCACAGTAAATTTTGCCGCGCTTGTTTTAACGCAGAGGTAGCCCAGGCTTTGAATTGCGCCTGCTTTTGACCGCTATTTGGATATAATATCCATGGTCTGGGATAGGTGTACGATGTGGTACGGAACAACGTGTCTGACGTGGATAAGAATGAATACCACATTTCAGTTGTTTTCCGTTCAGACTTCCCCTTTGGTTATCTGCTCACTTGCACCACCACAGACCCGGACCGTCCCGCACCTATCTGCTCGCACGCCGGCGAAGAGAAGCGATAGTCCGTAGCACTGCCAGCTTTGGGTGGCTGCACTGCTACGCGTCGCCTCATTGACTGCCATAAATGTATCCTTAGCTCGATGGTCTCTGGAGGACCTGTTCACCAAATCCGGGCTGCCGGGCACAATCCTGATCCTAATGTTTTAATGTCATTAGCATAATCTCATAAGACATGAATGTATATACATACATATATGTATATGTATATATATATTATATATATATATATATATATATATATATATATATATATAATACACATGTGAATATGTGGGCCATAATATCATATAATGATTGACTGATGGGCCATAATAGCTCATCAATCGATCAGCATAAAACATTCGACAACATGACCGTAATTCTTTTTCACTACAGCTGTTCAGTGCATTGGCGAGGAACATTATTCACAGAGATAAGACGGTAGTAATGGCCCTATTCTTCGGAGAAAAACTAGGAGCACAAAGATATAGACGGGTTGATACTTCGGCAACATGCCTTTATCGAAACAATAGCAGAAGTCTGCATGCGGTGTGCTATTGTTCCGATAAAAGCATGTTGCTGAAATATCAATCATCTATGTTACCATTATCCTGTTTTTTCCGCCAAAGAATAAGGCTTTTACTACTGTCTTATACTTCGTTTTTATATGAATCTTTTTGAACGAATGGATTTCTGGGATCAGAGCCCACGCTTAGCAGTGCTTATTATGTGAACCCTGAGCCCTGCATCCGGTCGCGCAATTCCAGTTCAACGGCAAAATTTGGTGGCGGAAGTTTAATGTGCCGTAATGCTAGGCACGGTCCGTGCCGCCCTTTGACGTCACCTGGCCACCCACCCGCGGCCGCTGCCACCGGCCGCAGGCGGTTCCTGTCGGGACAAACAACGAGCGCCTAAAGCAACTCAAAACCACCCCGCCACGGGTGGGTGAAACGGAAACAGGCATTCCGACCGACTGAACAACGGGACGGACAAGTAATGTAGCCAGTATCGTGTAATGATGCCTGCTGCATGTGGTGTATGACCGTAATCATCCGCCTAATGCACTCGTCATCTACGCTGTTTCGTGATTCGCCTGGGCCGTTATACATTTAGACAACAGTTAACACGCGCCGGCGTAACCATTCACGTTAGAAATCCCTGGCGGTGCTCTGAAGCGGGAGTATGTCATTCAGCTGATCTTACGCGGGGCTTAGACCCGTTATATGTATCCATTTGATTAGATATTTTAAGTTATTGATCGCAGAATTGGCCATTTCGCTTCTGACCAGACTGACGACTGCCGTTGTCTCGTTCATGGGCGCCCAACGCATCGTCCAGATACCGTCCATCGGGGCTGTTCCAGGTAGTGGAAAGGATCGAGACGATTGTGATGGAACCTCTGTCCCGGCCCCTGCCAGACAGCCTCACCTGCCCGTCCTGTAAAGGTGAGACTTTCGTCACAACGCCAGAGGTTACCACCATCTCTAAGCGATCCCCGGTCACCGAGGGTGGAGTTCCCGGGGGTGGAGTGGAAGGGTGGGGGTTTAACTCCCGGCAGGTTTACGTAAGCTGTGGTGATAAATTCGGAACGCTTGTAAGCCATAGCCCGCTACATATTTCCCCACGATTCGTGAGGGCTTGATCACCAATGCTAGTTAGTCCAATCCGCGTCGAGCGTTCAACGACTTTCGCTTGGAATCAATGCGAACTGACGGTCCTGGGCATGACCCTAATAAATAACCGTTCGCTGTGACAGAGGACCTTGTCAATTCGCCATACAATGGCGTTATGCCTGTTGAGTAGCACCATGTAGTATGGCTAGCTTTCCAAACATCATGCCCCGTTCTGTGTCACCACAGCTGCCACCCCACCCACCACCGCGCTGCGCCGTTTCAGTGACCGTGCCGGTGTCGGGACCACGCGTCCGCCAGATCTGTCAGTACTGCGGCAACTTCTACAATCTCGAGGCCAACAGAAACGTCGCGCTGCGCCAGCCCGGCAATGGTGGCATCTCTCTGCCCCTCATCGTAAGAGGGCGCAGGTCGCCGCTCGGCCCTGCGGCCCGCGGTTCGCACCGGTTTTATAGTTTGGCGTGAGCGTGACGCGTTGCTTGATGGCTGCCGAGTGTTTTGTTCGGCGGCCGTTACGCAAACGGTAGTTGGTGGTTGTAATTTGTGGTTTGCTGCTAGTCTGCAGGCTGCTTTTGTGTTGGGGGTTCGGGTCTACGGGTCCATTTGAAGTTGGGTACATAAATGGATGGAGGGCAGTTGTCTAAGACTTCTCGGTAACGAGGCGGCTTCGTTATATTTTGTTAATAGTGAGAGCACCATTGACTGGGGTTAAATGGTGTCCAAAAAGCTCAGTCCACTATATGGACCGGGTTTCACAGTTATAACCTGCTGAACCCTGCTTGGATTGAACCATGTATCCCATCCTGCTGTGAACCCCTGCCTGGATAATACTCCCATCTGAGTTTGCGAGTTAACCTTAGGCATGGATCTACCTAGTCCCATATCATTTCTTCAGCAGGCATCAACTTGAACTATCATATGGTATCCACATGACCCATGGGAGCCTTTTGTAAAATGCTTGACGTTTATCCGTCCCCGGTGACCCCGAAGGTAACTGAGCCCCGCTGGACACTCCCTGACCACTGGCTGAGCCCCGCTGGACACTCCCTGACCACTGGCTGAGCCCCGCTGGACACTCCCCGATCACCGGCTCCGCCGCCCCGACCACTGGTTGAACCCGGCTAATCATTCCCTGACCACCGGCTGAGCCCCGCTGGACACTCCCCGACCACCGGCTCAGCCACGCTGGCCACTCCCCGACCACCGTCTCAGCCACGCTGGTCATTCCCTGACCGCTGCCTGAGCCCCGCTGGCTCCTCGGACCGCTGACTAATTCCTGCTGGATTCTCTCTGATCGATGGCTGACTCCTACTGGATCCCCTCTGACCACTGGCTGGTTCCTGCTGGATCCTCCCTGAATGCCGACAGATCCTCGCTGAACCCTCTCTGACCGCTGGCTGATTCCCGCTCGATCCTCCCTGACTGCCGACAGATCCTCGCTGAACCCTCTCTGACCAATGGCTGGTTCCTGTTGGATCCTCCCTGAATGCCGACAGATCCTCGCTGAACCCTCTCTGACCGCTGGCTGATTCCCGCTCGATCCACACTGACTACTGACTGCTCCTCGCTGAATCCGCTCTGACCGCTGGCTGGTCCCTGCTGGATCCTCCCTGAATGCCGACCGATCCTCGCTGAACCCTCTGTGACCGCTAGCTGATTCCTGCTGAATCCACACTGCCTACTGACTGCACCTCGCTGAACCGCCGTGACCGCTGTCGGACGGCGTTGCCGGCAGACGCAGATGGGCCGCGGCCCGACAGCCATCAGTGCTGCCCTGCTCTCCCACCTGGGCGTCAACCTCTCTCCGCTGGCCATGGCCAGCGTTATCTGTACCGCAGCCCTGCCGCCCATTGTAAGTCGGCGGCTCCCCCACGCACCGCACACGGAGCCACATTGGGGATGGGCTGACCGGCGTGTCGAGGGGGGGGGGGGCTAAAATTTTCCAGGTGGGTGCCTGCGGCGTAGGGTTTGGCTTTTGAGTGTTCCTCCTAGAGAGCTTGTGATGCAGTTTTGCTCCGCTCGAAGAATTGCAACTTGGACTGCATTTCTGCACGCTGCCAGCGAGCATGACGATTTGAATTTGTGATGTCTTAGCTGAAGTCATGAGGACAGTGCAGTGAGCTTCTCTCCAATAGTAGACATTGGTTTGCGCGTTCTGGGTCTTCTCTTGAGTAAACGCCAGTGATACTGAATTCTGCAAAGGCTTCCTGTATCCCTGATATGACCTGACTTGAAGTCTGCTGCCCTGCGCTGGCCTGACTTCATCCGACCTGTTGTGAGCTGATCTGCACTGCTGCCGACTGACTTGTGCTGTGACCTTAACTGACGTGAGCTTGTGTGGCCTGATCTGAGCCTATTGGAGCTAGCCTGAGCTAGCCTCATCTGACCTGAAACGTCGTTCCCGCAGCCTACGCCGCCGCCTCGGACGTCTCGGAGCCGGACCAGCACAGCCAACTCGATCCGTTCTTCCCGGAGCATCGAGTCGCTGCTGGCCTCGTCCACGGGCAGCGAGGGGCTGCGCCGTCCACTCTACCCCGTCCACCAGAAGCGCCGCGAGGAGTTCATGTGAGTGGGCCCCGTCCACGCGGCCGGAGGGACAGAGGGCGGGGCAGGGTAGACAGAAAACTGGCACAGTAGCAGCATGGTAGGAACGGATCAACAACTCCGAGCGGGGTTAGCACCGGGTAGGCTGATGCTTCAGGCTCACAGCATATTCAATGGCGAATCGTCTACATTTCTCGTACCCGAACGAAACGCACGTGCAGTGCAGTCGGCCCAGCGTCGTGCCACCCAATGCTTCAACCCTGCCCAACGTGCACCTCGATGTGTACTCAAGGGACACGCCCTGATGCGTCCATTGGGGGTATTTGTCGGTGTCCGCCTCCCCATCTTCATCAGCGTTAACAGCTTCCAGCCTTTCTGGTGCGTGGGAAGCTGCTTGCCTTTCGGGTACTTTCTGGTGCATGGGAGAAGCTACACCTGGAGCCGGGCTGTTGTCACGGGCGCCGCCAACGAGGGGGTGCACGGCCTGTCTGTCGCTAGGTGGTTGGTCGCGCCGCCTACCCAACGTACGTATAAGGTGTGCAGCGCTCTGTGGAGCTGCAGCCGTCACGCTCTCACGGTCTGGGTATTCAGGATGTGATGGTAGTCCATGCCACGTGGTGGGCGCTGCTGTGAACGATGCTAACTAGGATGCTACAGGGCAGATGTCAAGCCCAGCACAGAGTTAACTTCCAACGAATGGGAAAAGGACATGTTCCCCTACTTGGGGCATTATTGTAAAGCAACTAAGTTTTCCAAAGGACTGTAACGAGTGTTTTAGAAAAGATTAAGCAAGATCAAGCCGCAAGTGAAAACAATTCCTGGGCTGCGGTAAAATTGAGCCGACCGTCTTACGTATATTGTGGTCCGTTACGCCGGCATTGGCACTGGGACTGAAGCGCGTGGAAACCCCACGCCGACAGTTTCTGCCCCTACAAAGAGAGGCCATGATTTCCAGGTTAGTCCCGTGATTGCTCCGGCTTTTGATTACTGTTGGATCCGCTGCCTGAACTCGCTATTTGACTCACTTTCTGGAGACTTGTTGGTCCATGTGTTAGAAGGCGCCTGTTTCTATTTGACTCACTTTCTGGAGAATTGTTGGTCCATATTTGACTCACTTTCTGGAAACTTGTTGGTCCATATTTAACTCACTTTTTGGGGACTTGTTGGTCCATATATTAGAAAACGCCTGCTTCTATTTTGCGGCCAGGGTAACGCCTCTGTAGATTCTCAGTCGAGCAAAAGCTGCGCTAGAACATAGCTAGGGCTTCGTAGGTAAAGATACGAGCAGCTTGCTCACGAATGCACCCCAGATTCCAACGATCAATCAACCGCACGATTTCATTCACAGCTCTTCCGAGGCTCCCACCGTTTGAACTCGTTGTTTCTTGCTGACGTTTCCACCTTTACCGCCGCTTTGAGGGGAGCCCTCCATGAGCTAGCGATCGCCCCGCCGCCCTCCGTCCACCAGTGACGCACCGGCGCCGCTCTCTGTCCACCGGTGACGCACCGGCGCCGCTCTCCGTCCACCGGTGACGCACCGGCGCCGCCCTCTGTCCACCGGTGACGCACCAGTGCCGCTCTCCGTCCGCGGGTGACGCAACGGTGTCGCTCTCCGTCCGCGGGTGACGCAACGGCGTCGCCCTCTGTCCACCGGTGACGCACCGGTGCCGCTCTCCGTCCGCGGGTGACGCAACGGTGTCGCTCTCCGTCCGTGGGTGACGCAACGGTGTCGCTCTCCGTCCGCGGGTGACGCAACGGCATTGTTCTCCGTCCGCGGGTGACGCAACGGCGTCGCTCTCCCGTCCGCGGGTGACGCAACGGCGTCGCTCGCCGTCCACTGGTGACCCACCGGCATGCGGGGACCAGTGGCGCTCTGCCCGTGACAGTGGCATACCGTGGCGCGTGGCAGTGGCACCACGCCTCCAAACCCCCTCGGGTCGATCAGGTGTTGTCCGCACACCGTGCCGGCGCCGGCCGTGGTCCGCGGGGGTCTGCCACCAGGCTCGTTTGTCTCACCGTACACAAAACGGCGCACCGTCGGCGCCGTCGGAAGCGAACCACTGAGCACACACAGAGCACACACGGCCCTTGGTGGCCTGGATCCGGCGCAAACTAGCCCATGCGCCTGGTGAATATGCGACGTGGCGGTGGCAGTGGCTCAAGACGGCAGCTCCGCTAGAATGTCCATTTTTTAGCGCGTGGTCATTGATGAAGTAATCTAAATGACGTGGCACGGCCAGCCAGTGGTTTTCACGCATTGGAATCGCGTGGTTCGCATTATAAATTTGTGTACCTATCTACTATTCAGGAGCGCTCACTCAGTTACGCCGCTGAGAGGGACGTTGGTCGCTTGGGGCAAATTGAAGCAAGCTATTGCCCGTTGTGTAGCTTTGCCTGCGACGACAATGTTGAGATACCGTTAAGAATGATCGAAGCGGTTAACTGTAAGCAGTGAAAGATCTAAAACTGATAAAAACACATCAAACTAATCGGACGACTGTAATTTATGAGTTACGAATACTAGGAAAAATGATTTCCCTGCATTGGAAGCCTTACAAGCACTCTATGCTTGAGCGTAGTATAAAAATACCAAAGTGAAGACCATGCAATATCAGCCATCCTGGTCACTGACCTGTTGTAGTGCACTGGTTCTTGATCTCTTGTTCCTTTGCTCTTGCTTTTGCTCCGACGGCCCCTGGACTCGGGACGCGCACAGGGTTCATAAATGCGGGATATATCGACATCGCTCTGTCCACACACACCAGGTTCGATTTTCCTGTGCCAATGTGATGCGGGCAGGACGTGGTCGCTCATTGGTAAATCGCTCGAGCGGCACGCACTGTGCGGCGCCGCAACCTATCGGAAATCAACACCGCGTGCCGGCCAGCCGGCATACTTCCGTCGACGGGCGCGCAATCGATGGCGACAATTGCGGCGCGGTTGGGCGGCCGGTGCCGGGCCGCGCCATCTGCCGCTCCGGGACAGCACCCGCCGCTCGCCTCAGGGGCCTGTATGGTGCAATCGTGCCCTCCCCCCCCCCCCCCCCCCACCCCTCAGAAAGACATGCTGGCACGAAGGAGGATCTTAACTGAGTTTGGTGGGGTCATGACGATTCCTAAGAGGTAAAAAGCATTTAAATCAGCATGATTCTGTGCCTAACTGGGTGCAGTGGCACCAGATTTGGAGGTTGATTCAATACAAACACTGTGGTCGTACCCAAGATTTGCCTTCCTGTTGAAATGACTTTATTGTGCTAACTATTGAATACCACCGGACGTTGCTTCCCTTCGTGACTGGGCTCACGTCATCGTAAGACGCACTTCAATTTCGCATCACATTCTGTGATGCGCGCTCTTACAGGACGGATGTTCATTCTGTGATGCGTGCTCTTACAGGACGGATGTTCAACGAGCTCGGGAGTCGGAGAACTACGCAGAAGTGTCGACGTACCTTCGGACAATATTCGAAAGCTTTGTTGACATCTGTGCCGCCTTCAAGGTGAGGGGATTCTTACCAGGTTGCCACTTTTTCCCTTATGTTATCTTATGATGGAAAAATCCACGGCGGCTCCACTGTCGCTCGCTTCATTTCGCGTTATTCCAGGATGCAATTTTGCGGAGAGAAAGTTGCTGCGGTTTTCAACTGGTAAGCGACAGCATGTTTGTAAGCCATAATGCATACCGTGGTCGCCATTCAGAACGACAGGCAAGGAAAGTGCAGACAGCAGCGCAGACAGGGAGGCACAGAGTGCACGTGTCTCCCCCCCCCCCCCTTTGGTTCCGGGGGTCCGAGGGCCCCTCGAAACCTGCGATTAAGGGCCCGATTTGAGGACTCGAAAGGCCCAAAAAGCCAGCCGCAGGTCTCATTCAGGGGCCCCGGCCATCAGGGCTGGGCACTCCCATGACAGCCAGTGGGCCCCGCGCGCTGATCAGGGGCCCACTGAGTCGATAAGGGCCTATATTTCGGTCAGACTCTACCAGTAACGCGCAGTCGGCTCCGTGTTGGCATGTACCCGAGGGCCCATTTCCCAAGCAGGGGCAAAGCCGGAGCCAGCGATCTATAACATTCGGGGCCCTACAGCACCTAGTAGGATCCCTGTGCTGTCAAGGGGCCCCGAGTCGGCCAGAGGCAATGTTCGAGGAGGCCTGAAGAGTCTGGAGGGCCCGCGGGTCCGACGATCAGGGGCCCGACTGGGGGTTTAAGGACATGAACGGCTGGTCGGATTCTTATTCAGGGGCCCGACCTGCAAAGACGGACCTTCAAGTAACGATCAGAGGTCCCTTTGCGTCGATCGGGAACCACCTGAGTCGATATGGGCCTGTCTGTTTGTCAGGCATTGCCAGTACGGCACAGTCGGCTCCCTGTCGGTATGGGCCTGAGGGCCCACTTCCCAATCAGTTTCAAAGCCGGACCCAATGATTTACACTGGCCTGGGGCCTTGTATCTGTTATGGGCCACAGTGTCTAACAGAGAGTTCTATGCTGGCAGGGACCCCGTGCAGATCCAAAGAAAGTGTTTGATGAGACCCGAAAAGGGGCCTGGGTGGCCAACGAAAGCGACGATCAAAAGCCCGGTTGGAGGGCATAACGACCCGAAGGACTAGCTGTAGGTCACATAAAGAATCGCGGCCCGTAGGGTAGCGACCTGGAATATCAGTCAGAGGTCCTCTTGCACCGTGCGAGGAATCCCTGAGACAATGCAGGTATCTAAGTCGGCAGGAACTACGAACACCGAGCAGTCGACTCCACGTCCATCTGAGCCCCTGAGACCCACTACCCAACCAGAAACGAGGCCGGGGTCCGCAGTTTGCAATTTCCGGGGTCCCTGACATAACTGAGGGACTGACATGCGATTTGGGGGTATTTTTCAACCCTGCGCCCCCCTTGGCAAGGCTCTGGCTGCGCCCCTGAGTGGAGGCACCCCCACCGCACTGCGTGTCGACCAAGGACTGCCCAACCGCCAAACGGTCGCGGGGGAGGGGGATGCAGGGCAGCGGCCCCCTCTCATTGTTGGCAAAACCTACCACTCACTGGTCGAAATTTGGATAAGAAGTTGACTTTAGCACCATAGCATTGCAGATGAAATGGACTCAAACAAATTTGTGCCCTCAGCTCTTGGTGAGCTCCCGCTGGGTTGCGAGCATGTTGCCACCTCGTGGCAAACGACCAGGGAACGGAGCTGAACCGTCCACTGAACATCGAAGAGACGACTGCCTGCGCGGGAGCCCGCCCCCGATGACCACGGCCCATCGATTGTGCCGATTTATGGGCGGTCAGGCCTAATTTCCGCGACGTCCAACCCATCACAAGGCATTCTGGGCGGCTCCGCCCGTCGGCGCCTGGTGCCGACCAGGCGTCAGCAACGTCCTGCCGCGGCGCAGTGGCGCCCTAGGTCACATTCCTCCAGCCACGTCAGGGCCTGCACCTGACCACCATCGATCGCTGCTGCGACGTCACCAGGCGTCATTCCAAGCGTTTTACGTCGGCGTTGGCTTCCGCTGAAGGAAGGTCGCAACGAAATGGCGGCATTTTCTGCGGCCGACCAGACGAACAAATGGTGAAATGTGTTTGCCGGGCGCACGCGCCTTCCATTGAGGGAATCATGGGTCTGGCGTCATGAGGCTGGAAAAGCCACCGAAGGTGTTGAACGGATGCGTCGGAACAGGCGAATTGCAATGGAACGGGACTTTGTCCGCCCCGGTGGCTCAGTTGGTTAGAGCGCCTGCATTCCGACCCACCCATCCGTGGCGGGATGGGTTCGAATCGCTTTAGGGCGCTCGCTATTTGCCTTTGGCAGGTATGGCCTGCGGCCGGTGGCAGCGGTCGCGCTAAAGGTCAGTTGACGTCAGAGGGCAGGACGGACCGTGCCGAGCATTGCGGCACGTTAAGCTTTCGCCACTAAATTCTGCCGTTGCCTGGAACTGCGCGATCGGATGGTGGGGGTCAGGGCTCACACAACAAGCACTGCTTAGCGTGAGCGCTGATCCCAGAAATCCATCCATTCAAAGGATTCGGACCAAATTTATAAAAAACTACCTTAGTCAATCGGATACCTTACGCCCTGTACAGCCATGCCGGCATTTAATACTCGCGACGCACTGTGAGGGTCACCTGCTCAGCTTTCTGGCTACCGTCGATGGCAGCAGTGACCTCGCTCCAGTTTACTGCCGACTTTATCGCCAGGTCATGGGATGTGCGTGGGCAGTTGGCTACAGCAGTGGAATGGCGTAGAGTTTGATATTTATGGTATGGAAATGGAGTTGCGCGTTCTTGAACTTTACAGCGACGAAATCATCTTGGGGTATAATCGATTCCTCGAAGTAAGCTCCTTTCAACCGGGACTTTGAGTTGTAGCATGATACTTACAATTTAGTTTGTTATTAACCTGATTTCTTTTCTGGGACTTCTCGAAACGATCGGTGCTATCTAAAAGGCTAAAAAGGCGTGCTATCCGCAAGGATGAAGAGATCTTAAGATAGAGATAAAAGATCTCAAGAAAGAAGAGATAGGCTTTCGGCTGTCAGGTATGAATGACTTTCAACCCCGGTTACCCTCCATCCAAGTTCAACTCTCCATGGTTTATCACAGATGGGCTGTGTTCCATATGGGTTAAACTGTGAGCCGAAAGTTCTTGTTCTAGCATACACGAAAATCTATCGAGTTTTGATGATATATCAAATGCTTCCTTGATAACGATGTAACCAACGTACGTACAAGGTCGATTTATTGTCGGAATAAGAACTCCCAACTCACAGTGCAGAAAAGCCAGAGGCCCAAGCGCTTCTTTGTTTATGTTACGTAAAACCGTACACTGTGAGTTCCTCGATATCTGGACATCTTAACTGTAGGGAAAATGGGCGTAGCCCAGTGAAGCTCCTAGAATGATCCTCCTGGCTGCCGGAAACGGACCGGCTGATACCGCTGGGTCACGCCGCCTAGTGAGGAACGCCGAGATCACTGCCGCATCAGTCGTCCGGTGTTTCCACACGACGCTATCTTGCAATTCTAGACCCATTCAAATCTCATCCCTGCTTTATTAGCGGGAACTGGGCTCGGCGGTGTTGCCTGTCCAGGAGCATGACAGCTTGTAGTAGATTTGGGGAAACTGGCACAATTCAAATGGCTCCGTCTCATGCACCTTCACAAGCTTTGCGGTGCATTTTCCCAATATGTGTTATTGGGAACTTTAGTGCAGAGTAGACAAATGAAGCATGGCCAATCGAAGTAAGATAGAATCACTTTGATACAGATAAAATGCACCCAACATGGGAACACTACAAAGGCACGAGCGCGTTACCACAGTCACATATATAATACTCACCGTCCACCACCTAACGGATCAAGGGTTGTGTAGGAATTTGTTTTGGGATGGAGAGAGTTTCGTTAAGACATATGCTTTCCCGGATTTGAAGGCGCCCTCTACCATTGCACGGCTGAAGAATGCCAGTATTTTCCGTCAATTGTTGTCGTGTCAACGACTTGCCATGCTCGTGTCGCATGTGGCCCGGAGGTGCCCTGTCACGCAGGTGCATTGCCAGGCAACGTGAGTGTCGTGGCTACATCAATGTTGTGGTGTGGAACGAAGCTTACAACCTTCGATATTGCATTTGAATCGATACAATACTTTGGTGCATTTTAGGTGGTCGGGTTTTCTAAGTTGTTTATATATATATATATATATATATATATATATATATATATATATATATATACCTCGCAAAGCCTGAACTGCTGTTGTTGAAATGCCTTGTCCGTTACACAATGGATCGGTTCCGCTTCCGGGAGCTCGAACCAATGTGCAAGGCGTCAGTATACAAATCCGAATTCTGGACGTCGCGCACCGGAATTTTTTCGCCTCCCACACCCTGACCACGTGTGCAGGAGAGCGTTGTCAGCTCCCAAATCATTGCATAGTTCAACGTGTTACGCCATCAAAGTCCAGCCAATGTCTGCCCACTTGTAGAATGGAGCATATTTCCTGCCACATTCATATACCGTAATGACTCAGGGGAACGCTGTCCTCTCCAATATTATTTAGATCCCGTGCAGATGCAAGAGAGGGCATTCTCTCCTATATCTTGATCTGGTTAAAACACCAGAGAGCGCATCCCCCCCCCTCCACCCCCACCCCCTCCCTCATCTCTAGATCCAATGTAGGTGCTGGGTAGCGCCATCCTGTCCGATCTCTAGATCCAGTGTGGCTACTGGGAACGCTTTCTTCTCTCATCTCTAGATCCAGTGTAGGCACTGGGGAGCTCTATTCTCTCCCATCCCTAGATCCACTGTAGGTACTGGGGAGTGCTCTCAGCTCCAAGAGCTGGGCCCGGCGTGTGGAATACAACGCGGCACAGTCTGAGCGTCGTTATTTTTGTCAACTGTAACGTAAGCATTGTGCAATAATAAGTGCATCGAGCTTGGATTATCCATTCTGTGCGTATTGAGATGTGTGTATATCTCATAAACATAAACGTATACGTATGAATGTGAACATTAAGATCCGCCGCTCCCACCGGCTCAGTACGAGCCATCGAATCACCCAATTGCTTGCCGCATCCTCGCGGCTCGAGTGAGTGCCTCCTCGCCAGTGGCCAGGCTCTGCTGTCCCGGGCACGGTGCCTGCCTCAGCGGAGCGCCAGGCTCGGCCGCCCCGGACACGGTGCCCGCCTCAACGGAGCACCAGGCTCTGCCATCCCGGACACGGTGCCCGCCTCAACGGAGCACCAGGCTCTGCCATCCCGGACACGGTGCCCGCCTCAACGGAGCACCAGGCTCTGCCATCCCGGACACGGTGCCCGCCTCAACGGAGCACCAGGCTCTGCCATCCCGGACACGGTGCCCGCCTCAACGGAGCGCCAGGCTCTGCCGCCCCAGACACGGCGCCCGCCTCAGCGGAGCGCCAGGCTCTGCCGTCCCAGACACGGTGCCCGCCTCAGCGGAGCACCAGGCTCTGACGCCCCGGAAACGGTGCCCGCCCCGGCGGAGCACCAGGCTCTGCCATCCCAGACACGGCGCCCGCCTGAGCGGAGCGCCAGGCTCTGCCGCCCCGGAAACGGTGCCCGCCTCGGCGGAGCACCAGGCTCTGCCATTCCGGACAAGGTGCCCGCTTCAGCGGAGCGCCAGGCTCTGCCGCCCCAGACACGGTGCCCGCCTTAACGGGGCCGACCAGGTGCTGACCACCTCCCGTCGCGCCGTACCTCCCGGAGCGGGCGCCGCGAGGGAGGGGGAGGGGAGGGGGCGCTCGGTGCCGGTTTCCATACGGTATTGACTGACCGTGCTTTGTTGAGGGTCACATGCAGGCTACGGCACCTGCCGCCGGCTGGAGCCATCGAGCCGGCGGCGGCCTTTCGAAGGCGGCCAGCCGCAGGCGGGGTTGTTGACAGGAGGTCGGTTCATCGGGTACGCTCGAGGGGCCGGAGAGGGGCGGGCACCATGCGCCGCGTAGCCGGGTGCAATCTGCACGCTCGGCCCGCACGGCACCAGACGTCGACACCAGGCCCCGGTCCGAGCGACTCACGCCATGCCGGTGGGCTTAGGCGCCGGTCTGGGCATGGTCGGCGGCGCGCCAATTAGCTGATGGCCGGCCATGAACCGTCTGGCTTTGGGCGGCGAGACATCGACCCGGCCTTGGCCGCGTGTCGGGTACTTGGCAGCGTCGGTCACATGCGTGATGTCCGTCGGCATTGTCCACACGCGGAGGCCAGACTAGGCTCGACTGCGTGTGAATACTGGACCAGTCAAGTTCACTCGCGGATGCTGCACGAGCCCGTCCACATGCCGGTGCTGAGCTGGGCTCGTCCCAGCACGGGAGCTGGGCTTGACTCGTCCACGCGAGGTGTATTGAATCAGCCTCATCTATACGATGTGCACTGAGCCGGACTTCCCTGCGATTAGGAATGACTCTACGGTATGACTCTGAGCCACTCTCGTGCACACAACGCGTGCTGAGCCAACGCCGTCCACATGCCTGGCCAATCTGTCCACACGAGGTGTACTCGGCCCACACGCCGGCGCGACGCGTACTGAGCCAGCCTCGTCCACATGCGGACCACTGAGCCAGCCCTGACTGTTGGGTTTCAGGAGGATACGGAACGCGATGGAGCCAACGTGGATAGCCCCGAGCTTAAAATGGAGTTTCTGTACGCCGTTCACGACTCGCTCAAATCTATGGTGAGTGAGACCGTTCCTAGCCTTGCTTCCAAAATTGGCCGACCGCCACACAGTGCATACAAGGGTGCTGAATGCGTTCATACAATCGGCATGAATGATGATCTGTCCTATGAGGGTTATGCCGGTTTACGTCTAACGAAGCATGCGTTGGTATACACTAACGCAGTTTCATCTATGCAAAACGCACTTTATTCGTTTCCTTTGCCGGACCTTTACAGAATACAGGCATATGCCGCGACAGAGACTTGTGCTTGATCCATGTGTAAGCATCAAACATCACTCCACTGGATTTGGTGACGCCAATGCGGGTTTCATTCTATTCAAACTTGCGCCCGAAATGAGTGCATCGGGCAAGAGTCACCTCTGACACAATGCAATAAGAACCTTAACACGCAGTTGATATCCCAACTCTGGTGGTTATATATCAATAAATATAGCACGTATTCATGGTATTTCTATTGAAAATATATTCCAGTAATGCCCCCATGCCACCCACATTATGGGACACATGTGGAACACATGTATTTTACGGGGCTACCTGTCACCACCGCAAATGGTGCCTAGAAACGATTTGGGATTTAGGCCGCGTGGCCTTGAATCGGAACGGTGCCACCTTAAATCAATTCCAGGCCGTCGTCAAAATGAAACTTCACCGGCGTTAGTCAGGGCAGGCATCAGTCTAGCGGAAGCGGAGTAAGCACAGACGAGCAGTCACTTTTCTGTCAAACGCAGGGCACTGAAACGACACCGTCATGATCGTGCTGGTGTTGTGCTTACGAGGGCAATCAGAACGAAAAGCGTCGCAGTGGGTCACGCGGTGGGGCCTACTTTGCGCGGTGGAGCTCTGCGTTATGCAGTGCTCAGCAGCCTGCTGCCAGGTCGTGGCGCTTCTACTGATGGCGTCGCATGGACGGTCGCCTCAGCCCTGCACTTCGGCTGCGTTGTCTCATGGTCGTTCTGGCTTTGCAGCCCTCGATCGTGCAGAAGTCCGTCCTCAAGTCCGTTATCAACGCCCTCCTGCAAGAGAAGAAAAGGTTGGTGGCTCACTGCACGAGCTCCGCGCGTGGTAGCGTGCCCGCATCCCGCCGTCGCTGGATGCGATGTCAAACAATTTTACTGTCAGCGAGTAATCGTTCGTAATCGTCTGCATTGAAATCCATATGCTAAATTTAGCTGGCACCACGCCATTACACACGTTGTGGTTACGGTATGTCGAAAGTCAGTCACACGGAATGATTGAAACGACACGCCACTACCACAAAGAACTTCTTGCTCAGACCATCGTCCTGGTCAAACCTCACACGTGTTAAGTCGGCCGAGGTATCTCGGCATGTCAACGAGACGTGATGGTATGCACTGGCGTGATGTCGGCCAGGTGAGCCTCGTAGCGAAGGCAGTGGCGAATCAGCATCATAGTACGATTACCAACGTTCCAACCAGTGAGCCTTTCTGTGCTCGCCCAGTTGGCCATTCTGAATCCCCACGGCGCCGCCGGTCTCACCGAGGCGAACCGCGGCAGTCAGGTGACAGCTGGCTTACAGCATGTCCTGGTGGTAACCCCCCCCCCCCCCCTCCCCCGAGAGCCCGCACAAACTTCAAACAAGCACAGACTTCACCGCGTACCTCTTCCCTTGAGCATACAGTTCTCATATGACTATCACTGGACGAAACAGCTCTAACCTGAAAGCAAAGAAACCAATTAAAAGATTGTTCCGCGTAGGTAAATGCTTTGGTCACTCGCAAATCATGAGGCCTCTTGATGAACTAATATCAGCGCATTTGCAGCTGATTGCATAACCGAAAAAAGCAAATGTGTGCTGGCCAGCCGCATGTTGCTGAACTCTTCGCTGCTTATTTCAACTCGCCTCCGTCCCGTTTCTTTCAACCCTCGCTCTGTCCTGAAACCTCGGGGCGTCCTGCCTCACCGGGAGCTTGCCCGGCACCGGGAGCTTGCCACGGCCGTGATTCATGAATCGGCCTCAGTCGGCCTCGCGTCGGCCCTGGAGCGAGGCCCTCCCGAACCGCTGCACGCACCCGAAGTCGGTTCCGCGTGCGGTGGAATGCTCAGTAGCGGTGGCATCACATGTGACTGCAGTATACTTCACCTCTTACCACTCTCTTGAATCCAAAAGCTCTGAAACAGCCCATTATGTCCGAAAGAGCTTGAAGCTTACCAAACCAGAGCTGGGATACCAGCGGAATGCTCTCGTTAGCCCAGAGCTCGTAACGTTGTAATGTCGTGAAGCCGTAGCAAAAGTGGAGACTGAAATATACAACTTTAGTATTCGAATCAAACCAAGCCTCTCTCCCTTCCCAAATGTTTGTAGTATATGCAAAAAACAATCGCCAGGACAGCATTCGCTGCCATTTATGCCTCAATCGATCAACGTTTCGGTCCGCTTAGGCATCGTCATCAGAGTATTGCATTATTAGCCTTGTTTCTTCATCGTGTATGTGATATCCCGATGATGATACCAACGCATACCTGAACGATGACCGATTAAGACATAAATGATAGGTACTGTTGTCCTGATGATTAATTTTTTTGCTTCTACTAAATTATTTGAGGATGCTCCATCCACTACATGTATATATATATATATATATATATATATATATATATATATATATCCATATGTGTAGGCAGCGAACTGCCCTCTATACAAGTGCTGTTAAAGAACTCAGCGTAGGCGCAGTTAGTAAGCTTTTTGAATTTCTTCTTTATTAAATGCGCACAGTGCAAAAGGAGCTGAATAAATGTACCTACGCCAAGGTCTTTAACAATACTATATATAACTAATATAACAATACCAAATAATTAATTATATATATATATATATATATATACATATATATATATATATATATATATATATATATATATTGCGTAACTCTCACTGCCATACTTTAAAAATTGCGGTTTTTTTGTACGCCAGCAATCTTCAAAGTGATGTTGATTCATCATCACCGTCGAAACGAAGCTCTCTTCAACTAACGCTTAACCATACCGCACCGTCCGGGGTACACCGTTGCTGCGTTCGGATCAACATCTTGGCGTGCCGTGGGCGACTTTTGACCTCACGGAACAGCAATAATCGTATTGCGTAATAATCTGTAAAGTTGCAATAGTCAGAAAATAGATAAATGTAATAAATAGAAATGAATATGTAATGATTGTGCAAATCTGTAACCACGTTGCGCAGTACTATTATCAGTACATGGCACACAACGTGAGTGCCAGGGACCAAATAATCGCTTGATGGACATAATCAACGTGTTTTATGGTCTTGTTTTGGACAACTTGATGTTTCAGCGTCACGCTCGTCACCATTACTCTTTTACAAGCAATCTCGAGAACGAGGTAAAAAACGACACACCGAATACGCGACAAGCTCAACCAAGCGAACACTGGTCCAAATTATGATATCAATAGATCAAATAGTTCATGCGACCACTCTGTTTTTCATTCATCGGGCAAAATGTATGTTCCGCGATGAGAAGATATATGTTTTTTCCGCTAGGGTCGTCAGCTTTGGGTATATCAGCTGCCGCGCAAAAAAAGTGTATTCATCTGTCGGTACATGTCACCAACAGCATATTTTTTCGATGTCATCCGGCGAATATTCTTGCGACATTCTCTTGTCACAGTTAAGCATCTTGTTGCGTCTGATCAGCCCGTGTCGGAAGCCCCCTGCCGTGCCGTGCCTTTCCTGGCCTGGCCTGACCCGCCTGCTCACCGTCATCGCGTTCGTGGACAGACTGTTCCACAAGGACGAGGTGCGAGCGCTGTTCATCCTGGTGCAGTTGCCGCTGTTCGCGTCCCAGAGCTCGTACACGGTGTTCGCCCACCTGCTGCGACAGCTGACCACGCTCTCCAACGGCGACCACCAGCTGCTGATGCACTGGTTCAGGTGGTGAGTACCGCGCACTCGGGACCGCGGAGCCGTCTCAGGTCTGGGGTCGGCAGCACCGTTCCGATCTCGTCACTGGCCTCTCCGTCATTGTGCCGTGACAGGGCCATGCAGCCCTCCACACTGACAGTGTCGCGGGATGTCCCCATGACAGTGGCACGTGGTGTTACACTGACAATGTCACATGGTGTCATACTGACAGCGGCACATGGTGTCGCACTGACACATAGTGTCACCCTGACAGTGTCACACGGTATCACGCTGACAGCGGTACATGGTGTCACCCTGAGAGCGTCATATGGTGTCACCCTGGTAATGTCACATGGCATCGCACTGATAGTGTCGCATGGTGTAAAACTGGAAATAACACATGGTGCCACACCGACAGTGTCACATGGTATCACCGACAATAACCTGCTGCGTTCGCGTCGTCGCAGTCTGGAGGCGGCGCGCCTGCGCATGATCGTGGCCCACATGATCCAGTTCATCACGATCCGCCAGTTCCCGCCGGCCGACGCCTCCCTGCCGCCGCTCAACAAGTCGCGCTGGTGGATCCCCACCGCCATCAAGGTGCTCGCCCTCATCAGTAAGTACACGCGCCGGCGGCGCGGCGGGGCTGGTGTCGGAGGCGCGGCCGGCGACCTGTCGCGGGGGGGCTCAACGGCGCACACTGCCAATGAAATGAGAGCCGGCCATTCCGCTCCGAAACCAGAAATCATTGTTTGGTGTCTGTCTGGTCTAGGAGGCGTGCGATAGTGAGTATAGTTGCGGCATTTTACCGCGCCGCTGCATGCCGCCGATATTCAGTGGAAGAGCGTGGTACTTCAAGGGATTACTCCACTTTGTGCAATTACTGTGCTGATGATGAGCGTCGTCTCGAATCCAGCCGGGCTGCCTGCAGTCGGGTTACTGACCACGCCGCCCCGTCGCGCAGACGCGGCCAACAACGCAGCCAACCCGGCTCTGATTCCCTACACCGAGTTCTACAACCACGCGCTCGACCACGTCGACTTGATGCAGGAGTACACCAACTGGCAGACGCCCGACCGGCCCGACCGCTTCTCCTACTGCCAGTATCCCCTTCATTCTCAGCATCGTCGCCAAGCGCACCATCCTCACCAAGGTGCACGTCGCCAAGCTGTCGACGGTCTGCTAACCGAGGGCGGGGGGACACTGGGTGCGGGAGGGGGCGCTGAGAAGACATTACGGCTTCAGTGCAGAGCTGTTTAGGGCTTGTACTAGTTGGCATGCAAAGTGCTGCCAGACGGACGTCTCAGGAAGGCTTTACAGAGGGCTTTCATGGAGGGGCAGGCATTAGTGGCGTTCAAATGTGACCTTTCAGGTTTGGCAAATGTCAAACTCAAGCCGTCAAAGGCGTTGGTGGGCGTATTCACTGCAGGGTCATGGAACAACGATTTCCTCGTGCCAAAATCGATGCCTCGAAATTTACGGGCCAGAGCTCAGAATAGGAAATGTTATGGGAACCATGCACCGGAGGGCCTCGTCAAACATGGGTCTTCGGGTTCAGAATACCTCACGGGTAACATGGAATTGTCGACGAGATTGAGTGACGGACATGATATGCAACATCTACCTGCCTCCCCCCCCCTCACTTATCGTTATAGCTGAACACGCCTCAAATCAATTCACCCGGGCGACTTTCAATCCGAGTCCATCACATGCAAAATTCACCCGGGCGACTTTCAATCCGAGTCCATCACATGCAAAATTCACCCGGGCGACTTTCAATCCGAGTCCATCACATGCAAAATTTGTGTGATCACCCTGCATGGTTACACCAAGGTTGCAACCTGTAAACAAATGCGATAAACCATTTATTAATCTATTGAACAGCACGGACCGTGATGACCAGACAGAATGACGCAGATAGACAGGGTCGCACGCTGTTCGGTTGGCGCCGTACGGTATTAGAGCACTGGAGCCTTCATTGAACACGCACTGAAAGGACAGCCGAATGCCGTGCTTTCCAAAGTCTCTACGTGTTTATTTCTAATCAGAAAACTGTCTGGTAACTTGAAAGCATCACGCTTAAGAATCAAAGTACCAAAGTATCACTTTTCAAGGGTGATGATTGGTGTTAGGTTGGAAGTGAAACGCCGTCCACTTCTTAAATTTCTGTAGTGGCACTACGGAGATGTATTGTGTGCGGGCGTGAGCGTATGCGTGCGCGCGGGCGGGCGCACGGGCGTGTGTGTGTGTGTGTGTGCGTGCGTGTGCGCTTTGAGAGCACATGTACCAGAAAAGTGTTCTCAATCCGTGTAGCGCGTTGTTCAACAGTTCAAGTGCAACCCGCCCTGGCTGCCGTGTTGTGTGTCACGCAGAACTCTGAGAGCTCGCCCTGACCGCTGTGCTGTGTGTCACACAGTACTCTGAGAGCTCGCCCTGACCGCTGTGCTGTGTGTCACGCAGGACTCGGAGCAGATGATCCTGACAGCGAGGCGGTCCCTGGTGGCCAAGGTCTCGCGGCATCAGCCGCCGCAGATCGATGTCTTCTTCCTCAACATCCACGTCAGGAGGTCGCGCTTGCTGGACGACTCGCTCAAGGAGGTCCGGTGATGAACGTGGTGGATGAGCATAAGCATGTGATGTGGCGACGTGTAATATGTGATTGAGTGAACCAAGCAGCAGCTGGCTGACTACTGGATGCTTCCGATGGCTAGTCCTTTAGGACATGTGACAACGGCGACACTTTTATTTAAACTTTTTTAAGGTGACCTCACACCGACCCCGCCCGCTTCAGATCGCCAACAAGCAGCGTGACCTGAAGAAGAAGCTGAAGGTGACGTTCTCGGGCGAGCCGGGTCTCGACATGGGTGGGCTCACCAAGGAGTGGTTCATGCTCATCATCCGCAAGGTGTTCGACGTGAGTGTCGTGTGGAGCGGTGCGGGCCGGCTGGCTGCGTCTCCGGAGTCTCGTGTTGCTGCTGCCAAGGGGTGTGGGTGCCTGTCGCCATAGGGTGCCAGCTCGCCCTCACGATCCACCTGCATGTCATGACATCGTAACTGAAAACTGCCAATGGCAGACGATTGATGGAGTGAACAACGGTCCAAAATCATTCAGGAGACAACGGCGCCACTGCTATGTTACCTTTTGCAACGCGACTCCGTGTTTCAAACAGCGTTCTGCGGCCACGCAACGTCGCCAGTCGTATAGCTTACCGTCCGCGCCGCCATGTCCCTGGGGTAAAACTTGCCCGCGCTAGATCGATCGTGTCATCCTCGCGAATTTGCAGAAACCCCTCGGGACTGACGGCACGCAATGGGCGGCGCCATATCTGATGGTCACACCGACAGAACCGAGGCCAAGGTTTTACTTTTGAGCACTGGTTAAGTCTACCGAGACCTTGTCTGCGATAGCCGGCGGCACTCGATGACACCGGTGTAAGAAGGCGGCGTCACTTTGGGATAACTGGCACTCCAGTACATCTTCGGCACATGTTTCGCAATAGTTAGGCACTTTGGCACGTCGATTCCAGAGGCACTATAGTGTGCTCGGGTGCCAACCAAACTCGCGCAGGCATCGACCACCAACTGCCTGCCGTCGTGCTTAGCAGCAGGTCCGTTTACCACACCAATGGCACTGTTGTTGACCACCTGAAGTGGTGCCACCGCTACTGGGAACTTACAGTCCTCGTCGGCCGGCAGCCGAGTTACGGGATGTTCGTGTACCACCCCAAGTCGCGCTGCTACTGGTTCTCCACCACGCACTCGGGCTCGCTGCGCGAGTACAACCTGATCGGCGTGCTGATGGGCCTGGCCGTCTACAACGGTATCATCCTGGACCTGCGCTTCCCACACATCTGCTACAAGTGAGCACACCCTGGCGCGTGCTGCTCCGGCAGAGCGCGCCGGCTGGCTCAGTCGAGCACCTGACAGTGTTGGCAGAGCCGGACGCTCATAACATATGGTATAACGGGCTGGCTCCCAGTGGTGTAGCACATTGTGTAAATATGTGGGTTATTTGACCAGGTTCAAAGCCTGCCATCATATCTATGACTCGATCGACTGTTGACTGTGTTTGATCGCATTCGGTGAACTCGTTTTAATGTAATCCCATCAAAGCTGAAGCAGTTAAGCTGGTTTTTTTATTGTCTTTGATGTTCTATGGGTGATATTTGTCTTACAACTCAGAGACACTTGTTTCATCACCGAACGTGACAGGTCACGAAAACCAGTAAATTGCATGATAATTACCACAAAACATAACCATCATTCAGTGCTCAGGGAAAGCGTCTACCAGTCATCTGACGTCGGGCATGTGTTGTAGGAAGCTGCTCAGCCCGCCAGTGGTGCCCACCATGGAGCACGTAGCCGTGGGCATTGCTAAACGCCCCACCCTGGACGACCTGGCGCAGATCATGCCGGTGAGTGTCCGGCCCAGACTGCTAGGGGACCTCGCGCGTACACGAGTACCTTGGCCTGCTGACAGGTCAACTTGTGAGTACTCGAAGGATCGGCCAGGTGAACTCGTGGGTACCCAGCCAAGCTGTCAGATGACACCGCGGGCGTTCCGCTCGGCTGTCAGATGACACTGCAAGCCTTCCGCCCATCTGTCAGATGACAGCGCGAGCCCTCGAAGTCCTACATGTCCGGTGCAGTCGCTCTGGTGCACATTATGTTGGCGGCCGGCCCCTGCCGACTTGTGCATAAGTAAAGATATGAACGTGGTACAGTTTGGTTCAAATGAGGAATGGGGTTCTAGGACAAAAAGTCGAAGTTCCGATTTGGCAGATAACTCTTTGTCGATTGCTGAATGGTGACGTGTAAAAAAGTCGATGCGGCAAAAAGTCGAAACGGCTAACGGGCTAACTGCAAAAGGGCAAAATGCAAGAACATCGACGCCACAGAATGGCGAAAAGCTTAACGGTGAGCTGAAAAATGGCGACATGCTAGAAATTCGGCATGCCAAATTGGCGAACAGCTTAATGGCAAATTACAAAATAGCGACCCAGCAAAACATTGACGTCATATTAGTGGACGGCTAAATGGCGCAACATAAAAGGGTCATATTTGTAGTTAGAGTTGGTGCTGGTGTATGGTCACGCGGAAATGTTTTTTATCACATTTGAAGCTTGCATCAACATCTCGAAATACGGAACGTTTTCTATACGCAGCTCATCGCTTGCCAAGTTGGCAAACTGTCTTTTTTACATGCGACCGTTTTGCCGGTCACCATTTTGACTTGTTGATTTTGCGGTATGTCGCCACTTTTGGCAATTCCTCATTGAGCCGTGCGCAATTTTGGCAGGCTGCCATTCTTACATGTCGCTGTTTTGCAGTTCGCTTATTATCCGATTCGACTTTTTTTTGGCTTGTCGACTTTTTTACATTTCCCCAATTTGGAAGCATGGAGTCCCCAAAAATCATTCAGCAAAGGGCAAGCCGACTTTTTGTCCGGACTCTGCAGACGCGTCGTACAAATATTTTATTGATATATTTCTGATGTGTGTCTGCGGATTTACAACTTCAGCATATCATCAAAACATCAGTCTCCCTCTTTCTTCTGTTCCGGCAGAAGGAAGGGAACAGGAACAGTTGGTTGGTCGTAGTCACCAGACGCATCTGTCATAAAATAACGAGCTGAAATTACTTATTCCATGTAGCCCTCGAGAACCTGCCAATCTTTTCTTTGGCACTCAAAGTTTTTCATGTCGCCAGTTGGCTTTGCATGGCTTTGACATGTTGCTATTTGCCATTGTCGCCATTTGTTCAAACAAGAGTCTTAAGCAGCTCGACGACATTAAATCGTTCGCCAGTTGTGCATATCGACCTTGCGCATGTCGCGGTTTTTCAGTTCGCTATTTAACCGTTCGGCATTTCGGCATGTCGATTTCTTGGTATGACGCCATTTTGCAGTTCGCTATGTAATGCCTTTGTACATGACCCATGACTCATGTACATGTAGACATTTCGGCATTTCGCCCTTCTTCCAGGTCACCCTTTTTGCAGTTCGCCATGTTGCCCATTCGACTTTTTGGCACGTCGACATTTTGCATGCCGCCAATATGGAGGCTGTCGTATAGCAGTCGACAAAAAGGTATTCGGCAAACTGCGAGTCGATCTTTTGTGACGATCCTACTTGGCGCTGCTCGTTTTACAGGAGGTGGCACGTGGGCTGAAGGAGCTGTTGGCGTACGAGGGCAACGTAGAGGATGATCTCTGCCTCAACTTTCACGTGTCCATCGAGGAGTTTGGCAAAGTCATCACCATCAACCTCCGGGAGAACGGCGAGGACGTGCCGGTCAACAACGAGAACAGAGAAGAGTATGTGCGCCTCTACCTGGACTGGATTCTAAACACCGCCATCTATGAACAAGTCCGGGCCTTCTATCTCGGATTCCACACTCTAGGCGCCTCCAATGCTCTGCTGGTGAGTAGGCCGCAAAATAAACCTTGTATTGCGACGATATATTATCCATGTCCGGATCTTAAGAACGCGTACATAGCGCACCATCTGGGCGGGGGGGGGGGGGGGAGCGGGGCAAGGTCTGGAAAAACGTGCATAAGAACTTTGTGAAATAAAAGCTGCTTAGATTTACTTTAATGTTCAGCAATGCGTTATTTTGCCCTAGTTTGGGCGTCTTGGTATAGAGGCACGACCCGGTTGACCATGCCAGGCATTACCCGGCATGAATCTTGGATCCGCCCTGGCGGAACCTTCCGAACGATTATGTGCCAGCGGGACACGTCGAACGAGCCGCCGCTGGTGGAGCGCAGCCGCGCTGGCCTGGGACGGTACCCCGGTGAGGAGCTGACGGTGGCGCCGGCCGCACCCTCTGTCTTGACCAGATGTTCCGGCCCGAGGAGGTGGAGATGGTCGTGTGCGGCTGCCCCACTATCAATCTCGGCGAGCTGAAGAAGGTCACCGAGTACGACGGCTACTCGGCCGACCACGAGGTCATCAGGTGAGCGATGCAGACTCAGTTTCAAAACCATCTGTGTGCTGCAGATGCTGTATACGCTGGGCTACCTGCTATACAGTCGGTGCAAAACATTGAGTATTATGTAGCAAGTGAAGAACGAGTTTGCAGAGGAGCACTCCTAGCAAGTCTATTGCGAACATTCCCAGCAAACTCATCGCGAACATTCCTAGCACTCATTGCAAACGCTCCCAGCCCAGCCATCGTTAAGTTACTGGCACTCATTGCGGACGTTCCTAGCACAGCCATTGCAAATGTTCCTAGCACTCATTGCAAACGCTCCCAGCACAGTCATTGCAAATGCTCCTGGCGCGTTCGCTGCGAACTGGTGTTTTAATTGACGGCAGCTTAAATCGAGGCAGTCAGTTGGTAGAAATGACCAGTTAACATCTACGCAGTAAATACGCATACCATGTCTGCAAATACCTCGGTTCTGGGAATGCAAAACACTGCCCATCAATAAAAGTTGGTGTTCAAATACATACGTCACTTAGGACGCCACTCTGAGAAAAGGAGAAGCAGGTGAGTGCAAAAAGCATATGCTCATCGTCTTTTGTGGATGGAAGCGTCAAATTGTTCTTGAGGTGGCGACTTATGCGTGTATGCTATTGACCTCATTCATATTCGCGCTAATTACCTAGTGTGATACACCACCCCTAACTACTGTGAAGTGGGATCCGCAATAAGCGGGTCCGTAAATGGAGGGCGTGAGTTACGTACGTAACTGTTACGACCCGCGGCGCTGCCGTTTGACGTTGTCAACTTCTGTAGAGCCCATCAGCCTACAACAGAGGCTCAAGCTAGCTCACCCTCGATCCTCGTTTTTGTCTCGAAACCCCTGCATAATTTCAGCTACAATTCGCCCGCCGCCGTACAGGGACTGTGATGTTTCAGGACGTTCCACACGGCGTATTTCAGGTGATGGCACCGGGCCATCGGTCTGTCGAGCACAGTTTATTGCGGGACGCTGTAACCAGGTGACGTCATGAGTTCATATTCCTTCATGGATATCCCCGTAATCCTTTTTAGAGTGACGGCCATCAGGCGGCATTAGACGGGTATATTTTGCCATGTTCTACTGAGGTGCATCCACGGACGTACCTGTCTTACTATCGCAGGAACCTCTGGGAGACGCTTGAGCAGTTCAGCACCGAGGAGAAGAAGCGTTTCCTGCTCTTTGTGACCGGAAGTGACCGAGTTCCGGTGGGTGGCATGGGCGAGATGACCTTCAAGGTCACATTGTACCCCAACAAGGAGGACATGCTGCCTCTGGCGCACACGTGCTTCAACCAGCTGGTGTTGCCAACATACAAGGACAAGGAGACGCTCAAACAGAAGCTGTCCGTCGCCATTGCCAACGCGGAGGGGTTCGGGCTCGAGTGAGGCCCCCCGCAGCCCGTTTCTGCGTGCGGCGCCCCCTGCCTGACTGTGCCGCCTCGCCCGGCATTTGGCGACTGGCAGCGGACCATCACCCTCGCCGGTAGGCCGCCGCACCATCCGTCTGTGATAGGTCACGCGTGTCGGGTCAGTGCCGTGTCATGTTCGTTTTCTAGTGCCGGCGCGACCGGCCGTCTCTGTTCTTGTCTCGCTGTGGTGACGCACTCGTTGGGATTGTAACCGAGGCGACCGCACCGCGTTAGTTTTGTGCTGCTGTACTCCTGCCTGTGCCCTGGCATACTCCCTGACGCCGTGCCGGTGGCCGCCGAACAGTGCTTTATGACGGGGCGTGGGGGCCGGTCACCATGGGAGCCAGAGCCGGCCTGTTAGGATTGTGTCGTTCTGGTGCCACGTCTGACGGAGCAACGGACGCAGAGTCGTCCCCTGTCTAGCCTGTCTCGCACGGGTGTTGTTGATGGGTGGCCAGAGGTCGTGAGCCCCCAGGCGGGAGACAACTGACCTTTGTCTTTGCCTGAGATCGTGTTCGGAACAAACGGCTTTTTGGAATAGCAGTTTGTCGGACCTTTTCCCTGTTTGCTTTCGTTGCGCGGTATTTGCACTGGTGAAGGACTGGCCGTTTTTTGATGGTTGGATACGCCAGCTGTGCTCCCTTGACCTGCGGAAATCCGGCCAGCATCGCATCCCGCTGCCCAGCGGACGACAAGCCATCGCATCCCGCTGCCCGGCGGACGGCAGGCAGCTCACAACCTTCACTAGCCTCAGTGCATTGATAACTTTGTATACCACAAATTGAGCTAGCAGCAGGGGTTTCTGTGGTGGCCTGCTGCAAAATGATCATGGCATATACTGTCGGCATGCATTGTGGTGGCCGCTGTGGAATGTTGTGCCCGTGTGCCCGGCCGGTGGCATGTCCTGTCATGTATTGTTCCACACGTGTCGACGCGCGATGGCACCCTAACTAAGCGAGCCAGCTGGATGATATTCGATGACGCGATGTTACTTGACAGTGGCTTGTTTCATGTGTATGATTCGTGGATGAAGATAATAAACGACGATTTCCAGAAATGCTGTTGCAGTGTTGGTATGACCATCACGCCCGTGTGAAATAACTGGCCACCGTGACACGCGCGTCAAATCAGACCCAGATTCAGTCATATTCGCGCGTACCACTTCAATGTGCCTGAAAATTGGCATGCGTATAGATTTATGCACCCTTATCCTTCTGGCAAGAATACAAGGTCGCAGGTCCAAAGGCAAAATTTTTTTGCAGCTCAAAGTTTTCAAAGTCAAGAGTCAGTCTATTCGGATTTTCCTCAAAGCTGGTACACTGACGAAGCTGAATCTCTAGCAGCCTGAAAGACAAAGGAGCTGTTGTCCAACCAAAGTCCAAGGTGAAAAAATCGGACTGCTTGAATGTGCTCCAAAATGGGTACACTGATAAGGCTTAACCTTCTGATTCTTTTGGTAAAATCGCTAAGCCGCAGCTCCAGAAACCGATGAGTTAGAGCAGGTCGAAGAAGTCACGGCAAAAAACCGGACTACTCGGATTGGCACCAGAATCAGTAAACTAAAAGAGCATTACCTCCTGTCAATTCTGGTAAAATTGTCGAATGACAGTTTTAAACGTACCAGAAACATATACATCGAGCACACCAAAATAATGATCTAAATGTCGTACTAACTTAATACACAACATCATCCTTGTTCCGGAATGATCTGATCTTGACGAAACAATAAACCAATACGCCACTTACACGCCTCGTCGTACCATCTCCATAGGTCAATCGCATCAGAATGCAAATCGGAATGCAAGGAATTTATTCCTTGAATTGAAGCAGGATGAAACTTGAGCGTTGATGTTATGACTGTGACTTTTGGTGATATGTGGCCATCACAGGAGCTGCCAAAGAGGAGCACCACCCAACACTTTTGGCTCGCGTTGTTCATTTGCTGCCGTAGACGGCTTCAGACAGAAAGTTACAAATTATCTTGAGGTGTTCTGACAGAGCCCCCCTTAACGCACGCTCGGGTGACCGGTTGAATACCCTGCGCTCGGGTGTGTGTGGGTCCATGTGACTCCCCTCCGAGATCTTGGAAACTAAAGGAGTTGGATGCGCCAAATTCACAGGGTGTGTTGGTCTGCACGCACCACTCACTTGTGTCCAAATTTAGGATTCCTACGTCATGACCCTCTTGTCAAATGAGGCCAAACAGGGCTAAACTTCAGACCGGTGTCCAAAGTGTCTTAAGACCTTCTTATGCAACTAATGTGAACCTAGACACCTGCTATTAAGCAAAAAGTCACTGGTGCCCATTTAACGTCAATGACCTTGTTCCATCTTTGTAAGGCTTTGATGACCAAAATCATGTAAGACTGCTTTGATTTTGCATTTCAAAGCGCGTCAGGATTACGCTCGGTGGTATGTTCCCAGGTACAAAATGTCGACCTGGGTCATTTTAGGTCAGGGACCCATTCTGGCCCTAAGTAAGCCCGTAGAAGATGTACAATGCGGTTTTTAGCATCAGTAGGTTCAAAATAAGCACCAGAAACTACCCCGTGCAGCAAGCGCTAGTGTAAAAAACGGGTTGGTTTGGAACTTTGTCTGACCTTCACACGTGACCCCAGGCAAATGGAATTTGTCAATTCAATTGTTTTGTTACCTTACAAACCATCTCTGAGATGTATGGCTTCGTTTGACTCTCCGTTGTTGCACCATATGAACGATTTCCCTGTTCGGGAAATCTGTTCCTGTTCGGGATATTACACCCAGATAGGGTGTATACATACTATACATACACCTTATCTGGGCGTATATCCCGAATAAACAAGCTGCGCCACTGTTGATTATAGATGTTATCATAGTTGGGATCATGAGATTTGACGTAGACTACACCGCCGCACTTGCCATAATCAATAATCCCGCCAACGCCATAAGCTTGTCCACGCAGTCAGGCTCACCGTTCTCACCTTTGGCGTCACGTGGTTCTACGCCGCCCATGGAACGTGACAGCGGTCTCAGATCAGACCAGCTTGTAGGTAACACCGACAATCTCGACGCCACAGCTGAGCTTAGCAGGATAGTACGTGATGTTCTAGCTACGAACCGTCATTGTTGCCGAGCGTTTTTCCTTAGTTGACCTCATGCGTAGTCTTGCGATAGATCCCTCCGTAACCGCATTAGCTTTGAACAATACCCCCGGCCCAAGCGCCCCCAGGTATTCCCTGAGGCTTACCACGCTGCATACAAGGCTCAACACATGCATCCCACGGTGTTCATGGTGTCCTCCGCAGGCTCCAAGAACGTGCCACACGTCCCGCTGTAAACGCCACATCTTTGGCTGCCTGCACTACGCGTCCTTGCGTGGTCAGCGTGACCTCGGCACGTCCTAACGCGGACGGTGTGACCTCAGTAGGTTACACACCCGCAGCTTACCTCATGTGTTCTAAGACGGTCATGTTGGCCCCAGTACATCAATCAATCCGTTTCAAGCGTTCCAAACGGATCAAACATACTTGATCTGGTTCATACGACCTAAAGCGGCCGGTGGGTCGCTTCTTCCCTGTGAGTCTTGAACATCGAACGGAAGCAGCCGCGTCTCGAGTATCCTCATTCAAAGGGTGTGCTCACCAAACAGCGCCATCGCCATCACCAAGGTATAGCTGCTGCAGCGTTGTGAACGGGGGACGCTTCACCAAACGGACAGTCATCCAGTACGTGTATTTTATCACATTAATCAAACACGCACTCATGCTTCTCGGGGAGGGGAGGCACCGCACGAGCAGGAAACACCTTCGCGGGACATCTCGAATGTGGCCCGGCTAAATGTGGAATACGGAAATGGGCCCGGCTAAATGTGGAATGTGGAAATGGGCCCGGCTAAATGTGGAATGTGGAAATGGGCCCGGCTAAATGTGGAATGTGGAAATGGGCCCGGCTAAATGGAATGTGGAAATGGGCCCGGCTAAATGTGGAATGTGGAAATGGGCCCGGCTAAATGCTGGCCAGTCCTACTCGGGCAGCCCAGGTGTCGGCACCGGCGTTTCATTTAACGCAGCTGCAAATGATGTACAAGGAATAATCTCAACCAGCATGTCCAACTGGGACCCATGTGGGTCCGAGATGGGCAGTCATATGGGGCCCATCAGGGCTTCCCGCTTTGATCCCATGTGGGCATGTCATGGGCAACCAACTGGGTCCAACATGGGCGGCCCACCTGGGGGAAACAGACCCGGGAACGCGCTAACAGACGTTTGTCACCTTGTGGGTAATCATTAATGGCACGTTAACGTAGCCACCAGTTATTTGGCCAGTACACTTGGTGGCGTGTACTGGCCAAATAACGACACAGCAATCCCTTTAAGAACTTCCTCGACCGCTGTGATGAATTGAGCAGCGGTTATAACATCATAGGGAGGATTTAAACGTTTACTTCAACACGCGCTCGGGTGGTCGGATGGTCAAATTGCCCCCCCCCCAAGGTTTTTTCCAGAATGGTTCCGAACGGTGGGCATAGCCGTGCCAAATTTTGCATACTGTAGATAATTGAATAGCAGATCCTTTGGCACCAAAAATTAAGATGTACCTTGTAAGGTCGCTGACCTATGTCAGATCAAAGTCAGGCCATGGTTTCAGCGAAGGTAATTTCTAGGGAAATCTTCAATCTGATCGAACAACGGAGTGCTAGACGAAGCCATGCATCTGTGAGATGCTTTCTTAGGCAACACAACAGTTGAATAAGCAAATTACATTGACCTTAAGTCGGGCATGAAGGTCACACTAAAGTCCAAACCAACCTGTTTTGTACGCTAGGGCTTGCTGTATGGGATAGCTTCTGGTGCTCATTTCGAACTTATTGATAGCAGGAACCGCATTATACATCTTTCATGGACTTCTTGCAGGTCAGAATAGGTCATTGACCTAAAATGACCCAGGTCAACATCTTGCTTTAGGAACATACTGCCTAGCGCAATCTTTGTCGCTTAATCAAATGCAAAACTCGAAGCGATCTTGCATGATTTTGGTTACCTTGACTTTCAAAAGGTCAAACAAGGTCACTGACCTTGAATGAGCATGTGATCTTCTGCTTAGAAACGGTTATCTAGGTTCTGGGAGCACTTTGGAGACCTACCTGGAACTTGACCTTGTTTGACCTTTTTAGACCCGAAGGTCATGACCTAGGAACTTGAAACTTTGCCCTAAGTGAGTTCACGTACAGTCCAACACACCCTGTAAATTTGGTATCTCTAGCTTTCTTAGTTGTCGAGATCTCAGGGGGGCGGGTTCAAACTGAACCCCCACCCGAGCGAAGGTATTTAGCCGGCCACCCGGGCGCGTGTTAATGAACTATAACAAAAAAGGTGTGAGACGCGATACATCAAACCATACTCGGTATAAACAGCTAGTTACGCAGTATGACTGAAAATGACCTGATAGACGTATGGAAAACCTAAAATATAGGCACAAAGCAACATGCCTGTCATAGATCCAGTCCTCCCAGGAAGTTAAGGATCGGCTTTCTTTGGCAAAAAATCCTTAATGGAAGAGACATTGCCTTCGGCTCTGATCGCGAACGGTTACTCGACTTATCACAGGATGTGTAATCTGTTCATTCCTGTGGGAAATACAAGAGGAGGGTCTTTCTGGAAATTGTACAGTTTTTGCTTGTCGATGAGTTTGTGATGGAGATCAAATCATAAATAGAGGACATAGTTCAAGACGAGTCCGATACGATTAAAAAGACAACTCCGCTGGCCACCTTCCTTTGTGTTCTGCAGGGCTGTATTATACAGTACGCTAGCCACAAGAAAAGAGCTGCCGAAATAAAGTTCAGCGAGGTAGATGTCAGAATAAATGGTGAACTAAACCGCGACTTACCAGCTGAAACGATAGAGGAGCAATAGGCAAAGCGTGACGTACTTGTGGATACACTTAGTAAAAACAATATGTCCCGATCCAGAACGAATTGGCGACAGTTTGCAGAGAAGGGCACACAATACTTTCATGCTCTGAACAAAAGAAACAACAGGGAGCAACCAAATAAACACTCAGAGCAATGCAGCTTGAGCTCACCGAGCAGGGCAATGAATCAGCGGATGCACAACAAATGTTAGAAGAGAGACGCGCTTCTTTTCAGATCTTGTACGCCCCTGATGAGGCCCTCGCTGCACCTGAACCATTCGTTAACGGCATAACCTGCGTGGAGGAATCTGGCGCAGCACTGTGAGTGCCCGTTGACAGTTGAGTTAAAGACCGCACGCTTTTCAGTGAGAGCCTATCGTTCGTTCAAATATTCAAACGATTCGTAAACCGTCCAGTCTTCCATTGAGAGCCTGAACGATTCCGGGACCAGACGGATTCAATGTGCCGTTCTATAAAATGTTCTGGGATGTCTTGAAAAAATTACCTTGCCCGCACTGCTCGAAATGTTTAACCTGGGAGCTATTCCAAATATTCTAAAATCTGGCACCACCGTTCTTATACCGAAGGACAAAAACAAGAGATAAATGGACTCACTTCGTCCCACCAGCCTTTTAAATGTTGTCTTTAAGACATCAACCAAGGCATTTCCTCGTAGGCTAAACGCGCTGATGCATCATATCATAAACGAAGACCAGACTGGTTTTCTTAGGGGAAGATTTATCAGGCAAAATATGCGCCTTATTATCGTTATAACGCGATATGCAGATGCGTGATACACCCGGAATGATGCCTTTCTGTGACTGGCGTAAGGCCTACCATTCTGTGGACTGGGGTTATTGGAAGTGTTCGCCAGTCACTGGATTTCAGACCCGATATCCAGAAGTGGGTTAGCATGCTTTATAATCGAACAGGGATCACTCATAGTAGTGGATGTGTGCAGGTAAACTGACAGTTGTCAGCAGCATACATAATGTCTAAGGGCCTTCGTCAGGGATGCCCGCTCAGTTGTCTGCTTTTTCTTATTTCAATTGAACCGTTAGCGCACAAAATCCGTCACTGTAATAGCATCAAGGGGCTCACCATTGGCGAGACAGAAATAAAGATATCCCTCTTAAGGGGTGCTCTAAACGCCTCAACGCGTACATACATGTGTCAATCCTGGCCTTGAAAAGAAAAATGCGCGAGGGGTTTGGGTGGACAGCATTGCAGCCGCACTGATAGCACCTGTCCACAGATAGACATATCAGGGGGCGAAAACCAAAAAGTTACTTAGGAGTTAAACTAGCAGCAACACGCAAGGATCTATGCGATCTTAACTACCCTGGAACAAATAGGATTGCAAGAAAACCTGAACCTACGATTTGGACGGAGCATTACGGTCTATGGAAGGGTGCACGTGATGAAGTGTCTTTCGCATCACGAGAGCATTAGAAGAGGTTAGCAGGATGATTTTTAAGAAAATGAAAGCGATAATTTATCAGATATTTTGGAATAGATCGCGAGACAAAGCAAAATGAGCTGTACTCAAAAACCATCTTCACATGGAAAACTTGCAAGGCCCAGATCCATGAGATCAAGCCGATAGCCTCAAAATTATCTGGATTAAGAAGATATTTGACTCTGACTACAAAGCTAAGTGGAAGGAACTTGCACAATATCGACTTACAATAAAGGACAACATATCACCGTTGCACTATGACATCGATCCTAAAAAGTTACTGAACTTGTTAGATGAGTGTGTATTTTGGTCAGAGGTAGTAAACGCTTTGACGCGAGCCGTGCGGTCAACACAGCCTGGGCTAACTTAGGGAAATATTCTAGTCGAGGTTCTATGGAACAACTCTGATATGAATTTAGATGAGATTAAGTCTATGAACACGCGCCAGCTGATGCGCCATTCAGCCGTTCAAATAAGTGACCTCTGACTACCAGAATCAAAAGCTTCTGAAAGCTAACCAACTGCGCACTCAGTTCGGGTGCGGACATTTTTTGACCTGGCGGTCCGTACTGCATGCAATTACTCGATCACGGAAAGAGGTACTGACGCAAGAAAAGGCTACTGCTATCACCTGCCCGTGTGGATATGGCCATTTAAGCACATGCATGGGCATGGCAAGGTGGGGTTATAATGCACTTATCACCCGCAAACGTTGCCCTACCTATGTACTCACAAGTGAAAGGGAGCACAAATTGGGGGCTATAAGTAAAGAACAAAGGACACAGGTATATAAAGTCCTACATACCACAACTGAGGACTTAAGTGAAGCGGCTCCAACTCAAATCTTGCACAGAATTTTACCGACTAACCGCATGCTGCACCTATACGGGATTAAAAATTCAGATCACTTTCAGCGCTGTCAGAGTCGGACGGAGAATATCCTACATGTGTTCTGGTTCTTCGTCACTGAGCCGCCTTAAGTGCACGTATACAGCTTGGCAAGCAATTCACAATGCAGCAAGTCATCACCAATCTGTACCCTTCTGTTGCGTCTGACGGAACACCGTCTGTGCCCGCTATCCGCTTATGTGTGCTGTTGGGTAAGCAGTATGGGTGGCAACGTCGTAACGCACCGCGCGATCCATCCATTACTGGTTTCATCCAATTGATTCGTATATACTCCGACGTGAAGAGATGTGTGGCAGTGAGCACAAACACAACTGATAAATTCAACCAGTTGTGGCCAGTAACCCCAAAAGGATTGGCGCTAAATCTACCAGACTGAAACCTGTCAGCGGAATGTACTGATATCAAGTGGTAGCTACTGGAACGCGGGACACTGCCAACGGACGTAACTACGTGTGCATATCAACAAACCGCCGGTGCAATCCGAAAACTGCACATCAGAAGCCCGCCCCAACCCGACCTTATACGATGCCAAGCTCTCGCCAAGCGAGCCATGAGACGAACGGGCCTGAGTTGACCTTTCACCGGGCAGCCGTCTGGGGTGAGAATCGTCCCGGCCACCACGCAACACTGTAATCCGATTTCAATCTGATCCCGTCAGTGGCTCTCAAACATTTCTTTGCATAGATTGCCACCGTCTGTGTCGCGGCCGATAATTATTAAACAGGCTGTACTTACGCATCGCGTGCTTTTTTGCTATTCAAGTCAGAGCCTCCGCAGTAGTTTAGACCATTGTTGCACATTTTCGAGAAAAAACGTATCATCACGTACATCGTACATGCGCAGCCAAGACATTCCAATCGACAAGTAGCTCCAACACGACAGTAGCCCGTGGCGGACGATCAACACGTTGCTGAAAATGCACAAGATTGCAAACAACGGAGGACTGGGGACGCAGTTCTTCTATGCCGCAAAGCACCGCGCAACCCGCCGCCATTTCTTTTCTCCCTCCCTCCGTCCCTCCCCATCACGCACACGCTAGACGATGCGCCCGCGTGCTCCGGTCAGTATGTCTCCCCCCCCCCCCTCCCCTCATCACGTCACAGACCGGGCGTTCGACTACCCGACCGCCTTGGCGCGGGGCTGCGGCTTGAACTTGAGCTTGACACTGTCGTTGTGTCCCTCGCGGTTCCTGGCCAGCTCCACGGCGTAGAACTGGACGCGCGGCACCACCTCGGTGTTGTCCTGCGAGTACTCGTCCCCACTGTCCAGCCGCAGCAGCGTGGCGAAGCTGAAGTCCTCCACCTTGCCCTCGAAGCTGTTGCAGAACGCGCGCCACTCCTGTGACGCAAACGGACGGCGCAAGGATCACTTGAGAGCGGCGTTCGGGCGCGCTGAGACCGCAGGCCTCCCAGGCAGACAAACAGTAGCTGCAGCCTTCCATGTCCCCCCCCCCCCCTCCCCCGACGGTCGCAGGCGTGCCCAGCGTTCTCACCTTCTTGGCCTCCTCATTCTTGATCTGGTCGGTGGTCAGCTTCTGGACGGGCAGCTCTGGGAACTGCTCGCGGAACCGTTTGTAGATCTCGTCATCGTGCGGCGTCAGACGCAGCAGTTTGGGGTCCACAGAACAGATAATCTGCGGCATCAGTTGACGACCAGTTACAGTTCCTTCAAAACAGACAAGTGAGCCATGAACAGTACCAAAATATAATTCAACCCCTCGTAAGTTAGACAGTTCTGAGTTGAAAATACAGCATGTTTCTTCTAAGGATTTTATCCAAATCATGTGAATCGATGGATTTCTGGGATCAGCACTCACACCAAGCAGTCCTTGTTGTGTGAGCCCTGACCCCTACTGTCCGATCGCGCAATTCCGGGAAACGGCAGAATTTAGCGGCAAAATTTTAACATTCCGCAATGCTCGGCACGGTCCGTCCTGCCTTCTGACGTCAACTGACTTTTAGCGCGACCGCTGCCACCGGCCGCAGGCCATACCTGTCAGAGGCAAATAGCTGGCACCTAAAGCTACTCCAACCCAACTCGCCACGAGTGGGTGGATCGGAAGGCAGACGCTCTTGCCAACTGAGCCACCGGGACGGACATACATATAATAAACATACGATTAAGTATTAGCCAACAAGGCAGGAAAGATAATGACTCAGGAATATCTGGCTGACGCGTTACAATGACAGACTCCATGACTCAACTACCCAATGAGGAACTTACATTGAAGTATACGTCAGCGTGTTCTGAAGCTTTTACTGCCCAAGCTGCTTCCAACGATGCCTGAAAATACAATAATGTTAGACGTATATTTATATCTAGGACCTTTCCGTATGTGATGGCAACATGCACAAAATAAAAATCCCTGCACATGATGCGATGATAACTGGGCGCTGCGTAATTCAACGAGGGTATGAGGCCGAACATTCCACACAGATAAGTTAACAAGAGAAACAGAGCTGCGCATGCTTCACATCAGTGCTACAGCAAAACTGCTGCGGTCAAGAGTGCTATGACGTTACTGCTAATGTTAACGCACATAGGCATCGTATTTGAGCCCGTCATTCATTTTGCGGCAAAACTTACTGCCATTACTAATACACGGCATTACTTCCACCACGGACTTATGGGCGACATTAGCACTATAAGACACAATCTATGCTTCAAAAATGCACACCCGCCTTTGTGTAAATACGACATTACTTCAACTGCTAATACTTAGCCGCGGAGTGCAAAATGTGTGGACACCTAGCGGGGATGTAGGCACAATTCACAAGAAAGGAAGGAACCACAACCACTAATACTGGAATTGAAATCTCGTGGTGCCAATGCAAAAATTGTTTCAATTCATTTCACGTTATTTTGTCGTTTTGTCATGCTTGGTACATTAGTAAAGGCTGTAGTTTTGGCTGCGGAATCTCAATGACTGACAAACATTTTTCCGGCATTAGACTTCCTGTGTAGCACAAAAGCCTCACATAAGAAGTGGTGTCGCATTTTGGTGAACACCACACCAGGGGTTTAGTTTATTCAGTCAGGAACCCTATCCACCTCTCATCTGTGGTAGGAGGATATGTCACATTCAGGGCAAATGATGTGTTTTACGCATTCTGGGGCATGTTTGGATGTTTTCCCCTGCTTATCACCCGAATGTTTTGCAACTAGGGGCGTAGTTTCCTAAATAAATGTGGCGAGTGCAAAATTACGCAGCCAGCCTGTTCCCGAAATACGCCACCAAATGGGTTTCTCCTAGGAACTGGCCTATTTTTTCTCAAACAGGCCGGAGCCCAAGTTAGGCAGCGAGGGGGCTGGAGCCCCCTGTCCAATGGAATATAGGAAACTGCACCCTTGTTCACAACACTAAAACCCTGTGCTTGCCAAGTTTTTTTGACAAGACTGCGTAATGCACATGGTGTAGATCTATTGCCATTGTGAAGCTGTCAACAAAAATGTAATATTACCTGGAGCACTATGTATTGACACCATGAAGAAGGCACCCCTATTGTGATTTTCCTTGGCCAGGCATGTTTGTACTTGCCCCCTCCAGTTTTTTGTTGAGGCTTGTCACATGAGTGTAAGATGACTGACTGCCCATGTAGAGACAGCTATACCTAGTGAAGTATGTTGAGTGCAGTATAGAAAATATGTGGCATGACAGTATCGACAGCAGAAGCAATTTTGCTTACAAGCAAGAATTACACAGCTTTTTGCAGTAGGTGTAAGGACAAGTTTAACTTTTTTAGTATAAGTTTTGTTATGTCACACTAAGGTCATGCTATTTGCAGAAGTAATACTATGTATATAAGAAGACCATATATGTTTGCTGTAAAGTCATTCATGGATATATGTTAATGCTGCATATGTTTTGCTGTTAAGCACTCATGACACACATACATTTTTGCTGTAGAAGTGATGCAGGTATATGCTTTTCAAATAAACATTTGGATGTATCACACTCATGTTACACAGGGTCTTTGCAGTAAAATGAATATAACATATAAGTGGCCTCCAGCTACTTTTCAGAAGAAATAATGCAGTGTAATGTTGCAGCTCTCCTGTCAGTAGGACTTTTTGCCATGGAACTAATATTGTGACACTACTATATGGTCTCCTGGTGCATTCATGATGCAACATATCTGTCTTGCTTGCAATAAACAGCCTTTTCCTGTCCTATACAAGAAGAGCTTATTAACTGAACAAAGCATTCTATCTGTGCTAACATCTTCAAAAGAAAGGCATCAACAGTTTATGGGCCACCACACCCTGAGAACTCAGATCTTCAATTGGCCATCCATGCTTGGGAACCTAGGAATTCCCATGCTTTTAGTGAAACACACCTAGATATGACAGAAAAAATTTTGCTAATGAATTTCAATGGCACTAAGTCATTTTTTCCAACAGCGAAGTTCAGCTTCAGTGAGTGCACCAGCTTATACAGATGCCTTGTCTCTTAGCCTTACAATATTCCAAACTGATTGTGGAAAGGACATGGTACACCCTTGGAAAAAAACAGGGAATGCTAATTGCCCAGCCAATGGTTCCTCTTCACAAGAAGCTTGGCACATTTTTTTGAAAGTAATATGCATATACATTCCTGTGCAATGAACCGACATCAGCTTATGATCAGCGACAGAGCAATCAAACAGAAGTGTACTCTTGATGTCCAAGTAGTGATTCATCAAAACTCTTGCACAACCAAGTGTGCAAGTGTTTTCAGTCAACAATAACATCTGAACATTCTGACCTGTGGCATCATAATTGCACACTCATGTGCACCAATCTTGCCAATAATTATTTTGGCTGAAATTCCTTCCTCAGCCTTCATAAAGAAATCCCTTCCTCAGCCTTCACTGTGTGGCCCCCAGTGAGGTAAAGTTCAATCAAAAGTATGCTGATGATTCCATGCCACTACAAACATGTCATCAGTTCCAATGGATGTAACTTCTCCCCTTACTTAGGACTTCAGTTGAAAATTGTGTGGAAAGGTCAAGATGTAGGGGATCAAGGTAAAAGGGCAATGTAATAGCAGTTCATCAAGGCATGGTTGAGGCAAAGATGAGAGAGAGGACAGAGCTCTCAGAGCATTAATGGATATTGACCTCTCTGGTGCCAAAGTCCCAACTAATTTTTTTCAATGCTGGTAGACCCCAGTCTAAAATATACATTCACTGCACAAGGTGCAAAGTAACATAAAAGTGCTGAGCCTAGCATATATGTATTCTAAAACCAGTTCATGCTTGAAAGCATCCCATTTGTAACTTACCTTCCTTGAAAATATCCAAGAGGAATTTCTCCTTGCGTTTATCACCGTAACATCCCAAACCCCCAATATGATGCCTCTCTTTGGACTGATCTAGCAGGAACTGAACCAAACTCAGAGCATGCTGCACATGAAAGTATACTTGGCATGTTCAGTAAGGCATTTCTTCACAATCTGGTGCAGAAAAGATGACTGAACTGCCCAGCAACACCCTATAATCTAGCAAACAATGTGGGATACCTGATACAGTATCCCAGAGGCAAAGCCCTGTGTAGGTGTGGAACAAACCCTCTACATATGGGATGCTGAAGATGAAGTTTATATTCCTTGCTGAGAAGGGAACACGACTTCATCCGCGCACATCCTCACCGCCCTGAATTGCACGAATGCCAACTCACATCATTGCCAAATTCGTCAGCAGGTCTGCTCAATACAGATGCAGCATTCCCTAGACCCTGAATTCCAATGGCTTGGGCAATCTCATCCGGCAAAGCCATATTTGCAGGCTAAACCACTTCTCAGATTAACCGGCGATTACTCCTTATGGGCTGCTCACACACCACATGTGCACCACGCGGCCCAGCACACCGCCCGGCCTAATAACTCAACGCACATGTCACGTAGAGCTCCGAGAATCGTACATCTGTCTGCAAAGCTCCATTTTTGTCGGCCTGAGTGGGGCACACAGGCTACCAAATAAGGACAGCGCTTGGTTGGTACAGCGGGCAGTCAGTTAATTGGCCCACAGTATTGATCTGCAGATAATTACCATGGAAGCAATTCCCTGTCATAAGCCGACTGACAGGGGGCGACTGCAAATGGTGGCGAAAACATTGGCGCGCCGACATTACCTAGACTTTTGCGAAACAGATGCAGATGCCGCGCGCCACATCTGAAGCTAACCTGTTTCAATCCAGTCCCCGGGCTTACAAAAATACACACGTGATGAGAATAACCTAATTGCAGTAAAAAAAAAAACGGCATGTGGCCCGCAGCGGATAGATACGCCGCGCGCCACATATGCGGATTTTGAAGGTGAAGATGGGAGCCTGTGGTAACCAGTTTTGGAACGGCTGATGAGATCGCATGCGTGTCTTCTTCTGGTAAAGGTTCCAGGCGGATCTCTTCAGCAGTTTCCGTGCTTGAAATTGGTTGTAATGTCCCAAAGTAGTTTATAAGGTTTTTTAGGGTAAATCTGGGAACCTGAGGTGACCAGTTTCAGAACGGCTGATGAAATCGTGTCCTTTATCTTCTAGTAAAGGTTCCAGGCAGATTTGTTCAGCGGCCTCCGTGCGTGGACTCGGTTGCAATGCCCTAAAGTGGTTTATGCGGGTTTTGAAGGTTAAGGATGGCAACCAGATGCCACCAGTATTACAACGGCTGATCAAATCGCGTATGCTCTATTTTCTGGTAAAGGTTCCAGGCAGATCCGCCGGCGGTTTCTGAATTTGGACTTACTTGCAATGCCCCAGAGGTTTATGCATTTTTGAAGGTCAAGATGGTGACTTGGTGTCAGCGGTTTCAGAGCTGCTAACGAAACCGCATCCTAGCTTGCTGGAAGTGTTAGTTGAAGAAAATATATACTGCGGTGCCGTACTTACGACTTTCTGCATGGATGGCGACGAAGCAGTGTTGTCCACTAAATGGGAGGAAGTAAACGATCGACTAAACCAGCCCATCCTCCGAGCCTATATATGCCATGACAGCCCCATGCTCTGAGCAACAGCACCGCTCGACACCAAAAAACTTCGTCATTCGATGCCGCTTAGTCAATGACTATCCTTTCCAGAATTATTACTTTGGGCTACGTCAAAGGTTACCATAAATAAAAAAACGGAAAACAGGGTTGCAGACAACCCATACTCCAAGCCTGAGCACCGATCAGCATGAAACCTTCATCAATCAATGCGCCATGGTCGATATCATATCCTTCCAGACAAAATGACCTTGGAATATGTAAAAGGTCACGAAAAAAAACGCCCAAAACCACCAGAATTCACTGCAGAGCGCTATATGCTCCGAGCCTATGGCTGATCAGCATGAAACTTTTACCAATAGGGGCATGGGGCTGTCTGCAACTGTTTTTCCGGTTTTTACTATTTGTGGTAACCTTTAACCTGACCCAAGGATACCATGTTCTAACGCGGATAGGATGTCAGCTATGGCGCATCAACTGATGAAGATTTCATGCTGATCAGTGCCATGGGCTCGGTGTATGAGATTGTCTGCAACTAATTTTGGTGGTTTTGGGCATTTTTGGTGACATTTGACCTGATCCAAGGTCACTATGTTCTGTAAAGGATAGGAGGTTTACTGTGGCGCATCGAATGGTGAAGGTTTCATGCCGATCGGTGCTAAAAGCTCGGAGCATGGGGTTGTCTGCAGCCTTATTTGCCTGTTTTTTGCACTAATAGTGACCTTTGACCTGATGGAGACGGTTTGATGTCGATCGGTTCAATAGGCTCGGAGCACGGGGCTATCAACAGGTTTGGTCATTCACTTAGTTCCTCGCTACCAAGGGCTTCGATCCCCCGAGCCTCAAGTTCCCTTGTTGGTGGATAGCAGTGTAGATCGTGATTACGTAAATTCAGAGCAGAATCAAGATTGAATCGCCGAAATAAAGATATTATTTTAATAGGCTCATAATGAAATGGAATCTGTAATACTATCGGTGGTGGCCCAAAGGATATTGCGCCTCCCGCCCCGCTGATTCGAGTCGTAAATCGTGCGCCTGGGACGTACGTACTCTGCACCTGCCACACACCGACTGGCACATCACAGAGGCCGTTTTCGTATTGAATCGAATTAGCCTGGAACCGCCTGCCATCGTGCACCCGCCATGTCACAGCACTGAACGCGTGTAAGGCCGCCATACGCGATGCGATTTTAACCACTGACAGCTGATCTGATCTGTATCATAGTGCGTTGACAGGTCTGTTTTAGCTCTGATCATTGCTCGCATCATTTTCGTGTACCTTTTGTGCATGCCTTTTCATGCTCTACCTTTATGACCTGAAACCATAATATCCACCATGTGTATGACTCCCGATGAACTCATTAATTGAAGGAAAAGTTGAAATAACTTTATTGCTACCCGGGTGCATGGTTTATGACGCCTTCATGGAGTAATGGGCCGTTTACCTCATCAGTTGTCGTCCCTGAATTGCCATTGTCAGGATCGACCTCGCGACTGATCATTTATCCTTGAATTGCAGTCCGACTTGACTCCGTTGAACCGGAATCAATCACAAATCTGGCAGGGATACGATGGCGCCGCGTGCAAGGCCCTGTGACAATGCCGTATCCTGTGCAGCTTGCTGCGCGATCAACATCGCTTGGGTTCGTTTTGTAACGCAGTTGCAATCTAAGGGGTTTCTGTTACTTTGTTCCCTAAACTTTCACTTTGACGCAAACGGTCACCCTAATCATCTACTTATTAAGGAACCCCGTAGTCCTTTTCTGGTCCCTACTTCACGGAAACGATGAGTCACAGTTTTAATTAAGGAATATTGTGGCATATTGCAAGCACGTGCGTGCTGTACATATGCATTCACATTACGGTTTCAGCAGCTCAGCGCAACGTGCACCGTAATGTTATACTCGGGTAAGCGGATCCAGTCCTCGGTCTGGTATGAGGAAGTCCAGTACCCCTGCCTTGAATTCACGAGAGCTATTACTTAGAAGAGAACAGGATATTCAAATCCAACGCGTTGGCTGAGCCGAATGGCACGAGTAGGTGAGCTACATTACAGCGGTGTGGACAGAACGAATGGGGCTGTCTGTATCCCTCAAACTGTCGGTTTTTCAAGTGCCAGTAGGTGGATTCTGGTAGCTCAGATATATTTTTTTCCGAGAAGTTTCATAACATAGTCTTGGGCTTTAGGCAGAGCGGATCACCACACCCGCGCGGGACCAGCCCTGCAGCGGTGACGCGACCGGTCGAGCCCCGCAGGCGGCGCGGGCGCCTCAGACAGCCGCGGATAGCCCGAGCTCCGGCGATTCCCACCGCACTGCTCACGCGGCAGCGCACACGGTGAAAGCAATACACCACGGCACAGGCGGCCGCCTCACTGGGTGCGACATCTTTACTGAATGCAATAAGGAAATATTTACTCACTTGCAAATATTCACGTAATGCAATAGCTGACTAGCTCGCACATCTAATGCGTCACGGCCCCGGCCGTAATTTGGGCCAAACGAACGCCGTAATGACTTCCACGAACGCTTCTCACTTTCCGAATGTTACACCCCACACAAGTTTTTCTTGGTATAATTAACACTTATTCACCAACGCTCCGACACTTTCCTTCATAATTGTTATTCAGGACGAGGGCAAGCACTCGTAGCACCTACCGAGCAGCATCCGGACTAGGGAAGCAGGGAATTACAGCCCCAGAATGAAGTGGAGCGACTCATGCGTACACTAGAGCACATGAACGGAAATGGCCACATAGAGAAGAAAATGCAAGGAATGCGCACAAAGAGCACGTCCAGATTTCTAGACATTGCTAACACAATCGAAGAACGCATCAAAATATGGCATGTGAAGAGGACGGATGCAGAATAGCGAGGTCCCTCCACGTGCGGGCGGTGACCTCCAGCGCCACGACAGAGTTAGCGAGGGTGGTGGACGTGGCCGGCGCATGGTCGTAACCTAGACGCGCTGGTGTTGAGGAACGGGGCGTCCATGACAGGCTGGATGGCGGCCAGGGAACACTGCCCGGTGTCACCGAGGACGCGGCAGCGGCGCGACTCGTACCAATGCCTCACACGTGCACAGCTTGAGCAGACGAGCACACCTCAGTTGCGCCCACCGCCACAGCGAGTCCGACCGGGTCAACAACGCAGCAGCAGCGGTTTAGGCGCCCAACGGCGAGGGTCGCCTATTCAAAAACTGCTAAACGTCACATGAAAACGCGGGGAGCTGATGAAACGACGCCAACAATACAGTTCAGTTCACGAAACGTCGCGATGAATTCAGAAGTGTCGCCGGCAGGCTCGGTATCGATTCAAACTTCGAGACAGGTCACAAGCGAGGCGAGTGAAAGTGACAGTCAAGTTAGAGTTGTTATTTATCAGGGCATAGGCATCCGAAGGCATAGAGTGGTATTATGAGCTACAGTTATTAATTAACTGTGCAAGAGTTCTCACTTGTCAGGGCATAGCATCCGAAGGCATGGGATGGTATTCTGAGCTGCATATGACACAACATTATGAATACAACAAACGGCAGTGGAGAGTTTCACAGCTGCCAGTAGAGGAAGTCCAATCGACCGGCCCGACCCTATCGTGCCGCCCCATCCACCGACACACTCATCCAGTCCAGCCTCCGTCGCCACGGTTCGCAAATACAAAATGCGTAAGCTTTCATCGCAACGAACACATACTTTAAATAATATAAAACGCACAAACAATAATTGCGGTGTGCCAAGGGGCACGTGCCGTGCCGTCTCGGGCGCGGCGCCCGGCGGCACTGCTCGTTCGGCGCCCGGCCGGCCAGCCGCCGCCTCACGCGTCGTTGGGCGGGTCCATGGCGCAAATGACGGCCTTCATGAAGCTGGCGGCCGTCAGCGAGGCGTAAGGCTGCCACTCGCGGCCCCGACTGCCGTCCTTGTAGTCTGAAATGCCACGCGGGGTCAGTCCTTGCGGGTCAGACAGCGAGCTGGGAAGAGGTCGGAAACGGCACAAACGGGCCGCATGCGAAGCTGCCTCTCCCCTGAGAACGCTCCGGTTGAGAATGATTGGAAAATAAACCAATGGGCAGACGACGCACCACTCTTTTGCCACCGCTGGCACCCTTGCCAGTGGCCGTCACTGACGTGGTAACCGGCCTGCCCGGCCGCAACTGGTCGGCTCACAAACTACACGGAGGCAGCTGCTGAATCATAAACATCTGTTCCACTCCTTGTCTTTAAACAGGCTGGCTTCCCTCCGACATCAGGCAACAACACGCGCAGATTACGCCAGTCACGTGTTTCAACACGAGCGACGAAGTTGGTGTACGTGGTGCCAACAGCAGCCGCCCTCCTGCCCCAGGCACGACCAGGTCACCGCCATATGGCCTGTCAGACGCTCACCGGCGATGCCCCTGATGAAGATGTAGTTGTCCTTCCTGTTGCCGTATATGCTCTCGACCACCGAGTCGTACTCGGCGTCGTACGCCAGGATGCCGACCTGGCTGGAGAACTCCTGTCTCATTTGATCGTGGCTGACCACCTGGCGACCGGACGCCACGGGCCCGAGATGGACCATGGGCCGGCCCCGCTCCCTGCGCACAGCACACAACACGGTCAAATGGTGTCCAGTGACACCACGGGCCCGAGATGGACCATGGGTCGGCCCCGCTCCCTGCCCATAGAGCACAACACGGTTAAATGGTGTCCAGCGACACCACGGGCCCGAGATGGACCATGGGCCGGCCCCGCTCCCTGCGCACAGCGCACAGCACACAGCACGGTCAAATGGTGTCCAGTGACACCACGGGCCCGAGATGGACCATGGGCCGGCCCCGCTCCCTGCGCACAGCACACAGCACGGTCAAATGGTGTCCAGTGACACCACGGGCCCGAGATGGACCATGGGCCGGCCCCGCTCCCTGCGCACAGCACAGTCAAATGGTGTCCAGTGACGCCACGGGCCCGAGGTGGACCATGGGCCGGCCCCGCTCTCTGCGCACAGCACACAACACAGTCAAATAGCGTCCAGTGACACCATGGGCCCGAGATGGACCATGGGCCGGCCCCGCTCCCTGCGCACAGCACACAACACGGTCAAATGGTGTCCAGTGACACCATGGGCCCGAGATGGACCATGGGCCGGCCCCGCTCCCTGCGCACAGCACACAACACGGTCAAATGGTGTCCAGTGACACCATGGGCCCGAGATGGACCATGGGCCGGCCCCGCTCCCTGCGCACAGCACACAACACGGTCAAATGGTGTCCAGTGACACCACGGGCCCGAGATGGACCATAGACCGGCCCCGCTCCCTGCGCACAGCACACAACACGGTCAAATGGTGTCCAGTGACACCATGGGCCCGAGATGGACCATGGGCCGGCCCCGCTCCCTGCGCACAGCACACAACACGGTCAAATGGTGTCCAGTGACGCCACGGGCCCGAGGTGGACCATGGGCCGGCCCCGCTCCCTGCGCACAGCACACAGCACAGTTAAATGGTGTCCAGTGACACCACGGGCCCGAGGTGGACCATAGGCCGGCCCCGCTCCCTGCGCACAGCGCACAGCACACAACACAGTCAAATGGTGTCCAGTGACACCACGGGCCCGAGGTGGACCATAGGCCGGCCCCGCTCCCTGCGCACAGCACACAGCACAGTTAAATGGTGTCCAGTGACACCACGGGCCCGAGGTGGACCATAGGCCGGCCCCGCTCCCTGCGCGCAGCACACAGCACAGTTAAATGGTGTCCAGTGACACCACGGGCCCGAGGTGGACCATAGGCCGGCCCCGCTCCCTGCGCGCAGCGCACAGCACACAACACAGTCAAATGGTGTCCAGTGACACCACGGGCCCGAGGTGGACCATAGGCCGGCCCCGCTCCCTGCGCACAGCGCACAGCACACAGCACGGTCAAATGGTGTCCAGTGACGTTCCAGACCTGGCCGGAGGCACCCGTGACTTACCGGTGCCATGCCAGGCTCGGGCCTAAGCATGGAGGGACAACAGCTAAACTACCCCTGGCGAGTGGGTAACTAAACTTCTCCCGGCAGGTGGGTAACTACACCACCCTTGGCGGGTGGATAACCCCACAAATCGGCGAGTGGGTAACTAAAACTACCACCGGCGGGTGGGTAACTAGACCACGCCCAGCGGGTGGGTAACTTAACATCCCTCGGCGAGTGGGTAACTAGACTACGCCCAGCGGACGGGTAACTAGACCACGCCCAGCGGGTGGGTAACTTAACTTCCCTCGGCGAGTGGGTAACTAGACTACGCCCAGCGGACGGGTAACTTGGCTAAGCCCAGCGGGTGGGTAACTACACAACCTTCGGCGGGTGGGTGATTAGACTACCTCGGCGGTTGGGCACCCAGACTACCCATGGTGGGTGGGTAACTAGACTACCTTTGACGGGTGGGTTGCTAAACTACCCCGGCGGTTGGGTAAGTAGGCTACCCGCGGCGTATGACGTGACTGACCTGAGGTTGAGGGTGCTCTCGGCGGGCGCCGGGTGCGCCACCTCGATCAAGTCCTTCTCGCCGATGGCCATGTACAGTTTGTCCGTGTCCTCGGGCGGTCGATCGAAGGCGGCGTCCTGCTCCAGCAGCCGCTGCTGGCCGTCCGCCAGGTACCTGGACAACACACAAAGGCCAACTGAATGCACAGCGGGGGGAGGGGGGAACGACATGGGGCATGCCAGGCGGCAGGTCTGCTGACCTAAACGGTAATGCCAATCTGCCGGCAATCGAAGCACATGTGGAAAATAATTATACGGGACATTGTCATACTGGTAAGGGAGGCATTAGTATGCGGAACATCATCATACGGGTAGGCGCCATACCCAGACGAGTAATGGTAACGTTTGTAAAACGGCACACACTGGGAGGGAAGAGAGAGAAAGAGAGAGAGGGGGGGGGGGGGAGCGAAACACACTGGTGACACACCGCCCACCTGGCACCCAGAATAGGTCCCAGCTGGTCAACAACAAACAAGGCGTGCAACTCGCAGGTCCCCAAGCGCCCATCAGAGGGTCGATATATCCTGCGACGACAACTGCGCCCAGCACCTTTGTTCATAAACACGTTTGCACATTGTGTGCTGTGCGGCCATGACTGGACGCGGGTCAGACGCTATTGCGCCTTCACTGCGGACGGCCCGCCGTCTCCAATCGGGAGGCCACAGAGGGCCGCGCGCGGGGAACGGTCTGCTGGCGGTTAAAGGTAACAGGTAACAAGTAACAGGACGGAGCGGAGCGGAGCGGACGCCGCAAGCGACTGACTTGACCCAGGGCGCAGAGTCGGGGTGCTCCTCGCCCTGCTGCTTGAGCAGCGCGGCGATGTTCTGCAGGTCGAGGCAAGGCGGGCCCCACGACTTGGTCTCGAACTCGAACGCGCCCGACTCCAGCTCGCTGGCCCGCTCGCAGTGCAGGTAGATAAAGCTGCGGCACACCAGATACACACAGTCAGCAGATAAGACGGCGCTGCCAGGGCGACACAAGCCGTGGCGCTAGCCCGGACGGCATGGAAGCTGTCGTGGCGCTCGCCCGGACGGTATGGAGGTCGTCGCGGCGCTCGCCCGGACGGCATGGAAGCCGTCGTGGCGCTCGCCTAGACGGTATGGAGGTCGTCGCGGCGCTCGCCCGGACGGTATGGAGACTGTCGTGGCGCTCACCCGGACGGCACGGAGGCCGTCGACATACCCGGGACATTATGGACCCTATACTGTCCACAGCCCGCTGAGCCATGACTCACTCGTATTGGAGCTGCAAATGCACATTTTGGACAAAGGAAAATCAAAATTAAAAGTCAAAATGCTTAGCACGAGGGAAGATGACAGCTGTTTACTCCCACGAACAAGACACAGTAAAGCACATTTCCTCCCGATAGCGCAGCTGGTTTGAGTGTCTGCCTTCCAATCCACCTATTCGTAGCTGGGTGAGTTCGAGTCGCTATAGGGGCTGGCTATTTGCCCCTGGCGAGTAAAGCGTGCGGACCGGTGCCAGCGGCCGCGCAATAGGTCAGGTGACGCCAGAGGCAGAGCGGACCATGCCAAATGTAGCGGCACGTTAAGCATCGACCGCAAACGTTTGCCGTTAAATCGGAATTTGATGACCGGGTGGTGGGGTCAGGGCTCACGCAATAAGCCTAGCGTGGGCGCTGGTCAAATCGAAATATAAAGGATTCGGACTAAATATCAAAAGGTGTCCCCAATGCAATATCCCTCGATAGAGGCCAATTCCCCACACCACCGGCGCCGGTCCTGGCCGCTTACCGTTGTCCGTCGGTGGGCGCGGCCACCACCACGTCGCCGAGCCGCACGTGGCGGGCGTAGTCCGTGTAGTGCGGCACGCCGCCGCCGACGCCCACCAGGAAGACGTGCTCCACCTGCTGGAAGCAGCCCAGCAGACGCGTGGTCGTGCTGCCGGCGGCGATGACGGCGCCGCGCGTGTGGCCCACCGTCGGCAGCTTGGTCGACACCACACGGTGCGCACCGACGTTGCCCAGCGTGTAGACGTTGGACTCGCCTGCGGGGCAGAGACGGGTCAGGCGGGCGCGGTCGGGGCGTGCGCTCCGGCGGAACGGTGTTGTCTGCGAGCGGTGATAGGGAGAAAGCTCCGCTGCTTAGACGTATGACAAGAACTGATAGCTGTTGCTGTTTATTGAGATTTTCGGTTGCGCCGATTGTAGTGGTTATTTGTACCCAATAAAACCTGCTCAAATAGAAACCAAACTCACCTACACTACTTAAAAAGGCGTTACTGAAAATCATGTCTGCAGAATGGCACCAAGAAGAGCCTGTCACAGCATGCCGCTCCAAAGCGTGCTGTGGAGCTAGTGGCGAGCACTACGCGCCCGCTCTGTCCCGCTCTGCCTCCCGCCGACCCGCGACAGACGGCACACCTCGGCCCTCCCGCTCACCGACGGTGGTGAACCGCACGAACGTCTCCTTGTTGACGATCATGGCGTCGACGGCCAGCTTCTCGCAGTAGTTGGCCGTGATGATGGCGATGGTGGGCTGCTTGGAGCTGACCACGGTCGGCATCTGCTTGACGACGGTCACCTCGGCGTCGTTCTGCTGGACGCGCGTGTAGGCGCCGGACTCGAGCGGCCGCACGGTGCCGCGCTCCGTCAGACTGGACAGGTGCAGCTGGATCTCCTCCGCGGCCCGGTACGTCTGCCTGCGGACGACCGCACACCGCCGCCGTCACGGACACGGACACGGACACGGACATGGACACGGACACGGCACGGACACAGGGTGTAGACCCACAGCACTTCACACTCATCCTCACACTGCGGCAGGTCTGTGACAACGGCTTCGTGGACACGGCCCACCGTAAGCAGCGAAGTGCACGTTCGGTGCTGTAAGAGACAAACACCAGCGTCCTTACTTGCGGCTTTCCAGACGCGCGCCCACAACCTTAACTCACGTGACTATCCACCGGCCGGCATCCCAGGCGTTGTCTGCGCCCTGGACCAGTCGGTCCGCTCCGGCGGTACCCACCGCCTGGCCCGACCGCCACTTACTTGGCCATCTGCTGCACGGTGATGGGGTTCGGGTAAGACTGCTCGATCATCTCCAGCACCTTGGCCTCGGTCAGCTCCACCTCGCCGTTGGCGTGGCCTTCCTCAGGCGATACTGCAACACGGCCGGCGGTCACACAGCGGCACGGCGGGTCAGCCCCACCGTTCAGCGCGGCCCAGGTCACATGGCCGGCTGCGTTCTGCGGTCACATGCATTCACCACCCCTTCGCTCAGCCCGGCGCTCGCTGTCATCGCGAGTTAAGCGGACACTCAATCGACCGACTCATCATAAACACCCGAGAACCACGCGCGTACGAGGTTATACGTCACTGGCACAGCGGCTGAGTGTCTGGCTCACACCCCTGGCTGCCATTACGGCAAACAAACAGGCTGACGCGTTGTCCTCGATCATACCGCTGACAGGACGGAGCTCCGAACGGATGCACGGGGACGCAGTTTAAAGCGCAATGTGCACCCGCATATGCGGTCGAGTGATTACCCCCAGCCCGTCTATGTCTACGCATTCTCTGCATGTAAGTATCGCAGCAGCACATTCAAGAAGCTGCATAACGTAATGCGTGCGCAGCATCCACGCGTGGCGTAACAATGCGCACCATATGCCACGCCCCTGCATCGCCAACGCACAACCGAATCACAGCATTCGAATACGGTATTGCAAACCCCTGGGGAGTTCGCCGCAGATGTGACACACCATCGCTGATAGTGAGTCATTGTGCAGATATCCGACATCAAAACATATACCGCCAGCCTGGTTTGTAAGGATAAACAATGCCGTCACCAGCCCACGACTATGATGAACATTGCTCATGCGGTCATCCCGGCAGTGTCGCTCATACAGCCGCCACGTGGTGGCAAGCTCGCTGGAGAACGCGTACACCACTCCAACACCAACACCCGCAAAAACTTGACGTCGTCTCTCTCACGCCCTGCTGACTCGATGGGGCCGAGCCAGCAATCCAACACCACGTTCTCGCGTTCCTGTGCTGCCGTCATACATAACAGAGCAGCATTGTACCCACCACCGAAACAATGGAAGAGGACAACGTGCCATACAGTACCCAAAGAATCATAGCCCACCGCCGGCCATCGTCAGCAGAACACCACGGATGTAAGATGCTCATAACAGCATGTCGACACTCGATCGGCATCCACAGAACATTTATCAAATCGAAATCGCCAGATACGACGCCAATATCGGCAATAGTTTGCCAGGATTTTCGCGGGACACCGATCTGGACTTGGCCATCGCTTTAGCCACATCTGCGTTCGCCACACAACCCTCTCCGAGACAGGTCCCTGTCGGAGTCAAGTGCCAACCCGACCACACAAAAATCAACGCCGAATAATCCCGCGCATGTCCACGGCAGTAGTGCACTGGCGGATGGCGTCCAGCCCCGCGCCGGCCAGCGCACCCACCGTGGTACAAGCGCGCACTCAAACTGTGAGGCAGCAGGAAGAGCAGCTCCTCGAGGATGTCCTCCTCCAGCCGGAGCAGACGCTCTCGGCGCTCGGCAGGCGGCATCGGCTCGGTCGGCTCGGCCAGTACCGCCTGCTCGGCCACGGCGCAGCGGCGTGGCGGTCCGGCCGCCGCCTCGGCCGCCGCATCGCGCATCAGCCGCTGCCGGCGCCGGTAGTTGCGGTAGAGCTCGCGGTACAGCTGGGCGCGGGCCGCCTCGCGGAAGTGCAGCCGGCCAGCGGCGGGCAGCGAGCGGGCGCGCGGCGGCGCCGGCGGCGGTGGCCGCTCGGGCGCCGGCGAGCGGCCGCGCCGGCCGCCGCCCGGCAGGCAGCCGGACGGGCTGTCCGGCCGGCGCGCAGCACGCCGCGGCCGGTGTAGCGTCTCGCAGCTACGCGACTCGTCGGCCGGCGGCGGCCAACGCTTCAGGTCGTCGGCCCGCGCCGTTTCGGAGGCGGTGCGCTGGCGGCGCGCCCGCACCACGCCGCCCGGGTCCGAGAGCCGGTCCCGCCTCCGCCGCTCCGGTGTCACCCGGTCCGGCCGGCCCAGCGACTCGGAGCTGCGCGTCAGTGAAGACTCGGACGTGCCGGGCCGACGAGTCGGCGACGGCTCGGAGGCGTCGCCGGCCTTAGTCCCCGCCAGTCCCCCGGCTGCGCCAGCCTTCTTCCTCCGCCCGTCGTCCTCTACCGTCTCGTTTCCGGCGGCTCCTGCCTCGCTCAGCGCGGTTCCAGCGATGGCCGTGCTGCTCCTCGCCCCGCCCACCTCTGACCGTTCCCGCTTCTGCTCCGCCGGCGCCAGCGCCGGCGGACGGTCCACATCTCCTCGCTTCATCTCGGCGATCAGCCGGTCCACGTTGGTGGTGCTCCCCGACGGCGAGCCGTTCTCCAGCGACTCGGTCGACACGGTGGCCTTGGCCAGCAGCGAGCGCAGCTTGCGCTCGCGGCGGCGCTGCTGCTCATCGGCGCCGGCCGACGAGCTGCTGGGGGCATCCGCACACCGCGCCGGCAGCGAGGGCGCACTGACCGACCGCGACTGCGGCTCGAGCGCGTCCAGATGCTGCTGCGAACCGGCCGATGGCAGCAGTAGCTCGGACGCCAGCTGCTTCTTCATGTCCGGCGGCAGGTTGGAGGAGCGCAGCATCGAGCGGATCTTGCGCTCGCGCTTCAGCCGCCGGTCCTGCTCGTCGCCGTTGGGGCAGAGGCTGCCACTCTCAGCCGTCGAGAGCGACGCGTCGGACGCAAACTGCTGCTTCACCTCCGCCGGCACGCTGCGGGCCTGCAGAAGGGACATGATCTTGCGCTGGCGCTTGCGATGGCGCTCCAGGCTGTCCGTTCCAGGAGAGGCGACATTGGCTTCGTCCGGCACCACCGGCGCTGGGGTGTCATCTGGGGCCGAGACGGCAGGTCTGGTCTTCGGCTCTGTCGGCGGTGGGGCCGGGACCAGGGTTGGGTTGCGCGGCTGACGCTCGCTCCTCGACGGCCTCCGGTCGGCCTCACCCGGCCGCGACCCGACGTCCCGATTCTTACGACGCTCTGGCTCGAAGCCCTGGCGAAAGCCGGGCTCGTCGCCGCCGGCTCTGTGCTGCTTGGTCGAGCCGCGGCGGGCCGCCTGGCCGGATCCGCCAGCCTCCTGCCTCTCCGTCCCGGGTCCTGCCGACCGGCCGGCCGCCTCGCCAGCGGTGCGCTCTCCCCCGGCCCGCGGCTCCAGCGCGCGGCCGCTCGCGCCCGGCGCCTCCTCCGTGCCGAGCGCCAGACGGTAGGACGTCCGGTAGCCGGCGGCTCGGACCAGTGGCCGCTGCTCCTGCTCCGGCGCGGCTCCGGCTCGGCGGTCGGCAGCGTCGCGCTGGCGGCTCCGGTCGGGGCTCCTGCCCGGCTCCGGGCGGGGCGCAGCTCTATCGTGGCGCCGCTCAGCGCCCAGTCTCGTTCCGTCCGAGCCAGGCGCCGCCCGGCTGGCCGGCAGGCGGCCGGGCGCCGAACTATACACCCAGCTTTGTCGACTCGGCTCAACGCCGCCGCCCAGGCCGGCTCGGGGCGGCTGCGGCGTGCCGGCCTGACTAGCCCCGCCTGGCAGAGGTCCTCGCCCGTTGTGCGAGCCCGGGGTGTACACAAGACTGGAGTGACGCGCTGGAGGGGTTCTCGGACCCCGCTCCCGGCTGGCAGCGGCGGCGCCGGCCCGGTCCGGGGAGATCACGCTTCCATTCTTCTCCCTCATCGAGACCACGTTTTTCGACAGGGGCGTCCTCGCTTCATATCCCGGACTCGGTGTCTCTCCGAAGAACTCGGCTCTCCGAGCAGCGTTGCTACTGCGCGGCTCTCGTCTCTGTGCCGCTCCAGCCGCTCCAGCGCCAGCCAGCGCCGGCGGACGTTCCGCTCCGAGCAGTGCCGCCGCGCCGCCGTTCCTCAGTCCTCTGGTCGTGTTCTCCGGGGCCCGGTCGCCGGCGAGCCCGGCTGGACCGGCCCTAGCGGTTCGCTCTAGGCCCGGCAGCCGGGGAGGAGGGGCCGGCGCCAGCCGCGGACAGGGCACCGGCCGGGCGCCGGCTGACGGCCGCCGCGGCCGCAGCCGTGCGTGCCGCTCCGGACTGTGCAGCCCGTCTGCCGCACGGTCGCGGCTCTCAGGGCTTCACGTCACAAACAGAGGGGCATGGCTCACGCGGCCTCCGCACCGCACGGTAGGGTCAACCCCGGCGCTCACAGAGCACAATCATAACAGCATCCACTACATCTTTTGACAACACGGGATGACAGGAGTGGCCGCTGGTCGGGCAAGCCATCACCGGCAATCTCCTACGCATAAGGCTGTCAGCAGTCCGGGTTAGTTCCACGTGCACCTCTACGCTTGTTAATTAGCAGCAGTTCAGCACTTCTGTGGGCGGATTATCCGGGCCAATGACAGACAGTCGGCGGAAGAGCCCGACCAACGCCGCTGCAGTAGACATGCACGCCCGAAGAGAATGCCGGCGAGTTAGTTCAGACCGAGTCATCAGCCCGACTTCAGTGCGTTCTAAGACGCGGTCAGTGGGTTAATGTGCGGAGGCGGTCACACCACGACAGCCAAAGTTAGTACGTTCACGCCCCTGCCACGCTGCCACCCTGCCGACGTTAGTGGGTAAGCGAGCGGGCCAGCATTCCGGCATCCCACCGCCCTGGCCGTGGCAGAGCGGTGAGGCATTAGTGACAGCGCGCGCCCCAGCCGTATCTTACAGGGGCGCTGAGGAGCTCCCACCGAGCACAGAATGTAGCCCGGCCTGGCTGAGGGGAGAGCAGCGTCAACCACCGGCAACAGACACATAGCGAGAGGGCGGGGGTGGAGCGGAGACGGACGTACAGCAAGAGGGCAGGGGCGGAGCGGAGACGGACCAACAGCGAGAGAACAGGGGTGGAGTGGAGACGGACGTACAGCAAGAGGGCAGGGGCGGAGCGGAGACGGACCAACAGCGAGAGAACAGGGGTGGAGCGGAGACGGACGTACAGCAAGAGGGCAGGGGCGGGGCGGAGACGGGCAAACAGCGAGAGGGCAGGGGCGGAGTGGAGATGGACCAACAGCGAGAGGGCAGGGGTGGAGCGGAGACGGACGTACAGTGAGAGGGCAGGGGCGGAGCAGAGACGGACGCACAGTGAGAGGGCAGGGGCGGAGTGGAGACGGGCCAACAGCGAGAGGGCAGGGGCGGAGTGGAGACGGACCAACAGCGAGAGGGCAGGGGCGGAGTGGAGACGGACCAACAGCGAGAGGGCAGGGGCGGAGTGGAGACGGACCAACAGCGAGAGGGCGGGGGCGGAGTGGAGACGGGCCAACAGCGAGAGGGCAGGGGCGGAGTGGAGACGGGCCAACAGCGAGAGAACAGGGGTGGAGTGGAGACGGATCAACAGCGAGAGGGCAGGGGCGGAGTGGAGACGGATCAACAGCAGGGGCGGATTGGAGACGGACCAACAGCGAGAGAACAGGGGTGGAGTGGAGACGGATCAACAGCGAGAGGGCAGGGGCGGAGTGTATACGGACCAACAGCGAGAGGGCAGGGGTGGAACGGAGACGGACCAACAGCGAGAGGGCAGGGGCGGAGTGGAGACGGACCAACAGCGAGAGAACAGGGGTGGAGTGGAGACGGACCAACAGCGAGAGAACAGGGGTGGAGCGGAGACGGGCCAACAGCGAGAGGGCAGGGGCGGAGTGGAGATGGACACACTGACAGAGAAGGCAGGGGCGGAGTGTATACGGACCAACAGCGAGAGGGCAGGGGCGGAGCGGAGACGGACCAACAGCGAGAAGGCAGGGGCGGAGTGGAGATGGACACACTGCCAGAGAAGGCAGGGGCGGAGTGTATACGGACCAACGGCGAGAGGGCAGGGGCGGAGCGGAGACGGACCAACAGCGAGAGGGCAGGGGCGGAGTGGAGACGGACCAACAGCGAGAGGGCAGGGTCGGAGCGAAGACGGACCAACAGCGAGAGGGCAGGGGCGGAGCGGAGATGGACACACCGAGCGAGAGAAGGCGCGACCGACCCGGCACCGGTACAGATCCACATAACTCAGCATGGCATCGATATGCTATCCGCCACGACCTGGGACGCCGCGTTGAGTTGAAAAACAGACGCACTGCCACGCAGTTTGCCGACTTTGCCCAAAGGCCAGACACACTGACGTGATACGGCACACAAATCATCGGCAGCCTATCCCGCCGCGGGACCACGGTCTGGGTCCAGCGGCGGGCGGGCTGGGCCGCGGGTACGGGCGTACTCACTGGGGCGCACCGGCGCCGAGGCCGACTCGGTCAGCTGACACAGCTCGATCTCGGTCCGCCGCAGGTCTATGTATTTCGTCTGCATCAACTTCATGATCTTCTTAATGAAGCCTACATAGTCTGCGGACGCGAGGCGCGGGCGTCAGGCGACGGGCAGTGGCGGGCCGCGCCCGAGGCACCGCCACTGATTACGGGCACCGAACACAGCGCCGGAAGGGGCTCTGGCGGCCTCCCGACGCCCGTCGGCGGCCGGGCGCACTGCACAGACCTATCACCAGTCACGCGGGCATCCGTCACATCGTCCCCGAACGGCAGTGGCACCGACAGTGGCCGGCTAGATCCGCGCCAGCACAGCGCTGGCTGCTGTCATGGCGTCAGCTGTTGGTACAGATCAGCAGGGCTGCTGACATTTCAGGTTGAGTACGTGCTGACCCTGGAAACGAGTTACCACGTGAGCGCTGGACGGAGGACGGGCCGTTATACCCGGAGCAGAGGTCCATACCGCGCACGCGGCACAGCTCCGTAACGGACACTACTGACCTCTGGGGAAGTCCAGCGGGCTGACAAGCTCCTTGAAGAACTCCTGCGAGTAGCGCGCCTGCTCCGCCTCCGGTACGTAGTCCTTGAACCAGAAGCGGAGGGTGCGCGACTCCTGTGTGTGCATACCAGTGGCGGCGCTCACCAGAAACACCTTGAACTCGAGGGACATCTGCGCCGGCGGCAGGCTGGAGTAGTCTGCAACACGGGTACCGGGTCACCACCAGCCGACCGGACAACACGGCTTCACGTCAGACCTGAGCCGAAAACAAGCTAAGGTAGTAAGTAGCACGGATACCGGGTCACCACCAGCCAGCCGGGCAAAACGGTTCCACGTAGACCTGAGCCGAAAACAAGCCAGCATAGTCAACAGCACGGTCAAAGGACCACCGGCGGCCAGACAGAACACATTTGCAAGACATCTGAGCCAGAAGCACGCTGGCACAGTCCATGACACGGACAAGAAGTCGCCAACAGCCAGGCGAGAAGCCCGGAGAGGCTGGTGCGTACGACCAGTGGGGCTGGCGTGGCCTGGGGCATGGGCGTGGTCAGCTGACGGCCCCCACCGGTCGTCTGGACCCTGTCACTGACAGCCGGCCGCCACTAGCCAGCCAGACAAACAGGCAGATGCTCTGAGGGTCTGGAGGCGGGGCGCCGGGACCGGACGGATACAGCCCAAGGGGCCGCCGCTCCTTCAGCCACAGGCGGACAAACACGCGCCACTGGGCCGCCGAGTGCACCGCCGCATCGCTCGCGAAACAGAGCGACCATGAGGGGGAGCACTGGATGGGCCTTTTGAGGGGGGGGGGTGTTTTGGGAATACGGAGAGCACGACACAATCAATACAATGGGAGCGGCAGGACGGCGCACAATCACATCATAGCCACACGGCATTACTTTACCGAGCACGTCTGGCGATGGGCAATGCCTGCCGTGTCATCACTACACCGTTCGTGACAGACAAAATCATAACAGACGGGCAGCGCTTGCTGGCACTAACGCCATCGCTGTGGCTTTACACGTCCGTAAACCAAGGCGCCGGAGTGATATATTGTGACGATATAGTGTTGGCAACTCTATAACCGTCTGTCCGTTAACTGCCTTGTTAACGACGCCTATGATCCTTCATAGATCACAGGCGTATGTGTGCCAGCAGCATATGCAATGTCAAAATTACAAACACCGTTGAACGAGTTCAAATATTCATCTCACGACCGCAAAAGGGAATCGAGGCATGTCCCTGGACTTCACGCTCATACAACCACATGCCCTACAAATGCTGGCCAAGCCTGTGCCAACGTGTCGCTGCGGCTAACGGACCCGCGGCCCGCGACCGAGGACGGCGTCGAGACTGGGGGACGCCCGGCAGAGTACCGAGCCCACCCATACGCGGGCCGCCGCCGAGGCAGGGGGACGTTGCTGTCCGTGCACTGAGCCTCATCCGTCTTCCAGCCTAGCTCCCCGCTTCCGGGTGGAAGCCATTGAGAAGCGAGGGGAGCGTACAGATTTACGCCGCCAGACCAGGGGAGGGACGGCAGGCGGCGCCTCACTCCGCGCGCGGGCCGACGGCCGGACGTGCGAGCGGCCCTGATGAAAACCAATGACGGGCCGGACGCCCGTCGGCCGGGTCAGCGGCGCTGAGCACCACTCGGAGCGGCGCCGCCAGTCGCGCTGCAGGGGAGCCGCCGGTGTCGGCTGTACCCCGCCTGTCGCGCTACAGGGGAGCCGCCGGCGTCGGCTGTGCCCCGACCAGCACCGGCGCTGTTGGGGCTACACTGTTCACTTACCGATGCCGGAAAAAAGATTCAAGGACGGCTTGATCAAGTTTTTTTAAACATGTATTCTAAACTAGCCAATTCCGACAGTCAGGACGTGTTGAGGCGTACGATAATATAAAACAGTAAAATGAGCACTTCGGTGACAAGGCTTAAACAGCCGGTCGCCTCTCACTACCCGACTGCGAGAAGTGCAGCTCCCTGTCCACACATCGCACCGCTACGCGGGGGCTGGTCTGGCCGAGTGTGGCAGTACAGTCGCCCAGCTAAAACGCGCCTCCAAAATGTTGATTAGCCACTTACAGCTGGTGCTGTCAATGAAAAAGAGCTCTGCCCCTGTCAAAGACCGCTATCCCTGCTTGTTGCTGTGGTTGAAGGTAACAGGGGAGCCTAACCTGGCCCATTTCCAGCTGCTGACGAGGACAGCTCTGCAGCGCGGCCTCACCTGTTTTGCTGCTCTTGTTGACAACGATGCCGTGGTGATCGCCGCCGGCGACGTGCACGTCACCACCAGCGGCTGGCTCGGCCGGCGGCGCCGACACCCGCTCCACCAGGATGGCCGAGGTGGTGCCGCGCTTCGGCAGCGGTGTCATCACAATCCGCTCTGGCGGCCGGGCGGCGGCACGTCACCACACCGCGCCGCACCGCACCGCACGCCAGTGGTGACCTGGTGCGGCGGCAGGAAGCGGGTCGCCGCCGCAGGAGAAGGTGGAGGGCCAACGATTGCCAGTGACAGGGATGGACCCGTGGGAACCGGTCCAGTTTGGATGACGGCGGAGGGTCAGCGACGGCCGGTGACGGGGATGGATCCGTGGGGACCGTTCCAGTTTGGATGACGGTGAGGTCAGCGACAGCCAGTGACAGGGCTGGATCCGCGGGGACCGGTCCAGTTTGGATGACGGTGAAGAGTCAGCGACGGCCGGTGACAGGGATAGATCCGCTGGGACCGGTCCAGTTTGGATGACGGTGAAGGGTCAGCAACGGCCGGTGACAGGGATGGATCCGCGGGGACCGGTCCAGTTTGGATGACGGTGAAGGGTCAGCGACGGCCGGTGACAGGGACGGATCTGCGGGGACCGGTCCAGTTCGGATGACGGTGAAGGGTCAGCGACGGCCGATGACAGGGATCGATCCGAGGGGACCGGTCCAGTTTGGATGACGGTGAAGGGTAGGCGACGGCCGGCGACAGGGATAGATCCGAGGGGACCGGTCCAGTTTGGATGACGGTGAAGGGTAGGCGACGGCCGGTGACAAGGATAGATCCGCGGGGACCGGTCCAGTTTGGATGACGGTGAAGGGTAGGCGACGGCCGGCGACAGGGATAGATCCGAGGGGACCGGTCCAGTTTGGATGACGGTGAAGGGCCAGCGACGGCCGGCGACAGGGATAGAACCGAGGGGACCGGTCCAGTTTGGATGACGGTGAAGGGCCAGCGACGGCCGGCGACAGGGATAGATCCGAGGGGACCGGTCCAATTTGGATGACGGTGAAGGGTAGGCGACGGCCGGCGACAGGGATAGATCCGCGGGGACCGGTCCAGTTTGGATGACGGTGAAGGGCCAGCGACGGCCGGCGACAGGGATAGATCCGCGGGGACTGGTCCAGTTTGGATGACGGTGAAGGGTAGGCGACGGCCGGCGACAGGGATAGATCCGAGGGGACCGGTCCAGTTTGGATGACGGTGAAGGGTCAGCGACGGCCGGTGACAGGGACGGATCCGCGGGGACCGGTCCCGTCTGGATGTAGTCGTGTTTCCAATTCACGGCAGCGTTCATACCACAGGACTTGGCACACTGAACGGTATCACTGGATGAGTAGAAGACGATTTGCGAGAAACTGCGCCGCATTCTGCACGGGAACATGATGTGAGTGTGACATCGGACGGCGGCGGACATTGTGCATGACAGGCTGTGAATTGTCACAGGGTTGAGCTTTGCACGTGAAAAGGTCACACGGACGCTTTATGGTATCGGCCGCCGCATGTGTCGGGAGTACCTTGTTGACTGCTGTTAAGTGCAACTTGTTGAAGACTTAAATGGCTGACTGTAAATTGTTGTAAACGCCGTCAACTGCCACCAAGACCTGCGATGGCAGCAGTCGGCGGGCGCCGCTGGCCGCAGGGAGGCACGGGGGCAGGATCCGGCTGTCGATGCGCGGTCTGGCTCACCTTGGGACGGGTCGGCCATGTCGGGGACGTCCCGGGCCGCTCTGCCCACCGGGCTCTGCGGACCCGTCGATGTCTGACGGGTCAGGCGCAGCGTCTGCTGAAACTGAACAGGACACGGCGTCAGACAACACGGCAATGGGTGCGGCGCCGGGCGCAGCGTCTGCTGAAACTGAACAGGACACGGCGTCAGACAACACGGCAATGGGTGCGGCGCCGGGCGCAGCGTCTGCTGAAACTGAACAGGACACGGCGTCAGACAACACGGCAATAGGCACGGCGCCGGGCGCAGCGTCTGCTGAAACTGGACAGGACACGGCGTCAGACAACACGGCAATGGGCGCGGCGCCGGGCGCAGCGTCTGCTGAAACTGGACAGGACACGCGTCAGACAACACGGCAATGGGCGCGGCGCCGGGCGCAGGCGTCTGAGGAAACCGGTCAGAATACACATGCCATGTGGTGGTGTTCTACTAGGCTGAACACCATGCGCCAGCATCACCATTAACGTCAGCTGAACAGACCGGCTGACTCATGCGTCAGGCGTAAAACCTGCTGAAGCTGGCCACACGCACACACACACACACACACACACACACAAGCACACGCACACACACGCACACGCACACACGCACGCGCACACACACGCACATACACACGCACACACGAACGCACGCACATACACACACACACACACACACATGCACACGCACACACACACACACACGTGCACACGCTCACGCTCACGCCCCCGCCCACGCCCATCCCCCTTCCACACACATCCACCAGCCGATCTTACGCTGAAGTCGAGCGTTTGGGAAGGAAGCCACACACTAGGACCAGCGCCGTGTGAATTTCTGGGTGAGCCGGCGCACAGACCGTCCAGATCCTCCGCCAGTGTTTATCTCAGATTTAGAGCAGCTCTGAGAGCAGATCTTTGTTCTGGCCCACCCAGGTGGGTCATGCCGTGTCGCCGCTGTAAACTGTTGACGCCCAGCACGCCGGTGCCAATCACCAGACAATGTCGGTGCTGAGTCAGCGCCGAGACTGAGACAGCTGCCCGGCCACCGCACAACACTCCAGCCAGCCGCCGAGGCTGAAACAGCCGCCCAGCCACCACACAATACTCCAGCCAGCCGCCGAGGGTGAGACAGCCTCCCGGCCACCGCACAATACTCCAGCCAGCCGCCGAGGGTGAGACAGCCGCCCGGCCACCGCACAATACTCCAGCCAGCCGCCGAGGGTGAGACAGCCGCCCGGCCACCGCACAATACTCCAGCCAGCCGCCGAGGGTGAGACAGCCGCCCGGCCACCGCACAATACTCCAGCCAGCCGCCGAGGGTGAGACAGCCGCCCGGCCACCGCACAATACTCCAGCCAGCCGCCGAGGGTGAGACAGCCGCCCGGCCACCGCACAATACTCCAGCCAGCCGCCGAGGGTGAGACAGCCGCCCGGCCACCGCACAATACTCCAGCCAGCCGCCGAGGGTGAGACAGCCGCCCGGCCACCGCACAATACTCCAGCCAGCCGCCGAGGGTGAGACAGCCGCCCGGCCACCGCACAATACTCCAGCCGTGACGCTGCCCCGGTGACGGCCAGCTAATGCACCCACCCAACGTGCCTGGACTTCCAGAGCGAGGCTCAATCGAACTCTAGTTTCACATGTTTAAATGCATACCAGCGAGACGTCTGGAGCGGCGCGGGTTGAGCGCGGTGTCAACAGGCGAGAAAGCTATCAATTACCGCCATGCAGACAGTTCCCAACACAAACTCTTCGGCCCGTCCGCCTTTGGGAATTCATACCAATAGGCTTGAACAGTTATCACCAATCCGCTGGAAAGTCACCTTTCAAGGACATCCAGCTAAGAGGCTCACTAATGGTCGTTCGCGCGTTAATTCCAAAAACCACATGGCTTGGGAACTGTCTGAAGGTGGGCCTGGCCAGGTCCGGCCACTTCGGTCCACGGAATCGAATGTTTCGAATTTGCCATGATTAAAGGTTCAAGACGTACGCGATGAATTGGACTACACACCCGCGCGGTTTTCACCGACAACCCGTTTCGGCGGCCACCGGAGCGTGCTGCACTCCGAAGCCGGAAGTTCGGATCAGGTGACGTTCGCCGTCTCCCGGCGGATTACTGACGCACTATGCGACGGTGCGCGACGGGCAGTGTTCACATCGCGAGGTCATTTGCTGGCGCCAGGTGCATTCGCTTCGCTTACACAGTGCGGTGCGCTTCAAGTCAATTATTCCTTTGGCCACGAGATCTGGCATCAGTCTTTACAACGGCTAAAGCCCGGGGGATCCATGGTTTGTGCACGAGAGCACGGGACCACCTGCACACAACGACCCACACCGCCGTCAATACACTCTTCGTTCTCACTACTGTCAAACTGTCTTGACCCCTTGTTAGTAGCATGCCACGCCATTAAGGCTTGGGCGCGGCAAAAGAAGGCCCAATTTTTGGCAATGCTGAGAAGCTTTCTTGAAATTAGAACAGTTAACGTTTCCCATGTCAATCTGACGGGGAAGAGAACGCCGCCTCTATCACAATGTCGCTAGACAATCGTGTCTGATAGAACACCTCATCGGTAAATGCCTCTACAGCACAGCTAAAAACTGCGCTCCTCGCTGCTGCAAACTTCAACAGACCGTGATCAGTGGTTGCGGAGATATTACCGACTAGAAAGCGTGGAAGCCGGGCCGGCTCGCCCACTTGCAAAGCTTTCTCTGTTCTCAAGTACGACTCGTGCTTGTGCGGGCTGCGGTCTCGCTCCAGGTCATCAACACGCCAATACCAGTAATCCAACGACTCGTTTGTGACCTCGACATGTGGCTCCGCAGAAGAGACAAACAACATTGTTACACCGTGATAACCTTCAGTGTATTAGAAGGTCGGCTGCCCAATAACCTGGGACACACCGTAACAAAGGGGAGCCTGAAGAGATTACAACGCCATGTACCAAACGGGCCTCTGTAGCGATATTTCCCCGTTGCCATAAAAGGACTGAATTTTGCATGGTTGGGGAAAACTGACATGGATAGTGCGAACATGAACAAGAACTTTTACGCCGCATGCAGAGCATCCATGCATCTGACTTATCAGCAACCGGTCCCTGCGTTTTGGAGTGTACAATGGGCACAGTTCGAAACGTGGATAAAGTGACCTCACCGAGGGCACCGACAGGGCCTCGGGTGTCCCTGTTCCCGGCCCCGCAGACCCGAGGTTCGTGACCGCATCCCGACCCATAGGCCCCGTGACCGAGGGCCAGAGGGTCAGACGAGCCTGGCGACACTTGTGCCCGCCGACCGATAACTGGCCGGCGGTGTGACACGCGCCGGGCTCACGCAAGTCGGTCGTCGGGTCTGCCCACCGTCCGAGCGGCGTCAGAGACTGGCTGAGGGGCCGTGGTCGAGCATCACGCAGCCGTCAACACACTCGGGCGCAATCTGAAGATCGTTCGTTGATATGGCTGGAGACAAATTACAGATACGCCGACGCAAGTCGGGACTCCACTTCCCAAACAGGGCGCTGAAGCGTTATCCGCGATCAAGCACGGAACACCGTGGTTTGCGGTAGAGGGTAGAGGCGGTGTCCTCACAGCGCCTCAGTCGTTAGATCTGATGAATCCGTCATGCATAAATCGGAGGCTCCGATGACATTAATATGCAATTTCACCTCATAACGCAGAGATGGATGGTTTTTTTCAAACCCGTGGTAAGAAGCTGGAGAAAAAACGGCGAGAATACGCTGAGCTCACACTAACAAAACTTCAGTGCTGCCATCACGCCTGCAGGAGCACACCAGTGCAGCGGGACCTGGATATCTTAAGAGCAGTCCATATCCGGTATCGCGCAACAGGCCAGTGTGTATATTTGCTGCAGACGGACCGAGTTGGTGAGCTACGCTGTTTGTTCCTGGTGCCGACCCGGACGGTCCTCTGCAGTGCACGAACTGGCGCGAGCGCGCCGCGCCCGTCCTACCTTGGTCAGCAGTACAGGCCCGGGCCGCTGGCGGCGGGGGTGGTAGCGCCTTCTGAAGGCAGCAAGCATGTCCGGAGCACGCATCTCTGACCGAAGCTGCCACTGCCCCTGTCGCGCTCGGCCGCCGGCACCGCCACTGACAGCCACCGCCCGACCCCGCCCGACCCGGCGACCGGGGGCGACGGCGACCTCGTGGCTGACCTCGGTCTCGGCTCGCGGCGACATCAGCGCACCGACAGGGCTCGCCTGACTGGCGCCATGTCACGCGCGCTGGCCGAGTAGCGGCGCGTCGCCTACCCCGCCCGGAGGCTGGCGGCAGCCCGCCGCCGACAGGACGGCACCGAGCCCATGGCCGGGCGCGGGGCCGGCCGTGTATCGCCCGTCCCGCTCAGAGGCTGGCGGCAGCCCGCCGCCGACAAGACGGCGCCGAGCCCATGACCGGACGCAGGGCCGGCCTGTCGGACAGGGCAGCGCCAACCCTCTGACCGGGTCGGCGACACGTCCTCCGATCACTGGCAGGATAAGTGACCCCATCGTCGGACAGCGGCCGACAGCCCGGGGGTCGAGCCGAGCTCGTCATCCCCGGGCGGCACGTGCGTGTACAAGCGGCGCGCGCGGACGCCCGCGGCACGGGCGTGGTCGGCTGCAGTGACACAGGGGCGAGTCGCACGCAACTGTGCCATTGTTCCGGTCGGAACAATGCCTCAGCGGCGGCCGATCCCGCCGAGGGCGGGGGCCAAGGTCGGCTTCCGGCACGGCGCCGCGTGTTTACCTGCACTCCGGACATGGCGGCGGCTCTCGCTGCACCGACTGGCACCGATATCCCGACAGCCGGACAGGCACTCGTCACCGCGGCCGTCTGCAAGCCAGTCAGCACCGCACTATTTTCAAATCCCAGTGAATCGCGACTGGGGTGCCTGCCGCTCGCAGCCGGTTCGGCGAGAGGCCGCCCGCCGCCAGTGGTCCCCAAACCTAGCGGCTCCGCGCCGCCGCAGCGTCTGGGCCTCGCACACCGAGGCCGCGATAAGCCCGTCTCGGTGCCCACAGCACAAGACAAACGCGTGCTCTGATGCCACGTGCTTGATCCGACGGCGCGTGACGTGCGGAACAGCCGGCGGCCC